ACGTACATTGCTGCGTTGGGCTCCTCAACACCTTTTGTCTATCTCCCATTGCAGTGAAACATGAGTAGCACAAACATAACTAAGAAGTGTGAACAAATTTTTGGTGCTGAAGTTAGGATATCGTATAAGAATTTTCAACGATTTTCAGATCAGCTGATGAAATACTACTGTGCTGCTAATACTGTACAATGTTGAAAACACAAGTAATACCGATACTCCACTTCTTAGTATTTTCGTAAAGAACGAGTTCTTGGAAAGCGTAGTTTGGACTTTTTCTAATGAATCTTCTGTGTAACTATCCTGGTAATGTTAAAAGTACTTCACAAAAGTGACATTATTAGATTATAAACAACTTGAACAATAAATTTTGATTTTTGGCGGTGAATTTCCGGGCGCATAGCGAAACGACTATGCGCCCGCAATTTTCCTGGCGCATAGCAAATTGACTATGCGCCATGAAATTTCCTCGCGCATAGAAGTGACCATTTTTATTTTTACTGCGGTTGCCAGTTGCTTTTGCCCATTATTATTTTTTATAAATGATAATAATAGTTTTAAAAAAAATTTAAAAAAAGGAATTTAAGGAATGATACTTTAACTTTAAAGAGTTCGTAAATAAGAGAGCTACCACCAGTACTGCAGATAAACTGATTTTCGGCAGTTGATTCTAATTTGTTTTCTAATTTAAAGTTTCTGCTCAGGCTACCGCCAGTATTACAGAGCAACGTAGGTTTATCAATAGCCTATTTCAGATTGCACGGTTTGTGTTAGTTTCGGCTCCGGTTCCATGTGGAACGTTCGTTCCGGGCTGTTTTACGTCCGTTCGCGACGTTAGCAGCTGTAACCTAGCGTCGTGCGGTGACGCGTAAAAACTATCTGCCTTACGCGGATGCTTGCAACGGCTCAGACACATGAGTGAATGGCAGGCCAGCGTATGCTGCCCGTGGATCTTTTCTGAGCACTCAGACCGCCGACCGTTAGCAGGGTGGTCACGTCCTCGCGCGCGCTCGACTCGATTAATTTTTTCGTTGCTGTACGTGACCAAAGTGTAACCGCACAAAGATCTGAAGCAGTTTTCATCCTGCCAACGTACTGCTTATCTGACGCCGTGCGATTCTATGTACGGAGCCTCTACCGTATGCAATCTGAAATAGGCTAATGCTCAATGGGCCGCCAGTGTTGCAGCACAGCGTAGGTATGTGATCGCCTAAACTGCTAAAAAATAATAAAACCACATTTTATAAGCGTTTTATTTGCAAATATTATATTTTTAGGTTATTTTAAAATTTTAAAAAATTTAAATTAATCGAAATCTATATTTAAAATATTTAAAGTTCTTAGACTTAACTAGTTCTTATTATTAGTTCTAAGACTTAATAAAACGTATTTAGAGATAGTCAGAAATGTTTAATTATTTAAAAGTAGTCAGAGGCATTTAGAAGTATTAACAACAGTCAACAGCGACGAAACAATATAAAAAATCGTGGAAAACCAACTCGGTCCAAATCATTGCGAAGTATCTCCAGCTCTGTCAATGTATCTTGACCTTTCACTGAAATTTGAAACAATAGTCGTGAATGGCAAATATAAGCCTTAAGTCACTAAACAACAGGGTGACGAAAACTAATTCTAGCATACGTACTAACGGACTGTACTTTTTGCAGGAAAGAATGGCCGACCTCCAGCCCATTAATCTTTTGTTTCCTGTTTTTAATTTTGGGCACGTTTCCATTCGGTACCTGCCGCACTCCGGCCAATGGCACCCAGCGCCGGGTCCGGACGCGTGGATCCCCGCGGCAGCCCTGGACGCTTGGATCCCTGCGGCGGACCCGGACACATGGATTCCGGCGGCGGCCCCGGACGCATGGATCCCCGCGGCGGCCGCCCAACGGAAACCGGCCTGGGGACGCGGACACATAGAACCCAACGGCGGACGCGGACGCAGGGTTCCACTCGGCCGCGGACGCGGACGCTTGGATCCCGGCCAACGCGAACGCCGCCTAATGGAAACCGGCGGAGGACGTGGACGCATGGAACCCGGATATGTACTGACTTGATCTCCAACTGCCGGTTCACAATTATTCAAAGATTGATCGTAAACGCAATCGGACGACCGTTAGCACAGCGTGGTTATTATTTCGGGGCTTCCGCGCTTATTTATACAAACATTTCACCAAAGGCTAATTTCTTGTAAAGAAGAATATTAACGTGTCCAATGTTACGAGCGTGGCTCTGCTCGTTAACGTTAGGTTACCGGTTGTACGGAGAATATCTTACGATATTCTGTTGTACGCCGATAGCCTAGTGGTGCCTCTCTCGGCCTTAGAGTATTGAGGTTGTGGGTTCGATTCCCACAATCGGCAGATTTTTTGCGAGTTATGTAGCCAGCAGCGGCCATTCTAGCACAAAGATTATTTTCGGAACCGGCCGTCATACAATCGCTCTTCTGCAGTGCATCATCACTAATTAGTGGTGATTCACCACTATTTAAGATTCACCACTATCTAATCACCACTTTCTAATCACCATTTTTGAACCACCACTTAAAGATCTCACCGATTTAATTAAAATCAGCACTTATTAATCAAGAAATCTCTGCTTCTACGTTCTCCTTATGCAAATTATCCCAGTATTTTAATTATTCTGGCACAATTCGTTTGTTAAAAATCAGCTCTAAAGGCAAGCAATGGATGAACGAACACAGCTAACACACAGTCGACGGCGTGTCGCACATTGTGACACACGTTGATTCCTAGCCCGGATTCGCATAATGACCAAATGAATCCCACACTGATAAATAATCGTCCACGATAGACTTTGAACATCAACGATCATCCACATGACCACATCCACGACAATCATCCACGATCATCCCCACCTGAATGCTAAACTTTTTTAGGTATCTCAAAGCACCGTATACCCAGGAAATAATGCCCAATGACCAGCCAAATCAGCCGATGATGCCGAATCGCCATTTCCTCCAGTTCAATTTGCGACCACAATTTAATTTCCACCACAATCCGCCGAATTGTGAAAATAAATTCGCGGTCGAAAATTAAATTCGAGGAAAGTTCGCTTTCGCCCAGCAACTAAATTTTGTATTTAGGCCCACCGGCCGGCCAAGAGAACCCGCTGGGCGCGGGCTATAAGAACCCGCTGGGCGCGGGCCAAAAGAACCCGTTGGACGCGGGCCAAAAGAACCCGCTGGGCGCCGGCCAATGAAACCCCTTGGACGCCGGCCAATGGAACCCCTTGAGCGCCGCCTAAGAGAACCCGCTGGACGCGCGCCGATGGAACCCCTTGGACGCCGGCCAAGAGAACCCATTGGATGCAGGCCAAAGGAACCCGTTGGACGCAGGCGAAGGTAGCCCGTGGGACGCCGGCCAAGGGAACCCGTGGGACGCCGGCCAATGGAACCCGCAGGACGCCGGTCAATGGAACCCGGCGCACGCCGATCTACAAGATTTCTTGATTTTTTGAAAGTCTAACTAGATTTTTTCGCTTTAATTATGTTATTTATGTACATGTATCACTTAGTAGTTTTGCACCTGATTTTTGTCGCACCTAACAAGCAAATGTCGTCCACATGAAGGAAAAGTAATACTGCATGTCATTAAGCTGAAACTGTGTCTCTTATTAAGTTTGCACTTGTTATGTTGCGTTGTCCGTGGCAATGGCACTGAAGGCCGATTTACTGCAAAATTCACGGTGCTCTCAGATATGGTATTTATTTCTACGCGTGTACGAGTATCCGTTATCCGAGTATCCGTTATCCGAGTATCCGTTATCCGAGTATCCAAGTATCAGTGGTGGGAATATATTTCAGTGTTTTATCTTAGTCATAGAAGGAAGACGGGTAATAGATACGTGCGCAGCAGTCGTTCCGCAGATACAAGCGGACCTGATATTTGACAGTTATCATTATATGCAGCAGCCGCTGCGTAAGTTGACAACTGAGTTTGATTGCCTACATGTGCGGGATAACAGGTCCGAAAGAAATGGACGTTTCCGCACTTCCAGGCTTTATATTACAGTCCTATGGAGCGATTACAGTACTAAAATTTCAAAAAAAAATTCGCCGACGCAATGCACCGCTGACTTGCATTCTGTGCTATGTCTACCAGGAATCGTAATGACCGTAACTTTCTTGATGCACCACAAACGGTTGCTCGCTAAGTATAGAATAATTGCTTCATTTTTCCTTCTGAGTGTGTGTTAGGAAAGTAAGAATTGCGTTTATGGTGAAGCGAAGGAAGCGCATTTCAGTAATTCAGTGTACGGCACGTGGTGGAGCTTGTAACAGACTGCCAGCCATCGGTGTCTGACACAAGCAGGTAGCCGATTAATGATTTAGCTCTTCTCGTTTTTTTCTTGCCGTCATTGTGCAAACAGTAAGCACAAACAGAAAACAGAGAGGTACTTGTAAATACGTACACCCCCGCACTAATCGTTCTCCATATATTTTCGTCTTGAGGTACAGTCACGAGCTCGGAAAAAACATTATCGGACCCCACCTTCAATTCCGTAACTGAGTACAAGTTTTTTCTCCATCGTACGCCAGTTTGCAGTCGCTCAGAAAGACCTATGCGGTCGGCGCGCAGAGCGGATGAGCGCCATGATCTTCTGCTTAGTGACGGAGAGGTCCGTACAATAGGAATAATAACCGTAAAAAACTTCTCCTACCGACCTACTCAACGACAGAGTATGAGCTGTATAATCTCAATGTGGCATCGCTCTAAGAATCTACGTGAACGAGAAACTGCATCTCCGTCGATAAATTTAACAGTAAACTCCGACGACTGCAGAATTTAGAACGAGAAAATTGATCCACTGAAGTAATACCACACACGGACTTGTATAGGCGCAAGGCATATCCGTGTACTAACCAAACTGAACCCTGAACAATAGAGAACATTCTAGAAAGTGCTGGGTTTAAAAGCAAGTACGAGGAAAGAGATTAAAGTACGTACTAAACCACTAATCACTACGAGTACGGCTATACTCCGTCATTAGCGCGTGGAGAACCGATTTGGGATCTCTATTATTCGGTCTCCTTCTAGTTACCTGGGTACCTGTCCGGGTTGCTTCTCCTGAGCACCGTGTCCACGTCGTAATGATGCAGGTATCCCGATGTGGGACCGTGGGAGTACGAATGCCACAATGGCTGGCCTGCAGAGGAACGGGTCCTCCCAGAACGAATCATTTCTTGGGATCGCGATCTACAGCCATTACTGCTGCCAGTCGCACTGATGAATGATGATGCATCAAACTGCGAAATTTGTTGTACAGTCTGTAGAAGTTAGTCGTGAAGCTGTAAAAGTTACTTTAAAGAAGGTTATCGAAGGGACTTCCATTCGACTCAACCTTATACGAATGTGGTCTAGAGCATTTCCCAGTTTAGAGTATTACTGATCGTGTACGTAGTTCTGTGCCGTGTGCATGATGCTGCTGTAAGCCCGCATCAACCTCCAGCAGTTGCGTGACGTGTTGCTTCTCTACTGTATGTATACAAGCCTGTACTAATGACTAATGAGCAATTATTGAGCATGTAAAGGTACAGGCTGTACCTTTACATGCACGTAAACTACCGTACACTTTATGCTCACAGCCCATGTTCGACTCATAAAGGTCGTTCAACTCGTAAGCGAAGTATATAATATATACTATATACTTGTATATATTATAAACGTTTTTAATCGACATCGCGTTTGGTTACATTTTTATTGGTTGGTTAGCATTGGTTACATTTTTATTTCTTTGTTTCATTTTGATGCATGAAATAAATATCACCTATACTTCTTGTTTTATTTGGCATTTTAGTCATAATATCTCTGTTTTGCAGGCGGTATTCGGTTCGGACAGCCCGCTACGCCCGGCCAGGAGCGGCAGGAGCAGCACCCACCGCTGTCCTGTTTGGAAGTGGTGCGGTTCGAAAGTTCGACGTAACGCAGCAAACTTCCGCATTGCACCACTACCGAGTCAGCCGTTCATGGGAAAACACCAGCGCGATTCACAGTTCTGTGTGTCCACAGCCTCCCGTTTATTTTTTTTAACGCAGTTTCAAAGAAGCGTTACTCATCACAGAGTACTCAGCACAGAGCACGTTGAGCAATCTGACGACCGCAAAATATTCCACTCATCTTTTTACCACTCGGTGAGTTCTATGAGTACAGAATACGAATAGAGTGTGAATGATATTGTAGCTGTATGAATCGTAATGCAATCGAACGGCGAATTCTCAATCGTACTCGTATTTATTCGGTAATTGCAATTCGGAAAGTCGGATAGTTGGAAGTGAGGAAACTCAGGAAAGCTTCTTGTGGCCAGTGGCCAGCTCAACACATGCACACTAAGAAATGTTTAGGAAATGCCCAAAGGCGATTCTACTGAATGTCCACACCTTTGCTCCGAAGATGCACAAATAGGAAAACAGGAATAACCATTAGCTGTACTCCTATGAATATACACGTATACACACAGAATGTGCCGATGGTAACGTACAAGCGTTACAATATAATATGATGGACAGAAAAGTAAACAAAATGCTATTCATTAACAGAAGCTTCCCTAAAATTAAAATAATGTGTAGTATACAGTGAGTTCTGCCTGCATAATTAGTAAACAAATAGTATGTATAAGTAAATAGTAAAGCTGAAAGTGGCTAAATAAAAGATATTTCTAATTCGCAATTTTGAAGTGCAGCACCGATAACAAAATACACTGGTTATTGGTTAATTAAATCACTAATAATGCTAAATTCATTTGAAAACTAACAATCATTGCAATGATGGAAAATGTTTCACCAGAAAAGGGATTATTCATTTAGCCGAACGCAGGAACAGGAAATCAATTATCAAAACAGCGAATCAACTATCATCGTATCAACAATAAAATTAAAATCTTTTGCAAATTACAATATTAAAAAAGAAATGATTTACCTAAATCGACAGTAATATTCAACTGTCGATTTTAGGTAAATGGAACAAAAAGGCTTGTGGAGAAGGTTGGAAGCGCCACAGGCCAGAAACGCGCGAAAGAGTTTTTTAGACAGCGTCTTTCTATCCAGATACAACGGGGGAATGCGATTTGTGTTACGGGGGAATGCGATTTGTGGATACTATTAACATTGAGGAAGTGTTTCTGTTATAAATGTTTTTCGAGTACTAATACTAAGTTTGTACTTATGACGTGATACTTATTAAAGGTTAGGAATACCATATTCAACTACAGGTAAAACAGAAATAACTCTTTTGAAATCGATAATAAAATTTAACAACCAATCGTTAGAAAATTGATCACGTGAAAGGCGCCAGTTTCGGCGGCTGGTTGCAGGTCAGCGTCCGGCGCACACGGCTGCAAACGCAGAAAAATCGCAAGAAAAATGCGGAAATTAATTCCCAAATATTTCTATAAAAATTTAATATGAACCATTTCGTAAAATCAATAATTTACAAAAGAATACAGACTAATTAAATAAAATATATTACATATTTAGAAATCTGAATACAGAATAAATCGAACATAAAAAGTGAATAATAAACAGAAGTAAGAATTACGGAAAAATCTAAAATCATTTAGAAACGCGCCGGATGTGGAGGAGAATCCTCTGTACACACAGCAGCCGCCTACCTGGTCGGCTCAAGCTCAAGCACAAATATTTTACCTTCGCCAACAGCGGCGATGGTACAGTGACTGTGCTACGTGGAGCTCACTCGGTAGCCAGCGGTTCGATTCCGCTCCATCGCCATTCTTCGGAATTTCCTCAACAGACAGGATCTTCATCTGACCGCACTCCCTCGTTGAGATCACCACGGACAGCCGACCTATGGCTGCCTCTGTGATACGGACTTACCTGACGAGGAAGGTACGGTATCTGACGGCGTCGAGAACCGGCTAATCGGCGGAGGCGAAACGCTGCAGCCGAGGCAGTGCCTGGCCCACATCCGACAGCTGCCCATGAAACACAACACAATGATTATCGCGGATCATGCTGGCGCGCGCACTACTCTGTATATCCTATTTCCACTTAGTCTCGCTTCACAACGCCTAGCTCCTGACGCGCACGAGCGACTTACTTTAACTTGACACGAAATTTTGTGGAAATCAGTTTCCTATCGAACAGATTCGATGTTGCATGTAACATCCATCCACGGTGAAATAGTGCGAATGCTAACACACAGTCGACCGCGTGTCGCTCATTGTGCCACACGTTGTTTCCTAGCCCGGATTCGCATAATGACCAAATGAATCCCACACTGATAAATCATCATCATCCACGATAGACTCTGATCATCAACGATCATCCACATGACCACATACTGTGACATACACGACAATCATCCACACCTGAATGCTAAACTATTTTAGGTATCTCGGAGCACCGAATACCCAGAAAATAATGGCCAAGGTCGAAGTGGCGATTCGGCATCATCGGCAGATCTGGCTGGTCGTTCCTCCAAATCAATTTTCGACCACAATTTATTTTCCACCACAATCCACAGTTCGCTTTCGCCCAGCATAATTCTGTATTTAATTGTGAGCCGGTGTTCAGTTTCTTGCCAAATCGCAACGGAGAGCCGAAACCCGGGTGGCTCCCAGTTGTGGCCGGCCTGCGGCCAAAACTAGCCGCAACCCGGCCAAAACTGGGAATTCGATCCCGGCCAAAACTTGGAGCCATCCAGTGGAAACTAACAATGCCTGATGAAAACAGCCCGTTGCCAACAGGCGCAGCTAGATGCCAACGGAGCGCTCCTTTAAGAAACTTCAATCACTTCAATGGCACTATGCTTTTAATTACGTATTCAGCAGCCGTCGAGGACGCTAATCGGCTAATGTCATTAAAATGAGATAACCGTGGAGGCCAGTATATTTCTATTTAATTTTCACGCAGTGTTGCTGTATGAATAATATAGCTTTGTCAGATTTTTATGCATTAGAACTGTGAGATGATTATTGATAAACATTCATTTATGTCTGCTGTACAACATTTATTCAAGAAAATAATGCTTCGTTTGTCGCTCCTGTTGTTATGAACGGGAAAAAAGTCAAAATTTTTTCGATAAATGTATGGATCAGTTGCCATAGAGCTCGTGACGTCGCGCACCGGGAAAAGAGCCGAACCGTGGCAAAACCGACAGCGAAATTACCCGAAGCGCAAACAGAAATAATCAGCTGCGCCAAATGTAAGCATGTTTTACAGGAAGATGGGTTACCAACGAAATCGCTTATAACTATAACTTTGGTGTTGTAGAAATCTGTGCTTCGACGTTCCCCTTATGCAAATTATCCCAGTATTTTAATTATTCTGCCATAAATCGTTTGTTAAAACCCAGCTCTAAAGGCAAGAAATGGATGAACGAACATCAGCCGTTTAGCGTTGCGGCTTACGGGCGAACCGGTCCATCTACCGTATTTCTTTCACGTGATCAGAGATCACCTGTGGCAACTCATCTATTAGCCATACTCGTATTAAGTTAAACTAAATGATGCATGTACTCGTAAATATAATGGAAAACAGTAGTAATACAGTAGTCAAAAATTTAAAATTGTAATTGCAGTGAATGTTGTATTCTTCACACAATCACACCTATTAATTTCAGACCGCTGATCATACAAAGGTTAAGTAATCATTTTTCTATTAAATGAAATATAATTATTTGTCAAGCATGTATGTGGCATGTCTGATGCACTTCAAAATAACAACGACATGGTTCAACATACAAATCATTCGTCGTGGAATCGAGTTTCTCATTGCGATAATTGTAGTGTAGTGGCTGCCTTAGAAGCGCCAGCACCGCACTACCCTCTGGTGAAGGTATGAGGTACTACCTCATACCTTCACCTGTACTGGCTGTACACAAGAAATTATTCATACAGTTTGCCCAGTTGAGCGCTCCTTACAGCTTTCATAAAAAAATTCATCAATATTTCTGTAACGACTACGGTAGAATTATAAGTAATTTTTTACACATATTTAGTCCAACGTTCCGTCCCAACCGGATGACGCTTGTGCCCACATTGCAAAGTTTATTTTAAAAGCATAAGCGTATTTGTCTTGAACTACGAAGAACGTGTAAAGGAGCTTAAATGGGATGATCTAAAAACGCGACGACTAAATAAAGCGTTTTTGTTTATGCACAAATTAGTATTCCGGGTGGTAACGATGGGCGATCTAATCGTATTACCACTTACATTCTCTGCTGCGGTGCTTGAGTCTGTTGCAGGAAACACCAAAATATCCGATCGCCTAATGAAGGATCCCTGTCCGATCAAACCAGACCTGACAAGTGACAACTATCTGCGGAATAACTGTGACTGCGGTCCATGGATCGTGTCTTAACAACCTAGTGTCCGCCTGGAATGAACTTCCTTTGCAGCCCAACTGCGTACGTTACGTTGGATACCTTTACGGAGGCTCTGCAGGCCGTAAAATGGGATGACCTACCATCAACAAAGTCGTCAGAACTAGTGTCTATACTAATTGTATTCGCTCTTGTACACCTAATTTTTCTGCTGTGCTACCAAGCTTTAGATTAACTGAAGTAACTCAACGGTTGCGAACTACTAGTTGAAACGGTACAACACGACGATTGCGTGCCTAAGTACCCTAGCTTTCATATTTTCCCACGATTTCATTTTGAAAAATTTTTCTGAAATTTGACAATAATTACTAACCTGGGCAGACCTGGGCAGTTATAACCTAACTTTAAAACTTAACGCAACTCTGGTCTCTGTAGCGTGACTCGCTACCAGAAAAACTTAACTCTAGCGTAACTCGCTTAGAATTTGTATATATTGTCTATGCCTCTATGGTAGCGTAACTTACTAGAAAACATGCCCATGGGCCATTGGCACATCTCCGAGTCTCCGACGGAAAGATAATGTAACACGCATTGGCTTGTAGCGTTTCCTTGTTCGTCTGCGAAAGTTTTTGCTCTTTTAAAAACAAATAAGAAAATAACTAGAAGCCGATTAATTACGCAGAAGGGGATATTAGTATTGACAATTTATAAGCACAATTTTCGTTTTTAGGCACTGACTGTCATTGGGGGCTGACAAAAGCAGGCACACGGACACGTTTATCCCTTTATATCGACTTACCCTGCAACTTAGTGCATCCTGGTGCTCAGTCATTAGTCAGGTCATAAATCTATCGCAGCCAAAATCCAGCGACTTTAGCTCAGTGCTGTTTTTGCCCGAGAAATGACAAAATCTCTTCCGGGACCGTACGTTGCTGTTATCGGATAGAAATTAAATGCATATAACGCGTAAAAAGTGTGACGTGGCGGGTATGCGGCATGGAGCTCAAGCGTAAAGAGACAACCCAACTAAATTGTTGCCCCAAGAAAAGCAGTAGAACGCGCTGCGCCAGTCAGTTCGACAATTTTTCGTCCCATGGAATATGACGTTTCGCTTAAAGCCGGGCCGAATACACTCAGCATTTCCACCACTAAGTGGTAAAAAACGTACCGCTCTTCCAACGAAAATGTACCTCCATCGCTCCGCGTTCCCTGCCAGGTGAACCACACCTCCCGCCTTCTGCGAGCTCTCGTGGACTTGAAAGTCAGCTACTGTGCACCAACTTGTAGCATCCCATACAACGGGAATTCCGCGACTACTCTTTTCGGCATCGCTGCGCAACGCCAAAGGAAGTTCAACAAAATTTCAAACCATCACGTTGGTAGCAAGTTAGCAACTAGCTAACATGTCCGTATAGTGATGATACTAGAAAAATGCACGTTGGCGTGCGTTGGCAGACCGGCGTACCCTGGGCAGTGTGTGTACATTCAACATGACATTTTCTGTTCACCGTACTCTGCTATGCACCTTGTGCTGCCGGAAACATATAATTTCCTTTGCTGGTTCTTCAGACGACAGGCAAAATGTGCTATCGATGAAGACGTTGCAAATGCAGAAGAGTTTTCCAATCTTGGCACTATTTTTGACATGTGCAAGTTCGTTTAGTTCTTATGTGCCTTTCTCGGGATTCGAGGGAGTCCAACCACAGTCGCTTACCTCCGAGGTTTACCTACTTGCGCTCAGTTTTCGCATCTCGCTTAACCCTATTTGCAACGATACTTGTTCCGATGTGGGTGCGTGCAAGATCCTGGATTTTTAGCGCCTGAAAAAAAATTACCATGACCGAGACACATATCGGTGCTCGTAATTTTTTTCAGGCGCGGAAAAAATTCGAGAAATTCGGAAAAAATTCAAGAAAATTCGGGGGAATTTTCTTGTTTACTAAGACATTTGGGCGTTGTGGATGTGGAAGGACGACTCATCTCATGCACGGGACACCATTCCAAGGATTACCTAGCCACGATAAATAACGTAGTTGACGATTTGTAATTGACGTTTTTCAATTTAGCGTATGACAATACGCAGATCGTGAAGAACCTGTTCGCAGCGGTTAGGAACGCTACTTTCGTTTTCTACGAAAACATGACTGAGCAACGGTGTCCGCTGTTGTATTAACAACACAGGGCTGCCGTGTTCAACGAGAAACAGAAAGGTACGTACTGCGAAATATCACAAGATTCAGGAGTAATTTCTATTACCCACTCCGTTCCCATAAAATAACGGGCCAGAACATCACAGTAGAATTAGATATCAAGAGTTGGTTATCAGCTTGCTTGGAACTTCTACATAGCTTTTAACCGAGCCGTTGCGCGTGTCTACTGCTGGCAGAGATTTACTCCCGACACCTGTGTTTGCTTCTTGTAGGAAATCAGTCCTCCGAATGGCTTTCGGGATCTGGCATAATACGGGTCCCGTAATCACTATTCAGGTAAGTTTCTGTACGTAGATTACGACCTACTAGAATATATACAGAGACCAGGGTATATTTCGGAATCACTCGTTTACCTGGAGCAGGCTACATTTCACAGTGGGTTTTCAACAGAGCGAGAATTGCAATGACTAGGATTGTTTTTTCTTTAGTCTTAAAACAAAATAAAGGGGAATGTTGGCGGAGGAATGCCCGTTAAAATGCAACAAGTGCCAATTCGCATTTCAGTGGGACGGAAACAGCCCTGTTTGTGCACTGCATCTTTGAACACGATAATATAATTATTTGGTGATACGAGCCGTTCCGTCTCTAACAGAACCGAATCGATCAAGAGTCCATCCATTTTTGCAGCAGAAATACGGTCGTCGGCGGTTGGAAGTGGCAGCATAAACACCGACGTCGAGACCGCATACATACGGCCGACGGTATTTTTTTGCTGGCTCTTCGTCCGTAGACAGAACCGGGAGGATCGGAACCAGTGAAGCACTATTCTACTTCTTCGACGATCAGGCGTGGAGAGTGCGGCTGAAAAGCCCTCAGGAGTTTCGGTTGCATGTGTGTTAGACAGAGCGTTATGGTTAATACGAAGGGCAGTTGTATGTTCATAACTTCATGGCAGGAACATCCAACTGCCTTTCTTAATAACCGCAACGTAACTTCAAGGTTCCCTGTAAATCCCTCAGCCAGCGTATGATGTGCCAGTTGAACTGCTCCGCGCGTCCCAGTCATGGGCCGGTGATTCGATGGTGACGCTCTTCGTAGCGGATGTCGTGATCCTGCTTAAGGGAAGTGGTCCGGTACACGGTACCATTCGTGTACATTCACGAAAACTATCACTTTCGCGCACTCCCAGGCACTTTTTTATTTCGGTTTATGACATTCTGTAGCCAAAAGATTTGTATACACTGGCTTGAAAACGTTTGTGCGCGCAACATCCGGTTCGGGAGTTATGGTTGTTAGAAAATTCCAAAAAGTTTAAATGTGTTCAGGTGTACCAAAAGTCTCATTATGGACCGATCTCCCTCAAATTTTGCAGGTAAATGTACATAACCACGAAGAACGTTTAAAAATCATCCATGGTAGAACAATCCATTGTTCTAGCATGTTTTTCAAATTTTAAAATGAATTTCAAAAATTTTAAAATTCATTTTAAAACTGAAAAAAAGTCAGCGAAGTCTGGATCGGTGTAAAAACGATCTTCATGGTTATGTGCATTTTCGTGCAAAATTTGAGGGAGATCGGTCCACAATGAGACTTTTGGTACCAGTACACCTGAATGCATTTAAACTTTTTTGAATTTTCTAACAGCCATAATTCCCGAACCGGATGTTGCGCGCACAAACGGTTTACGCGCCAGTGTATACAAATCTTCTGTCAACATAATGTCATAAACCGAAACAAAAAGGTGTTTGGGAGGGCGCGAAAGTAAAAGTTTTCGTGCATGTACACGAATGGTACCATGTACCGGGCCACTTCCTTTAACGCCATGGCGTATATTATGGTCAGTGCACGATTTTCTGGTTAAATCTTCTGCGTTGTATCTGATGCACAGCCGAGGTTTGCGTAGTTGCTCTGAGGAAACCGTTGGGAACAGTCGGAAGCCGTTCGGTTGTATAAGATTAAGATCCACAACCGGGCAGTGTACAGTCACTGTACAGACCTCCGCCATACCTGGTTGAAATGATCGACTTCGAGGACCTCTCATCGCAGTACAATCTCCGGAAGCCGAAACGAATCCAAGCCAGGGTGAAACAGAAAATCGGAGAAAGAACTTTTTTGAGCGTATTCAAAATTAAATGTACATATGCTCAGCGTTGGCGGTTCTTGATTTCTGAAGTTTGCTCTGAAAACTGTTGATCTGTTTCTGTTGAACTGTTCTGTTGATCTGATCTTAATGATTTTTTCAAATCTGTTTTAATAATCTCCTTTATAATATTTCGCTGCATTTTTTACCGACCAGACATTGAAGTCCTTAAACGGGTCTTCTTCTCCTGATACATGAATGAATGAAGCCTAACTTAACTTTATTGAGTTCTAGGCGACAACTTAATCACACCGACTCACACACATAGGTTAGTATCATACGCTTACAATTTAAGTTATAGTTTTGCAAATGTGAGATTTTATTTTTCAATATGTACAGCAACGGGACCGCAGTATACAAGTTTTCCTCCTCAAGGGTATTTGAAGCAGTTTCTTCGTACTGTAGACGTTACTCAAAAAAATTTTGAAAATATTCGCAAATATCATTCCCGGTGATTATCGGTAAAATCCAGTTGTAATTGGGGAGTAATGTGCTGATTGACGGACACGATTTTAGAAAAACAGAAACAACCGTTTTAAAGCGTAAGTACTAGAAAGGTCACGGTACCCGGTACGCAGACGAATATTTGAAGTGCCAACAGCATGTCGATAAATACGGACACCACGGCCGGATGATTTTTAGAAAACCTGATAATTTTTTTATGCCCGTGTCTGCATTTTTCGTTGTATATGACCCGCTGTACTGTCGTACCGGATGGCATGCGGAAATCGGAGTGGATGCTCCAGTTATCAACATGTTTTCCTCTAGCGCTACGACAAAAAAGCTTAATGGCGTAATCATGGGCCGATCATTTGTTCACAACCGCCAATCACAGCGTTTCTGCTTATCTATAGAAAAATTGACGCCACTAACCCACAACAACTTGATAATTTTCCTTGAGTTTGGACTCAACAAATCTTTGGCACAAACACACAGTATTCGGACCGTTTCATTTTCTTCTGGCGATAAATTACGACTGGATGTGACGCCGGCCGAGCGTATATTAAATATATCTACATACTGTAGAACCGCGGCTTCTTATAACCGATTACACCGGATTATTATTACCATAATTATTACTATTACTTTCTTAACTGCACCACGCTGACAATGATGCCCGGGATCGGCCGCGTCGACAGCGTTAGCGTTCTGGGCGACGACGGTTACCTGCGCTGCGGCCGCGTCGTGGACGTGGACGTGGCCAGCGGCGGACTGTACGTTGACCTGGATTACCGCGATCGGCGCCGCGAATTTGTCCCGTTCGGACGGGTATTCCGGCCTATCCTACCCCTCCCGGTCGATCAGGGGGCGGAGCAACAGCATGCCGTTGCCGGTACGATTAAAAAGTTAACCTGAATTTTTATTATTATTTTTATTCCGAAGTTAATGATTTTTTCAAATTGATTTTCCCAGTATTTTCTGTTGTAATAGGCACACAACTCACAAAATAAATAAAACATTAAGCAAAATAATTTCTGGTTTTTTTGGTTTTTTTTCTGCCCCAGGTTCATGCTTATAGCTACATATTATTATATCAATTGATCAGTTTCTCCACCCAAAGTTTTTTAATAACACGATAAAAAAGCAAAGTTTTCGGTGCCCGGTTTGATTTTGAAATGATTTGATTTGAAACTGGATATGTGGAACATTTGAAATTGCAATTTCTACCCTAGTGGCCGGCACCACGCCCGTGTACGTGCGGGTGCGGGAACCCGGTTTCGGTCCGTGGATTTGGCTGCCGGCTGCTATGACCCGTTTGGGAGGCGGCCGCCACGACCCCGACTATGCAGCGGCCGTTGTCCAGTGGAGGACACCCGGTACGGATGTGGTGTACACACAGATCGTCCCGTTGGAGCGTCTGGATAAAGCCGCGCCGACCGAGCGCAGCAAGCCGGACGAACCCGGCATGCTGGCCACGGACAGCGTGCCGCTGGAGGCTGGGCTTCCCGTACTGTCGCCGGCAGCGGCCGCTGTGCTTGTTCCGATGACCAACGACCATTTCAGTGGCCGGCGGTGGATGTGCGTCGGGGAGCTGCGGGACGGCCGGTTCAGCGTGGTGGTGCGTGCCGGAGACTGGACCGGGGACGACGCAAATGCCCGTTTTCTGGTACATTGACTTGTCTCCTTAACCGATCACATTCGTTAAATATGCCCTTTCAATCAGCTAATCACCCGCATATTTCAGCTCCCTGAAAGCCAAAAATTTGAGAAATAATTTCTCCACCTGTTCCTAACTGCTTATACTTTCAGTATAATTTATCTTAATTACTACTTATTATAGACCAAACAAAAACTGTAATAAACTCCTGAAATAAAGAATTTAATAACGAAATCAAACTGGAATTACTAATGCATACTGAACAGTAAAAATGTTACATTTTTTTACTATACAGTGTGCGGTAATAATTCCAGTTTGATTTTCTTATTAAACTATTTACCGTTTACTGAACCGTTTACCGTTTACTGAACAGTAAAAATGTTACATTTTTTTACTATACAGTGTGAAGTAATAATTCCAGTTGGATTTTCTTATTAAACTATTTACCGTTTACTGAACCGTTTACCGTTTACTGAACAGTAAAAATGTTACATTTTTTTACTATACAGTGTGCAGTAATAATTCCAGTTTGATTTTCTTATTAAACTATTTACCGTTTTCTGAACCGTTTACCGTTTACTGAACAGTAAAAATGTTACATTTTTTTACTATACAGTGTGCAGTAATAATTCCAGTTTGATTTTCTTATTAAGCTATTTACCGTTTACTATTAAATGTTTCCACAATGCCTGGCACTGTGGAAAAGCAGTAGGTGATAACGTCTAATAAATTAAGCCTGCGATCTGGCCGCACAGTTAACTGGTGTTTCTCTCGCTTCGGATAATCCTAATCATAGCTGCTTGGTGACCTCGCATCCTTTTTCTACCTGTACAGTTGTAAGCTCCTTCGAAGCGCTGAGTAAGTAGTTCGAGTTGAGATACTTCAAGAGCATCGTTTTATTATGGTAACTTTTGTATGTTTATACGCCTATGAGACGCTTTATAGGCGGCCGTGCATGAGCTCAAGTCTTGTCTGACAAGCTGCTGGAGGTATTTGGCGCAGACCGCCGCGGATAACGACAGGATGCCCGAACTCCTAACGGAAATCCTGACGGAGGTCTTCTCCCAGTTGGACACTGTCGAGCAGATGGCGCTGCGACCCGTCTCCGCGCTCTGGAACGCCATCATCTGCCAGCCGGTAGTGGCGCGCACCCTGGTTATTACTGGCTGGCGGGATACCTATTCCCGGTTTCTCCTCTCGGCGGTAAATAAGAGAAACGATAGTAAAGGATAAACTTTGATTAAGGGAGGCGGTGAAGAATTTTTTGCCGGGATTTTGGTTAGGGTTAGACGAGCTAAATGTTGCTCTACCTAATACAAAAACATAGGGCGAAAAAGGTCAACTTCAGCCAGTCGGTTAACAGTTCTATACTTCCCTATTAAATTATGCTCTTAAAGCATCTCAACTGCAACTGCTTATACAGCGCTTCCAGGGAGCAATCGACTGTTTAGGTTGGAAAAGGATGCGAGGTCACGAAGCAGCTATGATTACGATTACCAGCATCGAGAAACACCAGTTTACTGTGCGGCCAGATCGCAGGCCCAGTTTATTAGAACGACGTCCTGTACGAACGGAAGAAGGAATAAACTAAAATCAGGTTTAGAAATAGAATGGGCAGCTTCCGATAATCGGATAATGTGTCTAGTCATGCTACGTCGCTCTTGTCAAGCTGGTCAGAACACGAAGTCATACATGGTGAACCGCTTAGACAACATTCATCCGCTTTAATATAAAATAAGTTAACGCCCGCCCTATTTTGGCTGCGCAGGAGGCGCCTTAAAACCCATAGCTCCTAACTCGTACGAGCGATTTCTTTGAATAACGGGTATTCCGGGGGAAATTACCTGCTTGTCTAACAGGATTTATGTTTCCTCAAAACCTCGCAGCTGAGGCTTTTAACTGACGGAAAGTCGCCGACTTCCGGCGTTTGCCACGGCTCGGTGTGGCAGCGGACTTCAAATTTGATCGGAAAGCTTCAGAAAATTCCCGGTTTTTTCTTTTTGAGTTTCTTCAGAAAACACAATTTTTTCTGCCCCATTTTCCTTTAGAAAATTAAGAACAAATTTGCAAAAAACTATCTCAGGTTGTAAACAGTCTAGGTAAATTGTACTTGAAATAGTACAAGTGTTACGAAACCGTGCTCGAGGGGCACACCACCAGTGCGCAGAAATCGACAACCACCGGATCGAACAGAGATCTGGTGGTTGGCGCAGTATATACATTTCTACTATTCTTTGTATAAATAAGCGTCGTCTCTGTTTTACAGGTCATCTATAATTGTCTGCGCGGCCACACCCGTCACTTTATCGTCGCCGACGGCGAGGAGGAAGCGTTTAGCATGGAGGACATTCTAGCCGTCCTGGGCATGATCGGTCACGTGGCGCAGCAGCAGCCCGGCATCCGTCTGCAGTGCCTGTACATCGGCGCTGTGAAGCTGCGCCTGATGTTGGACGACGCACCCGAAAATTCCCCGGCACGGCGGCCACTCGTGGATATTATGGGAGATCAGTATGGGCGTCTGGCGGATCTGGTGGAGGTCAGCGGCCGCCTGCCGTGTGCCGCGCTGCGCCTGCTGCACTGCACCGTGCGCCTGGGATGCTGCCTGCACGATCCACGGACCCGGGACATGGCCCTGGTGGCGCACTTACCGGCTTACACCGTGGATGCGGCGCTCCGGCCGCTGGATGCCGGGTTCGGCGCGGCGTTGTGGCAGGCGGTGGAGGCGCCGCTGCCGGTATTGCTGCCCGCCGATCTGCAGACGTTTCCGTTGAAACTGGCCGCTGCCCACTGTTTGCCGGGGTTCGCCTGGAGCCAAAACGAGTGTGAGAGCGTCGTTTGCAAGGTACGGTCCTCGTAATAAAGCCAATAAGGCCAACGTCTCGTTAATCGGAAAAATTTCCTCTCACTGTTAACCTGGGCGCAGCAAAGTTTCAAGAAGATCGGGTAATAGCCATACTTTTGGTACACAACAATGCATTTAAACCATGTTAATACGATATATCTCGGCAATCCGATGTTGCGCGCGCAAACGGTTTTCAGAGCAATGTATACGAATTATTCAACTTTAAAAATGACATAACGTATTGCAAAGAAGTGATTCGGAGTGCGCGAAAGCGAAAGTTTTAGCGTATGTATTCCGTTTTTGACACCATATACCGGGCCATTTTCCCTAAACCATTCCCTTTGAGATGACTATTCATTATCGCTTCGGTATGGTAGAAACTGGCCATCAAATGACCAATAAACAGGAAGCGCGCAACTGTGCATAGCTTCATGCGGAATTCAAACACTTGCGCCGTGCACATTTCGGAACTGAAACGAACAACCGATATCTGTAAAAGGGTAATTAAAAGTTGCAAAGATTTTGACACCAAACAGGTTATCCGTTAAGAGATCTGGGAGAAACTCGAGTCATTTTTGACTGTCGTAGACCAAGCATACGATTTGCGTGAAAGCCGGAACCAAACCGTGGATTCAGATCCCATGCTGAGTCTACGAGAAATTTGGGTGCCTCGATTTTCTCTCAGATCGCATTAAGGTCAACCTGTTTGGCATTGAAATCCCTACCTTTTTTTCTCATTCGTTTGAGATATGGGTTGATGGTGTTCATTGGGAAGTTTGCAAAGTGCAAGTGTTAATATCAACAGACTGATGACCAACCGGAAGTGGCTGCTTGAGTACAGATAAGGTGCTTGGTTGCACGCGTGTTTTGGTTGCATAAGTATAACGCCTTTTCGAAGCCCACTGTATGACCCGGCTTATTAAGGAAAATGCCCCGGTACATGCTGTCAAAATTCGTGTACGTGCACGGAAACTTTGCAGGTGCTGTGTGCCGTACACTCGGCTGATCCGCGTCCCGCCTCGCAATATTACCGGAAACGATGGTGTCAGGAAGATCTAAAGCATTTGTCACTAGCGCCACTGTCACGCCTGGCCCAGCATTTTCTTCTCAATCTGGCAGCGGGATTTATTACGTAGCCATTTAAACAGTTCTGAAAAGTACTCATCGTCTGCCGCTATGTAGAAAAAATTCAACGACGTGTTAGAAGATTTCCGAGGTTTCTGATTCCTGTTTTGTTGCTAAACTGCAGAATTATTTTGCATTGATTTTTCGGCTGTGCCTTTTTTAATTACAAAGCACTTGATGCCAAAGAAACCCGTTAAAATTGTTCCCCACGGCGTGCGGGTGTTCTGCACCAGGACGCGGCACAAAATCTTTAGCGGATCACTGTAATACTCCTGTTTTGTATTAATTTCTGATGTGCTACTTGTTGAGCATTTTGATTTTTGATAAACATTGGAGCGGGTGTTGTCTAAGCGGTTTACCATTGTTATGCCTATCTGCTCTTATTAGCAAATTACGTGTCCAGCATAACTGTGCACATGTTCTAAATTCCGCCCATTCTCTAAACGTGATTTTAGTTTCCGTTCTTCCGCTCTTACGAGGCGTTGTAAATAAATTAGGATGCCCAGTGATCTGGTTTCTCATTTGTGGTAATCATAAATCATAATCATAGCTGCTTCATGACCTCGGCATCCTTTTCCAAGTCGTTGGCTCCCTCGAAGCGCCGAATAAGCCATTCGGGTTCAGATGCCTAAAGGTCAAAGAGCATCGTTTCCGTAATAAATAAATACTGCATGTTTTTCTTACGAATGACTAATATTATGCAGTGTCGTTACAAAAGCAGCTTGTTTATCGAGACGGCAGTGAAAAAAATTAGGCCGGGGTCATCCGAAAATTGTTATCTAAACGTTGTGAAGGCCCGTAAATCCGAGACAAATAGGAATACAACTGGCGTCAACGATTGCGTGATACAACAGAAAAAATGTGAATGTGATAAGCGTTTAGTCGGCATACCGATGCCAAGCAACGCTCCACCGTTTGACCCTTTACATACCGCTAGAGACGTGCTTGCCGTTTAACCTAATTTAGCAAAGTTAAAAAGATTACGTAATAATAGTGCAGACAAACCTAAACTCCAAGGTTTCATGCCCATAAATTGATCTTGCATAGACAACATTAATACATAGCATTTTGTGCGCTGTTTACGGGAAATAGCCGCACGTTTTACGAATATTGACAGAACTTGGATGGAAGTATTTCTGAAGCCAACAACTGTGGAGGAAATTTAGCAACAAGTAATAGTAAATCCGCTTCGTACTGGCCAGTAAAGACAGTTAACGGATTTACAGGCAGTGACGGTACAGGCATGTAAACCGAGAATTACTAGAATGAGTCGAAATTGTGGAAGTTTATATACGTGGATGACCGGATATTTAAATTCACGAGCGACATTGTTACTATAAAACTGCTTATTCCTGTTAAATACCTGTGGTTAGGAAATGTTAACACCGTAAACGTAAAGTGTCTAAATTATAAACAAAATCGAAGAACTAAGGAAGAAAATCTCTTGGAAACGTTTCGCATTAGGCAGCATTACGACGATAGTAAATAGTGTACAAGGTGTTCACAAAATGATAATTGACACATTAACGCCATACATGCTCTGATACACAAGTAACACAACCAGTTAAATTCCGACCAGTTAAATACGATCGTCGCTCCACCGTCCGCGGCTGCACTAGGATTATCTTCCGTACGTTTTTTGCCAGTTGGATGAGGAGACGCAGTCACGCTGTTAATCCGGCGGATCGGTTCGCTGTTTATCCGGCTACAGTCTCGTTCCGGATCGGAAGTAGCCAGACAAACCACTTACAAACAAAGAGCGAAACAGTACAACATACTGGCCTTAACTATATCATTATCCAAAGGAAAAACACTATGGGTCATACTCAGCCTAAACCGGCTGTAAACGAACCGTGCCTGGACGCCGGATCGGATTTCTTGGCTATTTTCCAGACTGGAGTCTTGTTCCTTTTCGAACTTAAGCAAAACACATAGAAGCAGGCCGTAAATAAGCATGAAATTAAGCGAGAGCAAAAAATCAATTTCACCCCGTAAACAGCCAGCAAACCGGCAGTTTAAGCCGAAAGGTCACTTCACTACGGCGTTTACCTTAAAATCCCACAGACGACAGAACCCGCGCGCCGGCACCCGGGTCTCCCAGCGCAGATTATCGGCCGGGCCGTTCACCATCAAGCCACGCAATCATCGTCTGTAATCGGATTCCCGGCTGGTGCTCCGCCACGTGGTGCATCATATGGAAGATTTTCAGCAAATCGCCACACTCTATCCTCGCGCCGGTAAAGTCCACCGCAATTCGCCGGGAGCCGCGATGCCGACATTCGAAGATCAACGCCGAGTGGAGAAAACGACGAGCAGGAAGTGGTCCAACAGAGTAACGGTTGAATCAGTTTCGCATGGTCCAAATGGAGCTGGGAATAAATTAGCCGACGCCGATATACCCGATCCATGCGAAAATCATCCACAGGGATAATTAAGAGGAAGAATCCTCCCATTTATCTTCGCTCTAAAACTCCTCATAGTAAAACAGTGGAGTCTGCAAACTCCAGTCTTTTATTATCAGGAGTTTGAGAGCGAAGATAATTAAAGACTGGAGATAATTTGAAAGCGAAGATAATGGGATAAATGACAATATTAGCGCCGTCTTTAATGACAATATTAGCGCGCAGCACAGCATCATCAAGCAGCCGGTTGAATGTGACGCAAATCGCCGTCGGCGGGATGGTGTCGCGTTGCGCCAACACCGTCCGCCAGCGTTCCACCGGCAACGGAGCGCACGTGCAGCTGGTATCCCGGACGGTTGTGCGTACCTCGTCGGAGAGACGCTTGACACGCTGTACATCCATCCAGCGCCTCTGCAGTGTAGTATTAAATTTAATGGCACCGCTACATTTCGCCGAAGGCAACTAGTCGCAGGACATTTGGTCGCAGAAAGGTTGCTGCAAGGCACAAGTTTAAAACGAGCTTTTTGTGACAAGACGGACGTTTTTGACCGTTACACCCGCGCGTAACACGGGCTGATGCACTTATGCATTGATGCACTTATGCAAAATAAACCGAACGATTTTATTTATGTATGTGCTTAGTTATGCAGTTTGTACCTGGCCGATCAGTCTGCGATGATACAGCCGGAGAGGAAACAGCCGAAACTGTAGTCTGGTTCTGGCATTACTACTAGCAATAACGTAACAACTTCCGGGCTGGCACAATCAGCTGCTGACCGTATCGCATTGGAGGAAGGAGTCGCTGCAACGGTTCCAGGAGATCAGCCGTGTAGAAACGCCTATTAAACGAATTTTCGCAAGTATCGTTCGGCTGCCTTGCATGGGCAAAGGCAGTGGACACGTCCTGCTTGTTAACTGGTGTCGGTGCGACATCGCTTAAAAAGCAGAATGAGTTCACTGTAAGCTTGTTTTTCCAAAAGTAACGAGACAGATGATTCGCTGGGATGTGGAATGATACTACCACAATCGCTGTGGTTTCAATGGAAGGTCTCCATCCTCCTCATATGGCCCCGAGATGTCAGCTAGGGAAAAAGCATAATAGCTGTTAGGTTTCCATGTACACAATCTATGGAAACCCCTCGCTTACAAGATACGTTGACGTAGTTTACAAGCGAGAGACTCTAGTCTTATTGCAAATTTTCTCAATGGCTCCATCGTTGCAGTTGGTAGAAAACGCCGGCCGTGTTCAATAAAACTGCGGAACGTGGTCGGTCTGGAAAAAGAAAACTGCTGATTTCGGCCGTTACAATGTCAGGGTGTCCTTTGCGTTTACATCGTTGTAAATCTGCGAATCCGTACTGGACAACTCCCTGTTTCCACAATCTCATAAGTACCATGTTTTCTCAATCTTCACCATTTTATAACATGCTTTTTGCCAGTCTGGGTTTGGTACAAACGGTGTATCTGTCCAGCGGAACTTGTAAAATCAATTGCGTGCACTGGTAGAAAGGTATGCAGCGTGAAGGACTGCAAGAAATATAATACTGAATTTATAACGCGCAATTGATTGGCCGTTCGATTTGCAGCAGCGCACCAATGCTTCCATATAAGACACGAATATGTCCAGAATTTATATTAAGGGATTTGGCCCGGTACATTGCACCGAATTCGTATACATATACGGTAACATTCGCTGTCGCGCACTACCAAACACTTTTTTGCATTGCTTTATGATACTCTGTAGCCAAAAGGTTCCTGTACATAACCGGAAAGACCGTTTGCGCGCGCAACATCCGGTTCGGGAGTTATTAGTGAAATAAAATTCCAAAAGTTTAAACGCGCGAAGGTGCACCAAACGTCTCATTATGAACCGATGCTCTTCAAATTTTTCACGAAAACGCACATTACTATAACGATCGTTTTGGCACCGAACCAGCTTTCCACCATTTTTTTTCAAATTTTAAATTAAGTTTTAAAATAGCATCGGTTCATAATGAGACTTTGGTACACCTCCGCGCGTTTAAACTTTTGGAATTTTATTTCACTAATAACTCCCGAACCGGATGTTGCAGGTAAAAACGGGTTTTTCGCCTTTGTTTACGAATTCTTTGGCTACAAAATATCATAAAGGCATGCCGAAAAGTGTTTGAGAGTGCGCGACAGTGAAAGTTGCCGTGGATGTATACGAATTTGGTGCTGTGTGCCGGGCCAAATCCCTTAAGCGGTTAAACGCTTCTGTTTTCTGCTCCCCCTTCGTTTCCTAACTTAGATAAAATGATCAGTCAATTATCCTGAAACCAGAAATACAAGAAAAGATTGACTGCATACAGCCAAACACTAAATTGCTAAAAAAAACACCACATAACACTATTAAACTTCGCAGTTGTAGAGACTTCATACTCGTACAAATGTTAGCCAGTGAAGCCACTACGACGTACTGAAAAAACTCACAATTTTTCCGGACGATGTTGCTCCGTGTAGATAAAACCAACTGTCCAGGGGGCCTTTGGGAACTGCCGTGTTTTCGGTACGCCACTAGCACTCCGTTATACCTTCTCGAATAGACCCGAGAGAGAATTCCAGTGGTCCTTGAAAACCTGCAATACCATCGAATAATTAAAATTAAAGTTGCAGTCAAGGATGATTTTCTATTTATGACCGAAAAGCATGTTAACTTTACAGAGATACATGTTTTCTTGGAACTGCGCTTTAAGACGTATGAATAAAGACGAGCACTAAGCGGAAGCGACGAAACATATCTCACAAACGTTATAATATTATGAAAACACAAACCTTAAAGCGCTAATATATTTCGCTGTTCCTCATCACCAAATTTTGCAATTACATCGGTCGCAGCGCATTGGTACCTTTCGGGGAATGCGGTAAAAGCAAGCCCTTAACAGTTGAGTATTCACATAGGTATCAAGAGCCGCGACCTAATCAAGCAGATCATTGTGGGAAGCGCAGGAAGCACCGATGTTATCATGAGTTGAAACGTATATATGCAACACCGACTGGTCTTCCAGTTTCGCAGCATGTTCAATGTCCGCCACATTCGATTCTTCTCTACAAAGGTAAATTTCTACACTTTTCTGCTGCTGTCAGTGCAGTGCTCCTGGAAAATAGCGTTCGATCATAATTGTTGGCAAGGTAATAAAGCTGAATACTCGTACTGACGGCAACGAACAAAATAACTTTGAGACTTACAACTTCACAACTATGTACTTACATTGCACAACCAGCGCACTGGACACGTTAGATTTTCTTCGTGGATCTCCGCTATAGTGTCCAGTTTTATCGCAGTCGTTAAAAGGAAACTGCGCTACGTAAAACAAGCATCCCAAAAATAACGGTTGTACATAATGTCAAGAATCCTGCTCACGACTCACATAAGGCCGTTCGAGCACGAGCATTTCGTCGATACTTCGTCTCAAATGCTGATAATAAGCGAGCTAACCGTGAGGTGCTTACAAGTTACACGTTGAAAGACGTTTGTGTAGATCTCAAATGCTGGTAATAAGGGAGCCCACCGTGAGGTTGCCTTCCAATTTTGAAAGACTTTTGTGTAAAATTATTTCAAATCCGGAAAATTATTCTTCGGTAAATGCAGACAAAGTTATAACTCAATCTGAAAACTGATTTCGTTATACAGATTCCAGATTTTGAATGCGTTCCTAAAATGCTCTGCTGAGCCACGATGAAACTGTGTCATACAAGCAAAATGCTGAGCACAACTGACAACAAGTGGCAGTTTGGCAGGCCCGACCGTTATCTTTGCCCGGCCGGGCATCGCACATGCATGCATTCTGTGTGTTCATCAAATTATGGCTTCTGCTGTAAACCATATTCTGACGTTATGCTGCCCGAAACAACTTCACGTATCCGTTAGTGTTTAAGGTGACGCATAAAAATGCTCCTTGTTGTTATACGTAAATCCTTAATACAACATGTTTACGTCGGATGTTGAAAAGAGAAATTCAGATTTTTGCAGGTGTTACCTAACATTTTCTAGTGGCAGCTGAGAGATGTTTCTGGGGACCCCGGCAATCGGTTTGCCGCTGTCTATAATACTGGAGAATTCCTACACTGACGTATTTGGCTCGCTGATGTCCGTTTGTTACACGCTCCCTGGAAGAACTTCCCGACCAGCGATTATATTCATTTCTTTGGCCCATGGTTTCTCCTTTTGAGCACGAGTGTTGCTCATCCGTCCAAACCCGGATGCCGAACGAGACATCGTGTTTGGAGAGATTAACAACGCTCGTCGCTACATAACTTCTACCGAAACAGTCGTAAGCGGAAACTTTGTGTCCTACTTATCCTTGTAATTACAGGTAAATAATGATCGTATCCCAGACAGCAAATCTTCAGATGTGACTGAATGCGATTTTATATGCATTTGTTTAAAGAGCGGGTATGTCACAGCCGAAATCAATGTTTTGGTATTAAACTTAAAATTAAAAACATTTGTTTTATGGCACAAATTTCGCCTTGAATGCAGCTGAAGAACGCAATACGATATCCGGCGCCACAAGCTGCACGGCAGAGTCTGTATACAGAAAAATTCATGCTGAATGTACGCACACTGCGTGGAGACAGTTGCAGACATGTGCGATGGGCCGGGATAAGACAGCAGTCGGGCCTGCCAGACTGCCACTTGTTGCATCCTGTCCTCATCATTGCTAAGTAAGAACTCGCTTCTAAATCTGGAACCTTCATAAGAAAATCAACCTTCCATATATACTGTTTGCATTTGTCGAGAAATTATTCTTGCAAATTTGGCGTACATCCACGAGGTCACGACAGTCTAGTTTTTTGTCTTGCGAGGTCGATGGTGGTTTGATAGTTATACTCTGCAGAATCCGAGTCCGCACATGATCGACGAAATGCCCACTGGAGGAACATCCTTAAGATTACGGTCAACGGGATTACTTCTTCTCCTTGGCATTGTTTACTTGTAACGCAGAGAGATCAAAAGGAGAAGCTGAAGTTTCGATCCGAAGTTTCCGGTAAGTTCCATGGGAATGTTACTGACATACATACTGTTATCGTTTATCGGTGACGCTTGATATGATTTATTTAAACTAGTAAACTAGTAAACCCCGCACAAACTGCGCGGGAAAAAAACTGCACTACAAATAAATTAAATACTGCAACTGTAAGTTATAACTGTTAGATTCCAAAACGGTCTGAAATTCTAGGTGACTACTCGGTAGGTCGTACGAATTCTGGAATATACATATTTATGTCATTCTCAGGATAAATGTTCTCACATTTTCATTCGAATTAGATATTGTACTGTTCAAACTATAACAGGTACATATCCTACATGTACTGTGTAACTGTATGTAAAGCGTCAACATATTACATGGGCAAACGGCTAAAGTTACCTCGTAGTAAAGGACAATAAGCTAATTAATTGTAATTAATATTTGGTCACTTCTGTGCGCCAGGAAAATTCCTGGCGCATAGTCGTTTTGCTATGCGCCCGGAAATTCGCCGCCCAAATTAAAAATTAAATCAATCAATCAAAAAATAAAAATTAGATTAATTACTCAAAAACCGTTTACGTTGTTAATACAGAACTTAATACTATCACTTTGTGAAAGTACTGTTAACATTACCAGCATAGCAACAAGTGCGATTTATTACAAAAAGTGCAAACCACGCTTTCCAAGAATTCTAGGTTTACGAAAAAACTAAGAACTGAACAATCGGTAATACTTGGGTTTTCAACATTGTAAGCGCTCGTTTAAATTTACTAAACACCTCAACATAAAATCCCATACTCATTTCATGATAAAGGCCACACGAAAACCGCGTAAGTTTCAAATCAATTTTTCTATAAAATAAATTTTTTTATAAAAGAAAATATCATAAGAAAACATAAGAAAACACACGAGAAACATCTGAAGCACACGAAAACATAAGAGACAAAAGAAAATATAAGAAAACATAATAGAAGGAAACAAGTTTGTGCTGTACTTGTATAAACTCTTTGAAGATAGTCCAAGAAAATTCAAGGTATTTCAATACTGTACTATTTTCGTTCCAGGAATAATGGGCTAATATTACGTCCGGCCGCACTTTGGCTTTTCTTCTACGGTCTTCGCTGTCGTCCCCGGCTAATTCCTGCACGTTGATTCCTACGTGGTTTTCCAACTTGTTGTAACTCCTGCTGCCTCCCAAAGGTACAGTTGGAACTTGGGGCACATCTTTTGTGGAATGGATACTTCAGCGTCCGGTGTGACAGCCGTTGCTGGGGCTCTAGCGGTGGCGTTGTGGCGCTAAACAATAAGATGGTCAACGTTACGGAAATCATAATCGTATTTTGCAAGACTAATTAGTGCGTGGATAATTAGGGAACGTTACGATTCTGATCCCTTAACGTTCCCGGATTACCCACGTACACATCTGGAAAAACAAATCTGATCTTTCGCCCCTTTTAGTGGTAAGGAAAATGATAAAAAGGATTACGATAGCAGTACATAATGTACGTTTTTTACGAGTACTGCCATTTAAGTGTTAATGTTAAGTACTCTCACAAACGAAAAAAAGGGATAGTCTCTATATTTACAATTGTATATTTTATGTCTCTATATATACTTGTGCATGTTGCCTCAGCGGCCGCATAATCGGCCACACGAACGAGCCTGTTTACTCTGCATTATTGTATATACGAATTCACTACGGATTGCGGTATTATCTTGTTTGCATCCGCACCGATCGTCAATCGCGAGGATGCCACCCTTTCAGCTGAGCACCAGCATTTTCGAATCCGATTTCCGCGCGCTTTTCGACAAAGACTTGAAGCAGATGCTGGGACAGCTGCTGCAAAAGAATCCCAACGCAAGCGAGTTGTCAGGCGCGATTTTCCCAAGATACGTTTACAGTTGACTCATAGTTTGACATTTTGCAGCCCCGCTCAGTATGCTTTACCGATCAGTTCCTGACGTGTGGCGGCACCACGGAGGCCTGCGCGTTCGGCAACTTGGCGTCCATCGGGAACATTGTTGGAAAGGACAATGAGGCTCACGTAGAAACTATACCCGAATTTCTAAAAAGATATTGTATCAACATTTTTCTTTCTGTGCGTTTCGGATTAACCTGACTGCTCTTGCAGGTTCCCGCCGTTCCTCAGCGATTATCCAGCGAACGACGGGGGTTCTCTCGGCTTGACGCTTGACAGCGTTAGTAGAAGATTGCAGGCAGCACCGGCTGCCTAATGGTCATGCTTTCTTTCCGGTTTATAAATGTTGTGCGAACCGCTGTCACTGCAGTTTTTGAAGATTTTAGTCTTCAAACTCGGTACGGGAAATTCAGTAATACTAACGAAATCTTTATATACTGTAGGTACCATTAAGTCGGTACAAGCAAACGCAGCGTAGTCATCATTATCGTTTATATTTATACTCATACGTACTGTATCTGCGTCTGCATGAACACGGACAATCATTTTAGCCGGAACACTCACTCACCTGGTGTTTGTTTAAAGACTGTAAGAAGAGACAACCACAGACATTCGTCTCCAAAAGCATTCCTGCTCTGGCAAATGGCTACAAAGCACAAACTGCTGCGAAAATAATCTGCTTTCAGGAAACGAGCGACTACGAGATCCATCATGCCGATTACGAAGTTTTGCCCGGCAGTGGAAGCGGAAGTCAACTAGACGCACGCAAAGCAGCCACCGGCCGGCATTTTCGTGAAGAGTGTGGCTACAAGCCTACAATCATTCGCATCTGAAAATTATCGTTTGCCTTTCGACGAGGTTTAGAAGGAATCAGGAACCCGAAGCCGCTGTCGCCACGCAAAAACTTGCTGTCTAGGGTGTGATCTTTGCTTAGGTATGTACCTGCAAGTACAAGGAACATGTTGACAACGAGTAGCTGATAGTTTAATTATGCCTCTAGATTATATTAAGGCACTGTAAGGATAGAAGCGGCTCACGCACAGCGACAAAAGTCTTTCAAGGATTTCCAGCACTTTGCGCCGTGGTGCAGTGGCACTACCTACGCGCATCTTACGACGTAGCCATCTATTTCTTTATATCCTGATCAGTAACCAATCATTTATCTAAATTTCGTGCAGCTATTGTATAGGGACTCTGTAATGTATCAGTTGTTCTCCGCTCCTGCCTTTTTGTCATTCTGCGCTTTTTCAAGGTAAACTATCCCATAACAGTTTATCTACTGTTTTTAGATTACCAATTTGGCCACTAACACCACTGGTGCCCTTCATATCCCAGTTTAACGATCAGTACAGATACACCGCGGCTGCGCCATTAGCTTTGAAGAAACGAAGGAAAAATTTAAAGTACTCTAAACCTAAGTGTACCTAAATTGTAAAGCGCAGGCGCAGTGTGTGGCGGTGAGTCGTGACTGCATTTCTCTGGAAACAGTGCAGCCACGGCACTATAGTGGCTCACGTGGCGTGGCGAAAGCACTGTCGTTACTGATTTCTTTACGGCGCAACTGCAAGAAAACGGCTCAACCTTTTTTTAAAAAATTGTAAGTACTTTGTAAAGGGTAAATCCTGTTTAATCCTATATTGAAAAAAAGACTAGGCTCCTCATGCCACCTTTTACCACCTTTGGCTCCTAATACTCCTAATACCATATACCACATTTGGCTCCTACTCCTAGTACCACCTTTTGCACACCACTTTTGACTCCGCATACCACCATTTATTTAGTACTTAACACAATTCACAAATTTCCATTCGAGTGTTGTGGCATATCGATCTGACGGTGGTAACTTTTCACTGTTTTTCTTAGACCAGAATCATTGGGAGCTTGTACTCGTAGGACACAGGGGATAGCGTTTGTTGTTCGTTGACAAATATACCTGTTGAGCACCGTAAAGGTTTCTTTTTGATAACGCGTGAACGCCTCATGGAAAATATGAACGTCGCGAAGGAGGCTCCTTCATACATCAAAGGATGTTCTGGATCGCTTCGTCCAGGAGGTTGCAATGTGAGCTCAAGGCAACGCATTTAACCAGATGCTGGCTTCTGGTTTTGATTGTGCGAGAAGTCGGGCCCTGTTAATTTCATGGCAGCGGAAGTTTTCAAGCAATGCTAACAGCGAAGCGTATCATAGCGGTAAGTCCCACGTTCGCTGTGACTTCCTGAAACCTGGCTCTAGAGTTCCGTCTGCTGAGATTTAGCTTTCCACAGCTCCTGTGCGCTTTCGGCATCCACCACCGAGTGATAGGAAGCAGAAGTGGCAATAGTCCGGATACGGAATAAATCGAAGCCAAATAGGTTGGGAGGGCGAATTCTTCCGCCCGGCGAATGCCAATACCGCCTCTGCTCACTGGTAGTGTCGCTTGCCGCCAACACGCGCGGGTAGTCGTTTTGGTTTGTTCGGACATTGCATAGTGTCTGGAACCACTCCCGCGTCGCTTCGTCCAGCTGGTAAAGTTGTTGTGGCTGCTTCCACGCGTTGCAGCACCGCAGCATGTACGCTATCTTTGGGGCACCGAGGCAGTGCTTCTATCACTCTTCTACCGAAGCAGCATTCTGTTAGTGCACTCCGGTATACCTTCCCGAACAGACCAAGGAGTGAACTCGAATACGAGTCGTAGTCGTTGAAGACCTGCAATACCATTGAATAATTAAAGTTGCAGTCAAGGATGTTTTTTCATTTATGACCGAAAAGCCTGTGATCTTTATACAGATACTTACCTCTTTCTCTTTGAACCGCGCTTTAGACTTATTAAGAAAGACTAGCACCAAGCGGAAGCGACGAAATGTACTTCACAAACGTTGCAATATGAAAGCACAAACCTCAAAACGCTATTTTAATGCGCTGTTCCTTATCACGAAATTTTCGAATTACATCGATCTCAGCGCATTGGTACCGAGAATTCGATGAGAGCCAAGTCCATAGAAGCAACTCACACAGGTATGAAGAGGCGCGACTTAATCAAGCAAAATCACTGTGGTAAGCGAAGGAAGCACGTAATCTCATGAATGCTGCTGACGACTCGCATATTGCCGTTCCAACACGGGCATTTCGTCGATACTACGGACTCCAGTGCGGAAGACCATAGCACGCGAAACTAACGGTGAGGTTGCAGTACACGTTGAAAGACCCTTGTGTAACCTTGTAGGCGTACTTCAAATCCGAAAAATTATTCTTCGATAAATTCAGAGAACGTTTAAACTCAATCTCAAAGTTGATTTCGTCACATGGATTCCAGATTTCGAGTGAGTTCGTAAAATGCACGGATGCGCAACGCTGAGACTTTGTCATACAGGCAAATGCAGAGCACAACTGACAGCAAGTGGCAGTCTGGCAGGCTCTGACCTGACGTTATCTTTGCCCGGCCGGGCATCGCAGATGCATGCATCGATCAGCGGGCAGTGTGTATTCACTCACTATTCAGCAAACATGGCTTTTGCTGCAAACCAGATTCTGCGCTGGAACTTATGCTGCTGGAAACATCTTTTCGGCTCCGTTAGTTTTCGAGGCGACGGACAAAAATGTGCCGTCGATGAAGTTATTATAAATTTATAAGTAGATCCTAGCATGTTCACGACGGATGTTGAAATGAGAATCTCAGATTTTTGCGGGTGTTAAATAACATTTTCTAATGGGAGCTGAGAGATTTTTCCGGGGACCCGGGCAATCGGTTTGCAGGTCTATAATACTGGAGAATTTCCTACACTGATGTATTTGGCTCGCAAATGTCCGATTGTTACGCGCTCCCTTGAAGAACTTCCCGACCAACGATTATATTAATCTCTTTTGCGCATGGTTTTTTGAACACGGGTGTTGCTCATCCGTCCAGATTCGGATGACGAACCAGACATCGTATCCAGAGTGATTAACAACGCTCGTCGTCTGATGGTCTCGTAGAGTTTTCGCCTTGGATCGCTGTTAAAAGTTTTTATCATTTCCCCGTTTTCTCGGATAACGGGATTCTCCAGGCCCCCAATACCCTTGTTTATCAGATGGTAAGGTTCAGTGAGTGTACTTTATTTAAATTTCTAGAATTCAAGACGACGGATCGCGCCGGTTAGTAGCGAAATCCAATACCAGTTTCTTTGACAGAATCTTCTGGTCGACGGACCCCAACTAACAAACAACTATAGTGACTTATATTGTCTATACAATGTAATTTCGAAAAAGGTGGGTATCTATTTGTAACAAATACGTAATCTAGAGGCATAAATTAATAAACTATCTAGTCGTTTTCAACTTGCGTGCTTCATTCTACATAACTTCTACCGGAACCGTCGTCAGCGGAAACTTTGTGTCCAACTTATCCTTGTAGTTACAGGTAAATAATGATCACATCCCAGACAACAAATCTTTGGATGCGACTGAATGCAGCCACACTATCAACGCTAACCGCCGGCCGATGGCCCACGCTGAAAATTGGATTCAGATTTGGATTACTCAAATCTGTATGTGGATCACTCAAACTTGGATTACTTAACTTCCGAACTTCCAAGGTATGTTTTCCAAGGTAAGTACAGTAATTCAAGTCTCTGGGATCCACATCAAAGTTTGAATAATCCAAATCCGAAATCAGTTTTCAGCGCGGTCCGTAAATGCTTGCTCGGTTTAGCAGAACCGGAACCCCGGGAACTGATTTGTGGGACCATTAAAAGCCTGTGCGGTGTGTGTGAAATTAACCGCATCAAACCAGTAAATTAGAACACACAGATACCCGCCGAAATTTGCTATGGCATAGTGCGGTCGGCCGCTCGTGCAGCATTTTGTAGAAAATTATTTAATAGATACAGTGGTTGGCTGCTGTACGTGCGTAGCGGTTCAGTCTGCTGTATGCAAACAAGACAGGTACACTGGAGTTCCAATGGTGTTGCTACATACCCATCCCGTATCATGGCATTAGCGGATGTGGCTGTAACACCTGTATGAAGTCCATCTGCTGCAACTGGAAAAAGTTGGATCTCACTGGTTTTCGTGAACGAACAAAATCCCCTGTAATCACTACTCTTTGCGAGCCTCGCAGTTGACCACAGAAAAATGGTTGACGTTGCAACTAGCAACCTCATCATTAAGATAACTGTCGTGGCCGCACCCTTGTTCTTTTACATGTGTCCTGTCTTAGTTCAGAATGGGCGACGCTTCGTAGCAAAGGACAATGCACAAGTTCAATATCAGGTTAATTTACACTAAGCTAGTAACGGAGATGCAACGAATTAATTAGATTTCTATATACAGTTATTACAGTACAAGCCATTATAAAGTACATCGCCCAGACGTCCAGGGTGCCGGGAAGTGCAGCGGAAATACGTGAAAACCGGAAGTGAGGAAAGTACAGCGGGCTGGCAGACCGTTATATCGTTCACTGGCGATCGAAACTACAAGCACGTTCGGACCACTGACGAAGAAATTCTTCAGAGAGCTGTCGAGAAAGATTATCGACAGTACATGCAACCCCCGATCAGGAGAGTTTTTACGCCAAAGAATAAATAAGAATTCGTATTGAGATTCAGAGAGGAAATGCAGTGTCTGTTCTCGGTACATTCAGCGACACGGTTTTGTTTGTTTGTTTAATCAGCTTAACGTCTACAACAATCAGGTAAACGCCTGCACGAGGTTGCAGACAAACGTTCAAGATCAGCTGCCACAAAGGTAGAGAAGGAAGATGTGTACTTTGCCTTTCATTCAGCGGAACGGAAATGATGTTATGATTTTTGTTAACTGATATCCTTGTATTACACTGTCCAATAGGAAATCAATAAAATCAGAGTGATAGCCATTATAATGGGCGTATCCCCGAAAACATGCACACTGTGCAAGCGACAGCTAGAAAACTTGAAAATTAATTGGTCAGGGATGCACGGCTCCCCAGCCGGACGGCTTGGAAGTCACTCTGTGAAGTTGAAGGATGGAGTGGCGGGCAATACGCGACAGCTTTTCCAGTTCCACATCTCCCAGGCCGTCAACGCACCACTGCTTCCCGGAGTAATACAAAGACGGTCGGATCGGCCGATTGCATCGCACACAACTTCTGCAACAACAGTCATAACGCAGTACTTGTGGAAGTCAGGAAACCTAAAAAACCTTAGAAACCTAAGAAACCTAAGAAATCTCAGAAACCTAAGAAATCTGTAATAATCAATTATACCTTACAGACGAATTTTTCCTGTTCTAGCTCTGCACCCGTATCGCACAGTCTGCAGCCCTTCACCCGGTCCCAGAGTTCGTGCAGCTTCTGTGCATTTAGTACCGGCAGCGCTGCGTTCATGGCATCCCACAGTGCGCATCCAAGCGACACGTCAAAGTTGATGCGGTGAAAATGCAGCCTGCGCAGTCGGATGCCGGTTCGCTGCTGCGCCATATAGCGCACTATATCGCACCGTGTCAGGTAATCGTCGATGGCCGAAAGGGCTCTTCATAACGTGCTGCGTCCCCAGCTGCAAGCGTTTGTAGACCGCTGCCGTGAGTAGAAAGCGGCGAAATCGCCATTTGGAGTCCGTGCAGAATTTAGCGCCCAGCGTAATGCGGCCGCTAAGCACCGGCTCCACGCGGCGCAGACCGTGCGCAGCTCCATCCGCTTCACGGTGTCCAGCTGTGAAAAACCTGCAGCCACAATTCAACCGAATGGGTCATCGAATCAGGCGTTGTCCGCACCTCATCACTCAACAGAGAGGTTGCTGTTACACTGACAGGAGCTGACAAAGAACGTCTGTCAAGTTAAATATGGCAACGGCTTAGCCGGCTATTGGCTAGCCGGCTGGACGACAACAACTAACGTTGGCCTGGATTACCGCGATCGGCGCCGCGAATTTGTCCCATTCGGACGGGTATTCCGGCCCATCCGCCCTCGGCCGGTCGATCAGGGGGCGGAGCAACAGTCGGCCGTCGCTAATACGACTGAAAAACTCAAACATCATTTCTTATTCTTGATTCCGAAGTTATTGATTTTTTAAAATTGATTTTCTGAGTATTTTCTAATACAAGCACACAAGTGACAAGGCAAATAAAATATGAAGTCTAAAATGTTTCTGGGATTTTTCTTTTTCTGCTCCAGCTTCATGCTAAATCGGCAATAATTTGACCCGTTTCTCCACCTAACATTTTTCAATAAAACTGTTTAAAAAAATTAAAACAATTTTCTGTAAAATGAAATAAAATTAGTAAACTGCTTCAAAATTTTCGCAGACCGGTTTGATTTTGAAATGATCTCGTTTGAAACTGGAAATGTGAACCGTTTGAAATTGCAGATTCCACCTTAGTCGCCGGTGCTACACGTGTGTACGTGCGGGTGCGGGAAACCTGTTTCGGTCCGTGGATATGGCTGCCGGCTGCTATGACCCGTTTGTTAGGCGGCCGCCGCGACCCGGACTACGCAGCGGCCGTAGTCCAGTGGAGGACATCCGCCACGGATGAGGTGCACACCCAGATCGTCCCATTGGAGAGTCTGGGTAGGGCAGCGCCGACCGAGCGCTGCGAGCCGCTCGAACCCGGGGTGCTGGCCACGGGCAGCTTGCCGCTGGAGTCGGGGCTGCCCCTACTGTCGCCGGCAGCGGCGGCTGTGGTAATTCTGATGACCAACGACCATTTCAGTGGCCGACGGTGGATGTGCGTCGGGGAGCTGCGGGACGGCCGGTTCCGCGTGGTGGTGCGCGACGCAGACTGGACCGGAGACGACGGCACCGCCCGGCTTCTGGTATATTGACTTGTCTCCGTTCCTTAACCGATCACATTCGTTATATATGTGCTTTCAATCAGCTAACCACCCGCATATTCCAATTCCCTGCAAGCCAACAATTTGAGAAATAATTTCTTCACATATTCCTAACAGCTTATAATCTCAGTATACAATTTATTTTAATTACTACCTATTATAAACCAAACAAAAACTGTAATGAACTCCTTAAATTATGAATTTAATAAGAAAATCAAACCTAATTATTAATGCATACTGTGCAGTAAAAATGTTACATTTTTCACTACACGGTATGCAGTAAAAATTTCAATTTGATTTTCTTATTAAGTTATTTAACGGTTACTATTAAATTTTTCCACAATGCATGGCACTGTAGAAAAGCAGTAGGTAATAACGTCGATTAAATTAAGCCTGCGATCTGGCCGCGCAGTAACCTGGTGTTTCTCTCGCTTCTGATAATTGTAATCATAGCTGCTTCGTGACCTCGCATCTTTTCCAACCTGTACAGTCGTAAGCTCCATCGAAGCGCTGAGTAAGCAATTCGACTAAGAAGCTTTAATGGCATCGTTTTAATAATATGATAACTACTGTATGTTTATACGCAAATGAGACGCTTTATAGGCGGCCGTGCATGAGCTCAAGAATTGTCTTTTGCCGGTTTTTTGGTTTGTTTTCACGAGCAAAACGTTGCTCACGCCTCAAGACCAAAACGTAGGACGAAGAAGGTCAGCTTTAGCAAGTCGGTTCACAATTCAGAACTTTGCTAATAAATAAATTAGCGCCCTCCTAACTCACACGAGCGATTTCTTTCAGAATAACCTGTATTCCGGTGGTGATCTCAGCGAGGGAGGGCGGTCAGATGAAGTCCTGTCTATTCAGGAAATTTCGAAAAATGGCGATGGAGCGGAATCGAACCGTTGGCTACCGAGTGTGATCCACGTATCACAGCCACTGTGCCATCGCCGCTGTTGGCGAAGATCAAGATATTTGAGCTTGAGCAACCAGGTAGGCGGCGGATGGGCGGCTGCTGTGCGTACAGAGGATTCTCCTCTAAGTCCTCTTACACTGTCTATTACTATTCATGTTTCTCCAAAACCTCGAAGCTGAGCCTGGCGGAAATTTGCTGACTTCCCCGGCGCTTTCCACCGCTCGGTGTGGCAACGTAACTCAAAGTTTACTTGTAAGCTTCAGAAAATTTCCCGTTTTCCTTTTTGATTTTCGTCAGAAAACACAACTTTTTTGTCCGAAATTCCTTTAGAAAATAAGAAGAGATTGCAATAAACTGTTCCAGGTTGCAAACAGACTACCCGTATCGTCGTTCAAGTGAAACACTAGGATAAGTGAATGAGCGATAGCCGTTCAAGTGAAACACCCGAAATATTGGATTCCATAAACTGATTTTTTGCCAGTTTGTTCTTTATTCGATTAAATGGCTTTTCTAAGGCGCATTCGTGCTCGACGGGCACACAATCATTGCGCAGAAATCAATACCGGATCGAACAGAGATCCGCTGGTTGGCGCAGTGTATACATTTCTGTCATCCTTTGTATAAATAAGCGTCGTCTCTGTTTCAAAGGTCATCTATAATTGTCTGCGCGGCCACACCCGTCACGTTATCGTCGAGGAGGAAGCGTTTAGCATGGAGGACATTCTAGCCGTCCTGGGTATGGTCAGTCACGAGGCGCAGCAGCAGCCCGGTATCCGTCTGCAGTGTCTGCACATTGTCGATGTACAGCTGCGCCTGGTGTTGGACGACGCACCCAGCGAAAATTCCCCAGTACTGCGGCCGCTCGTGGATATCATGGGAGATCAGTATGTGCGTCTGGCGGATTTTGTAGAGGTCAGCGGCCGCCTGCCGTGCGGCGACCTCCGCCTGCTGCACTGCACCGTGCGCCTGGGGTGCTGCCTGCACGATCCACGGACCCGGGACATGGCACTTGTGGCGCATTTACCGGCCTACACCATGGATGCGGCGCTCCGGCCGCTGGATGCCGGGTTCGGCGCGGCGTTGTGGCAGGCGGTGGAAGCGCCGCTGCCGGTATTGCTGCCCGCCGATCTGCAGACGTTTCCGTTGAAACTGGCCGCTGCCCACTGTTTGCCGGGGTTCGCCTGGAGCCAAAACGAGTGTGAGAGCGTCGTTTGCAAGGTACGGTCCTCGTAATAAAGCCAATAAGGCCAACGTCTCGTTCATCGGAAAAATTCCCTCTCACCGTTAACCTGGGCGCAGCAAAGTTTCAAGAAGATCGGGTACTAGCCATACTTTTGGTACACAACAATGCATTTAAACTTTTCACCCATTTTAATACGATATATCCCGGCAATCCGATGTTGCGCGCGCAAACGGTTTTCAGAGCAATGTATACGAATTATTTAACTTTAAAAATGACATAACGTATTGCAAAGAAGTGATTCGGAGTGCGCGAAAGCGAAAGTTTTAGCGTATGTATTCCGTTTTTGACACCATGTACCGGGCCATTTTCCTTAAACCATTCCCTTTGAGATGACTATTCATTATCGCTTCGGTATGGTAGAAACTGGCCATCAAATGACCAATAAACAGGAAGCGCGCAACTGCGCATAGCTTCATGCGGAATTCAAGCACTTGCGCCGTGCACATTTCGGAACTGAAACGAACAACCGATATCTCTAAAAGGGTAAATCGACACCAAACAGGTTTTCCGTTAAGAGATCTGAGAGAAACTCGAGTCATTTTTGACTGTCGTAGACAAAGCATGCGATGTGCGTGAAAGCCGGAACCAAACCGTGGATTCAGATCCTGTGCTGAGTCTACGAGAAATTTGGGTGCCTCGATTTTCTCTCAGATCGCATTAAGGTCAACCTGTTTGGTATTGAAATCCCTACCTTTTTTTCTCATTCGTTTGAGATATGGGTTGATGGTTTTCATTGGGAAGTTTGCAAAGTGCAAGTGTTAATATCAACAGACTGATGACCAACCGGAAGTGGCTGCTTGAGTACAGATAAGGTGCTTGGTTGCACGCGTGTTTTGGTTGCATAAGTATAACGCCTTTTTGAAGTCCTCTGTATGATCCGTCATCTTAACGAAAGTGACCCGGTACATACTGTTAAAATTCGTGTACGTGCACGGAAACTTTTTGCAGGTGCTGTGTGCCGTACACTCGGCCGATCCGCGTCCCGCCTCGCAATATTACCGGAAACGATGGTGTCAGGAAGATCTTAAGCATTTGTCACTAGCGCCACTGTCACGCCTGGCCCAACATTTTCTTCTCAATCTGGCAGCGGGATTTATTACGTAGCCATTTAAACAGATCTGAAAAGTGCTCATCGTCTGCCGCTATGTAGAAAAAATTCAGTGTCGTGTTAGAAGATTTCCGAGGTACCTAATTCCTGTTTTGTTGCTAAACTGCAGAATTATTTTGCGTTGATTTTTCGGCTGTGCCTTTTTTTTATTACAAAGCACTTGATGCCAACGAAACCAGTTAAAATTGTTCCCCACGGCGTGCGGGTGTCTTGCACAAGGACACGGTACAAAACTGCTAGCTGATTACTTAATACCCCTGTTTTGTATTAATTTCTGATGTGCTACCTGTTGAGCATTTTGATTTTTAATAAACCCCGAAGCGGATGTTGTCTAAGCGGTTTGCCATGTTGCGGCTGTCTGCTTCTGTCAGCTAACCATGTGTGCAGCACTGCAGCGTAACTGCACATCTATCGGAATTTGCCCATTCTACTTCTAAACGGGATTTTAGTTTTCGCTCTTCTTCCGTTCGCACGGGACGTTCTAGGTAAGTTAGGACGCACAGTGATCTGGTGTATCTCGATTGTTATGATCGTAATCATAGCTGCTTCGTGACCTCGCATCGTTTTCCTGGCTGAACAGTCGTCTGCTCCCTGGAAACGCTGTATTAAGTGAACATGTTATTCTTACGAATGACTAATATTATGCAGTGTCCATAGAAAAGCAGCTTGTTTATCGAGACGGCAGTGGAAAAAAATTAGGCCGGGGTCATCCGAAAATTGTTATCTAAACGATCAGAAATCCTATAAAGCCGAAACAAATATGATACAACTGGCGTCAACGATTGCGTGATAGGTGATACCAGAGAAAAAATGTGAATGTGATAAGCGTTTAGTCGGCATATTGTAGCCGTACAAATGAGATCTGTAGTGAAGATGTACATCTCATTGGTGTTAGTTCAACCGGAAACATCTGAATGTGTACTTGTACGAGATGACCAGTTCTAACATAGATTTTCTAGACTTCTGAGATTGTCTGAATGTTCTAAGATCATTCTTGCTCTTGCTCTTGCCCTTGCTCTTCTCCAGTGACTTTTCAACTGATTAAAAATGTTTGTGCACTTTGACAATCGCGCCGGTATCGGTTAACATGTACGCAATTGCAGAACTGACTTTTGGGTAATTCGCTAACTCGGAACATCACCGACGAACCACCAAACCTCGTTTTGTCGTGGTACGGGTGTGCACCCCACTCCACTAGTGGCAGCTTAGAAGTTGCCGTTGCAATATCGATGCCAAGCAACGTTCCACCGTTTGACCCTTTACATACCGCTAGAGACGTGCTTGCCGTTTAACCTAATTTTGCAAAGTTAAAAAGATTACGTAATAATAGTGCAGACAAACTTAAACTCCAAGAATCCATGCCCATCAATTCATATTGCATAGACAACATTAATACATAGCATTTTGTGCGCTGTTTACGGGAAAAAGCCGCATGTTTTACGAAATATTGACAGAACTTGGATCGAAATCATTCTGACGCAAACAGCTGTAGAGGAAATTTAATAATATATAAAGGATAATATAAATCCGCTGGCCAGTAATTACGGTTAACGGATTTACAGGCAGTGACGGTACAGGCAAGTGCGAAAGGTTGTAAACCGAGAATTACTAGCATGAGTCGAAATTGTGGAAGTTTATATACGTGGATGACCGGGTATTTAAATTCACGAGCGACATTTTTACTATAAAACTGCTTATTCTTGTTAATTAAATACCTGTGGTTAAGAAATGTTAACAACGTGAACGTAAAGTGTCTAAACTATAAACAAAACCGAAGAACTGAATAAAAGCTAGACTAAGGAAAAAAATCTCTTGGAAACGTTTCGCATTAGGCAACATTACGACGATAGTAAATAGTGTACAAGGTGTTCACAAAATGATAATTGACACATTAACGCCATACATGCTCTGATACACAAGTAACACAACCAGTTAAATTTCGACCAGTTAAATACGATCGTCGCTCCACCGTCCGCGGCTGCACTAGGATTATCTTCCGTACGTTTTTTGCCAGTTGGATGAGGAGACGCAGTCACGCTGTTAATCCGGCGGATCGGTTCGCTGTTTATCCGGCTACAGTCTCGTTCCGGATCGGAAGTAGCCAGACAAACCACTTACAAACAAAGAGCGAAACAGTACAACATACTGGCCTTAACTATATCATTATCCAAAGGAAAAACACTTTGGGCCATACTCAGCCTAAACCGGGTGTAAACGAACCGTGCCTGGACGCCGGATCGGATTTCTTGGCTATTTCTCAGACTGGAGTCTTGTTCCTTTTCGAACTTAAGCAAAACACATAGAAGCAGGCCGTAAATAAGCATGAAATTAAGCGAGAGCAAAAAATCAATTTCACCCCGTAAACAGCCAGCAAACCGGCAGTTTAAACCGAAAGGTCACTTCACTACGGCGTTTACCTTAAAATCCCACAGACGACAGAACCCGCGCGCCGGCACCCGGGTCTCCCAGCGCAGATTATCGGCCGGGCCGTTCACCATCAAGCCACGCAATCATCGTCTGTAATCGGATTCCCGGCTGGTGCTCCGCCACGTGGTGCATCATATGGAAGATTTTCAGCAAATCGCCACACTCTATCCTCGCGCCGGTAAAGTCCACCGCAATTCGCCGGGAGCCGCGATGCCGACATTCGAAGATCAACGCCGAGTGGAGAAAACGACGAGCAGGAAGTGGTCCAACAGAGTAACGGTTGAATCAGTTTCGCATGGTCCAAATGGAGCTGGGAATAAATTAGCCGACGCCGATATACCCGATCCATGCGAAAATCATCCACAGGGATAATTAAGAGGAAGAATCCTCCCATTTATCTTCGCTCTAAAACTCCTCATAGTAAAACAGTGGAGTCTGCAAACTCCAGTCTTTTATTATCAGGAGTTTGAGAGCGAAGATAATTAAAGACTGGAGATAATTTGAAAGCGAAGATAATGGGATAAATGACAATATTAGCGTCGTCTTTAATGACAATATTAGCGCGCAGCACGGCATCATCTAGACGCCGGTTGAATGTGACGCAAATCGCCGTCGGCGGGATGGTGTCGCGTTGCGCCAACACCGTCCGCCAGCGTTCCACCGGCAACGAAGGGCACGTGCGGCTGGTATCCCGGACGGTTGCGCGTACCTCGTCGGAGAGACGCTTGACACGCTGTACATCCATCCAGCGCCTCTGCAGTGCAGTAATAAATTTAATGGCACCGCTACATTTCGCCGAAGGCAACTAGTCGCAGGACATTTGGTCGCAGAAAGCTTGCTGCAAGGCAACAGTTTAAAACGAGCTTTTTTTGGCAAGACGGACGTTTTTGACCGTTACACCCGCGCGTAACACGGGCTGACGCACTTATGCATTGATGCACTTATGCAAAATAAACCGAACGATTTTATTTATGTATGTGCTTAGTTATGCAGTTTGTACCTGGCCGATCAGTCTGCGATGATACAGCCGGAGAGGAAACAGCCGAAACTGTAGTCTGGTTCTGGCATTACTACTAGCAAGAACGTAACAACTTCCGGGCTGGCACAATCAGCTGCTGACCGTATCGCATTGGAGGAAGGAGTCGCTGCAACGGTTCCAGGAGATCAGCCGTGTAGAAACGCCAATTAAACGAATTTTCGTAAGTATCGTTCGGCTGCCTTGCATGGGCAAAGGCAGTGGACACGTCCTGCTTGTTAACTGGTGTCGGTGCGACATCGCTTAAAAAGCAGAATGAGTTCATTGTAAGCTTGGTTTTCCCAAAGTAATGAGACAGATAATTCGCTGGAACATGGAATGATACTACCACAATCGCTGTAGTTTCAATGGAAGGTCTCCATCCTTCTCATATGGTGCCGAGATTTCAGCTAGGGCAAAAGCATAAAAGTAGCCCGGTTTCCATGTACAAGGTCTATGGAAACCTCTCGCTTATAAGATACGTTGACGTAGCTTATAAGCGGGAAACCATCGTCTTATTGCAAATTTTCTCAATTGCTCCATCTTCGTTACTGGTAAATAATGCCGGTCATGTTCCATAAAACTGCGGAAAGTGGTCGATCTGGAAAAAGAAACTGCTGATTTCGGCCGTTACAGTGTCAGGGTGTCCTTTGCGTTTACATCGTTGTAAATCTGCGAATCCGTACTGGACAACTCGCTGTTTCCACAATCTCATAAGTACCCTGCTTTCCCAATCTTCACTATTTTATAACATGCTTTTTGCCAGTCTGGGTTTGGTACAAACGGTGTATCTGTCCAGCGGAACTTGTAAAATCAATTGCGTGCACTGGTAGAAAGGTATGCAGCGTGAAGGACTGCAAGAAATATAATACTGAATTTATAACGCGCAATTGATTGGCCGTTCGATTTGCAGCAGCGCACCAATGCTTCCATATAAGACACGAATATGTCCAGAGTTTATGTTAAGGGATTTGGCCCGGTACATTGCACCGAATTCGTATACATACACGGTAACATTCGCTGTCGCGCACTCCCAAACACTTTTTTGCATTGCTTTATGATACTCTGTAGCCAAAAGGTTCCTGTACATAACCGGAAAGACCGTTTGCGCGCGCAACATCCGGTTCGGGAGTTATTAGTGAAATAAAATTCCAAAAGTTTAAACGCGCGGAGGTGTACCAAAGTCTCATTATGAACCGATGCTATTTTAAAACTTAATTTAAAATTTGAAAAAAAATGGTGGAAAGCTGGTTCGGTGCCAAAACGATCGTTATAGTAATGTGCGTTTTCGTGAAAAATTTGAAGAGCATCGGTTCATAATGAGACGTTTGGTGCACCTTCGCGCGTTTAAACTTTTGGAATTTTATTTCACTAATAACTCCCGAACCGGATGTTGCAGGTAGAAACGGGTTTTTCGCCTTTGTTTACGAATTCGTTGGCTACAAAATATCATAAAGCAATGCAGAAAAGTGTTTGAGAGTGCGCGACAGTGAAAGTTGCCGTGGATGTATACGAATTTTGTGCTGTGTGCCGGGCCAAATTCCTTAAGCGGTTGGACGCTTCTGTTTTCTGCTCCCACTTCGTTTCCCAACTTAGAATAAAATGATCAGTCAATTATCCTGAAACCAGAAATACAAGAAAAAATGGACTGCATACAGCCAAACACTAAATTGCTAAAAAAAACACCACATAACACTTTTAAACTTCGCAGTTGTAGAGACTCCATACGCGTACAAATGTAAGCCAGTGAAGCCACTACGACGTACTGAAAAAACTAACAATTTTTCCGGACGATGTTGCTCCGTGTAGATAAAACCAACTGTCCAGGGGGCCTTTGGGAACTGCCGTGTTTTCGGTACGCCACTACTACTAGCACTCCGTTCTACCTTCTCGAATAGACCCGAGAGAGAATTCCAGTGGTCCTTGAAGACCTGCAATATCATCGAATAATTAAAATTAAAGTTGCAGTCAAGGATGATTTTTTATTTATGACCGAAAAGCATGTTAACTTTACAGAGATACATGTTTTCTTGGAACTGCGCTTTAAGACGTATGAATAAAGACGAGCACTAAGCGGAAGCGACGAAACATATCTCACAAACGTTATAATATTATGAAAACACAAACCTTAAAGCGCTAATATATTTCGCTGTTCCTCACCACCAAATTTTGCAATTATATCGGTCGCAGCGCATTGGCATTTTTCGGGGAATTCGGTAAAAGCCAAATCCATAACAGCTATTCACAGAGGTATCAAGAACCGCGACCTAAGATCATTGTGGCAAGCGCAGGAAGCACCGATGTTATCATGAGTTGAAACGTATATATGCAAGTTATGCAACACCGACTGGTTTTCCAGTTTGGCAGCATGTTCTATCTGTTCTATCTTAGCCACATTCGCTGCTTCTCTACACAGGTAAATTTCTACACTTTTCTGCTGCTGCCAGTGCAGTGCTCCTGGAAAATAGCGTTCGATCATAATTGTTAGCAAGGTAATAAAGCTGAATACTCGTACTGACGGCAACGAACAAAATAACTTTGTGACTTACAACTTCACAACTATGTACTTACATTGCACAACCAGCGCACTGGACACGTTAGATTTTCTTCGTGGATCTCCGCTATAGTGTCCAGTTTTATCGCAGTCGTTAAAAGGAAACTGCGATACGTAAAACGACCTTTCCCAAAACAAAAACGGTTGTACATAATGTCAAGAATATTGCTCACGACTCACATAATGCCGTTCGAGCACGAGCATTTCGTCGATACTTCGTCTCAAATGCTGGTAATAAGGGAGCCCACCGTGAGGTTGCCCTTCCACTTTTGAAAGACTTTTGTGTGAAATTATTTCAAATTCGGAAAATTATTCTTCGGTAAATGCAGACAAAGTTATAACTCAATCTGAAAACTGATTTCGTTATACAGATTCCAGATTTTGAATGCGTTCCTAAAATGCTCTGCTGAGCAACGATGAAACTGTGTCAAACAAACAAATGCTGAGCACAACTGACAGCCAATGGCAGTTGGGCAGGCCCAACCTTTGTCTTTGCCCGGCCGGGCATCGCAAATGCATGCATTCATTAACGAGCAATGTCAATGTGTGTTCATCAAATCATGGCTTTTGCTGTAAACCATATTCTGCGCTGCAACGTTATGCTGCCGGAAACACCTTCAAGTCTCCGTTCTTTGGGGCGACGGACAAAAATCCTCCTTCGATGAAGTTATACGTAAATCTATAATACAACACAAACTGCGCGGGAAAAAAACTGCACTACAAATAAATTAAATACTGCAACTGTAAGTTATAACTGTTAGATTCCAAAACGGTCTGGAATTCTAGGTGACTACTCGGTAGGTCGTACGAATTCTGGAATATACATATTTATGTCATTCTCAGGATAAATGTTCTCACATTTTCATTCGAATTAGATATTGTACTGTTCAAACTATAACAGGTACATATCCTACATGTGTACTGTATGTAAAGCGTCAACATATTACATGGGCAAACGGCTAAAGTTACCTCGTAGTAAAGGACAATAAGCTAATTAATTGTTATTAATATTTGGTCACTTCTGTGCGCCAGGAAAATTCCTGGCGCATAGTCGTTTTGCTATGCGCCCGGAAATTCGCCGCCCAAATTAAAAATTAAATCAATCAATCAAAAAATAAAAATTAGATTAATTACTCAAAAACCGTTTACGTTGTTAATACAGAACTTAATACTATCACTTTGTGAAAGTACTGTTAACATTACCAGCATAGCAACAAGTGCGATTTATTACAAAAAGTGCAAACCACGCTTTCCAAGAATTCAATGTTTACGAAAAAACTAAGAACTGAACAATCGGTAATACTTGAGTTTTCAACATTGTAAGCGCTCGTTTAAATTTACTAAACACCTCAACATAAAATCCCATACCCATTTCATGATAAAGGCCACACGAAAACCGCGTAAGTTTCAAATCAATTTTTCTATAAAATAAATTTTTTATAAAAGAAAATATCATAAGAAAACACACAAGAAACATCAGAAGCACACGAAAACGTAAGAGACAAAAGAAAATATAAGAAAACATATAAGGAAACAAGTTTGTGCTGTACTTGTATAAACTCTTTGAAGATAGTCCAAGAAAATTCAAGGTATTTTAATACTGTACTATTTTCTTTCCAGGAATAATCGGCTAATACTACGTCCGGCCGCACTTTGGCTTTTCTTCTACGGTCTGCGCTGTCGTCCACGGCTAATTCCTGCACGTTGATTCCTACGTGGTTTTCCAACTTGTTGTAACTCCCACTGCCTCCAGAAGGTACGGTTGGAACTTGGGGCACATCTTTTGTGGAATGGATACTTCAGCGTCCGGTGTGACAGCCGTTGCTGGGGCTCTAGCGGTGGCGTTGTGGCGCTAAACAATAAGATGGTCAACGTTACGGAAATCATAATCGTATTTTGCAATACGAACCTCAAATGTGATTATGATCCCGTATCGTTCCCGGATTACCCACGTACACATCTGGAAAAACAAATCTGATCTTTCGCCCCTTTTAGTGGTAAGGAAAATGATAAAAAGGATTACGATTAGTGGTACATAATGTACGATTTGTACGAGTACTGCCATTCTAGTGTTTATGTTAAGTACTCTCACAAACGAAAAAAATGTGACTGTGTCTATATTTACAATTGTATATTTTATGCATTTAACCGGCGTCACAAACCTTGCATTACGGAACGTTTTGTTAAGATTTTGAACTTACGAAAACGTAATTTAATATGGTGAGCGTTTATATTCACGTGTTTCAAACGGCCGAAAATCCTATAACATACACTGTTCAGTTTTGGAGAAATTTAATTTCGCGTTAAATTTAATTTCGCGATTGCGTGTTCCGTTACATGCAGATAAAGATTTGCAATCACACTAATTAAAGTACTTCTTTGCGTTGTTCTACGTGTTTCCTGATGTGGAACTTCGAAAAGGCGCATGCCATTTGATTTGCTGGCTTTCGCGCAGTCCTCAGCTCCTTATTCCATTGGTTTATGACATTCTGCAGCCAAATGATTTCAGATATGGACGAGTTCGTACGCGTTTAATTTTCCAGAGCATGTTTCTGGACTTATATTCGCAGTATAATTTTTTTACATTTGTTAGAATAGGGAAACTTAAGAAACTTCGGAATTTAAAGAAATTGGCGGGATTCTGTGGGATACGCGATGCACGAAGCAAATGCCAATCTGCCAGACGAGAATTGTCTGCATTGCGGCGATTTCTACTTACGTAACAGCCGGCCGATGGTAGCGTGCCGGGTCTTGTCAACTTCCGCTTCCAATATCCATAACCAATATCCAAATATATATATATATATATATATATATATATATATATATGTTGCAAAAAAAAAGTATGGTTGTTCTTACAGTGTCTCGAAATAAGTTTTTCAGGCATATTGTTCGAGTGGAAAAAACGATTTCGTCGAAAATAATTACCTATCGCATCCCGTGGCTGTACCAGAAGCCTGCAAGGGTGGTCCCAGAAGCGTGCAAGGGTGGTCACGCCCAAATCAAAGGTGCTTGCAGTCACTCTGCAAAGGTTACCCAAGCTTGGCCGAAATTTGCTGATGTATGGTATCTTTTGCAAGGGCATCGAATGACTAACAGTTCAGAGGTACTGATTTTGGACAACAACGTCATTAGAGTTTGTAAGCAAATTTCAACAGGACTACTGCTACCACGCTGAGTGGGTCGTGCCGCTGTTTTCCACTGGTCTACCCTAATTTTGACCTCACGATTATTCGGAAAGCGGTTTCAGCGTAGAATCTCCAAGTGAAAAATATGTCGGACACACACGAGAACAAAAAAAAAATCTATATAAGGAAGTATTTTATGACGGCTGACCTGTGCTAATTTTTTGGAGAAACTGCCCCAACTTGGCTGAACAGGGCTGTAGTACTATTCGCGCTACATCGAATTCCTTGCCACCCGTTTTTAGACCGAACTGGATTTAGATTGTACAGAAAGCTGAAGTTGATTTAGACTGTACAGAAAGCTGACTTTATGTAAAGTACTGACTTTTCCCCGATTTACGGCATGTACTGAAGTACAAAGTACTGACAGTACTTTACATAAAGTACTGGTAGTACTTTACATAAAGTACAGACTTTATGTAAAGTACTGACTTTTCCCCGATTCACGGGTTCACGGCATGGGGAAAGTATAAAGTACTGGTAGTACTTTACATAAAGTACTGACTTTACATAAAGTACTGACTTTTCCCCGATTCACGGATTCACGGCACATGGGGGAAGTCTAACATACTGGCAGTACTTTACATAAAGTATTGACTTCATGTAAAGTACTGACTTTTCACCGATTCACAAATTCACTGCATGCGGGAGGTATAAAGTATTGGCAGTGCTTTAGATAAAGTACTGACCTTTCACCATTTCTCGGAATCAGGTAGATGTGGATGAATACACACTGTGCAGAACTTCACACAATCCCGGCATAGTGTAAAGGACTTTAACATGTGGCGCAATAGTAAAGTTATTTTTGTATGTCGTATTAAACATAATAATGTTATAATGTACGATCGTCGTACGTGCAATCCGGGTCGTACAACTTTTCTAAATACAAAATTTCAACGTACTAAAGTTTCCTCTAATTATAAAACACCTGCGCATAGCTTTGACCTAAATAACAAATAACATTTTCTAGAGGGAGCTGAGAGATCTTTCTGCGGACCCGGGCAATCGGTTTGCAACTGCCTATAATAATGGAGAATTCCTGCAAAGATACCGTGACGTATTTGGCTCGCAAATGTCCGTTTGTTACACGCTCCCTGGAAGAACTTCCCGACCAACAATTATATTCATCTCTTTGGCGCATGGTTTCGCTTTTGAACACGAGTGTTGCTCATTCGTCTCGAACGAGACATCGTGTCTGGAGTGATTAGCAACGTTCGTCGTCTGATCACTCTGATGTTCTCGTAGCGTTTTCGCCTTGGATTGTTGTTGAAAGTTTTTATCATTTCCCCGTTTTCTCAGATAACGGGATTCCCCAGGTCCCCAACACCCTTGTTTATCAGATGGTAAGGTTGAGTGAGTGCACTTTATTTATATTTCTAGTGAAATCCTCTTCTCAATTTCTTTGACAGAATCTTTTGGTCGACGTACGGGTACCCCAACTACCAAACAACTACAGTGACTTAGGTATATTCTCTACACAATATAATTTTTACCAGGGTTAATATCTACGGTACAAATACGTAATCTAGAGGCATAAATTAATAAACTATCTAGTACTCGTTGTCAACTTGCGTGCTTCATTCTACATAACTTCCACCGGAACAGTCGTCAGCGGAAACTTTGTGTCCAACTTATCCTTGTAGTTACAGGTAAATAATGATCACATCCCAGACAACAAATCTTTGGATGCGACTGGATGCAGCCACACTATTAATGCTAACCGCCGACCGATGGCCCGCGCTGAAAACTGGATTCAGAGTTGGCTTACTCAAACCAGGATGTGGATTACTCAAACGTGGATTACTTAACTTCCCATCTCTTAAGGTATGTTTTCCACAAAGCACAAATCACAACAAGTGCTAAGCACAAATCACAACAAGTGCTAAGCACAAATCACAACAAGTGCTAAGCACAAATCCCGAACATACATATGATTCTCGTGAAATCAGCTAGCCGATGTTTTAATAATAAATTTCTCTCCGACGCTTCAGAAACGGATACGGCTTGAACGTATTTTTATCAAAGCAATCACTTAGCTACATTTGTCATCCAAATTGGATTATCGTGTTGCAGCCTGATTTGCAGCAAAAAATTTTCCCTGAAATATGCGAAAAAAATCTGACAAAAAATTTGCTGTTTTTCGAAAAGCCCCAAAATGCGAAAACTGCTTAGCTCATTCAAAGCACGCTCCATGCCAATAACTTTGTTTCTTTGAAAAGCAGCAGGTGTTCGCTAAGTAAATCAGCTGAAACAATTAAAATACTGCGTGCTGGAAAAAAGTATCACCAGATTCACAAGTTTGATTCATTAAGTGTGCTGACATTATGACATAGATTCTGACGATTTCCGGCTCTGTAATAACGTCTGTTTGCAGTTCCAACTGGGGTCACAAGAACGTTCCACTGAGAAGATACGCTTTTATTATGAGCAAAATGGAAAAGCTTCAACATCAGTTCGTACCTTCCATCCAACAGCTGTTCTTGGAAGCTGATCGTCAGTGGGGCCGCATGACGGAATCCTATGACAAGTCAGAACTGATGGGCCATCAGTGCTGACTTGTCATAGGATTCCGTCATTCCGTCATGCCTTAATGGATGCCTTTCGCATCCAGAAGGCTCCAGAAGCTGGCGGACATCACGGGTGCACCAGTGAAAATTCGTAATCCTTGATTCGTCTTCATTCCTCGGCATAATTCTTAAAGGACTGCATTCTCAGTTTATTTGATAACCATAAACAGCACCTTTTGATAAGTCCTGTTTCCGGGGTTGGTATCAATTGTTGCTACGGAGATGCGAGAAGCTTTGACCAGTGTGAAACCGCCTAAGTGACGCGCCATGCCCTTTGCATCAGCGGCATGTACTTGCCACCAGCTCTGCGCTTGTTATGTGCACGCATACTGTACTCCGCTCTTTGCCCAACATAGATAAATGTATTTTATGCTAACCAACCATCGCTATCGTTCCTCAATCGCGACATTATTGATGCCATTTCTGACATTTCATTTATACGACTAGTGTTTATCTGAATCACTGAAAATGTTAATTACTGGAACTCAAAGAAAAAACTACAGGTAGCTGCTCTTCTGATGAGATGATCAATTTAAATCTTGACGATGGGGCCGAATGACCGTAAACGTCCGTTCGCAAAGAAAAAGAATCACGCTCGCTAAAACGAATTCGGTGGGACTACTTTTCAGGAAAAGCCGCAGCCAGCTTTCCAGAACACCTGCTTGCCCAGAATCAAGCTGTGCGGTGCACGGGTGGCGGATGAGCAGTTTCAGAGTCTCTGGACTGAACATCGACCAGGACCGGTAATAGTGCTCACTCCTCGTTGGGGGAGATCCTTGAAGAACACGAAAAGAACGATCATGTTGTGTGGACGAGAAAGTGCCGAAAGCTTCCGTCAATACGGCACTAGCCGCTGCGCTGATGGGCCACATGCTTCGGGATTCCGTCATTCTCTGCTCTAACTCAGCGGACTCAGCTTGGAAAAGAGCGGAGTCATAACCACCCGATGCTGCCTGGCTACGGAGATAGCACCTCTGGTTGAAGGCGTCCAGCAGCAGTGGTATTCCTTCGATCATCTCGGCCATTGTCCTGGTCGAACAGCAGTGTATCCAGTTTCTGTCGGGCTGTGTCACTTGTTTCTGGCATTCTTCTTTCGTGCCAAGTAAGATCTTTACGATTTGAAACCGTAAATTTGTTAGTCGTGAAATTACCTAACGCTTATGATTATCATCCGGGAAGCAGCGACAATTCTGCGGCGGCCAAAATATTAGGTATGTTGAGTAACAAAAGTAGTGGACATTAAGTAAATTAAGCAATAAGCGATGGTCATTAAAGTGGACCACTTGAAATAAAAATTCCGGAAACGCCACTTCACTACACTCAGAGAATTGCAGTCACCGCGGCTGCGCCATTAGCTTTGAAGAAATGAAGGAAAAATTTGAAGTAATGTAAACCTAAGTGTACCTAAATTGTAAAGCGCAGGCGCAGTGTGTGTCGGCGAGTCGTGACTGCATTTCTCCGGATACAGTGCAGTCACAGCACTAGAGTGGCTCACGTGGCGTGGCGAAAGCGCTGTCGTTACTGATTTCTTTACGACGCAACTGCAAGGAAAAGGCTCAACCTTTTTTTAAAAAATTGTAAGTACTTTGTAAAGGGTAAATCCTGTTTAATCCTATATTGAAAAAAAGACCAGGCTCCTCATGCCACCTTTTACCACCTTTGGCTCCTAATACTCCTAATACCATATACCACATTTGGCTCCTACTCCTAGTACCACCTTTTGCACACCACTTTTGACTCCGCATACCACCATTTATTTAGTACTTAACACAATTCACACATTTCCATTCGAAAGGTTTCTTTTTGATAACGCGTGAACGCCTCTTGGAAAATCATGAACGTCGCGAAGGAGGCTCCTTCATACATCAAAGGATGTTCTGGATCGCTATCTGATCTTCTTGGACTAATGCGCCTTTTCGACGTTTTTCAACTTTTCAAGAAAACACCGGCTATATAAGAATCTGATCATTTACCGGTAAAACGATGTTATGACATTGTAACCTTAAACATTTATAAAACATCACAGCAACAAATATTTTAACTTATCTTTTTATTAAAAGCTTAAAAAAACTTATGGTGGTATGGGGAGTCAAACGTGGTGTGCAAAATGTGGTATTAGGAGTCAAAGGTGGTATAAAGGTGGTATGCGGAGCCTTCACCATTATTAATGTATAGTAAAAAAAATGTAACATCTTTACTATACAGTATGCATTAATAATTCCAGTTTGATTTTCCTATTAAATTATTTTTTTAGAGTTTATGACAGTTTTAGTTTGGTTTATAAGAAGTAGTTATTAAAATAAATTATTCTGAAAGTATAAGCACAGTTAGGAGTATGTGAAGCAGTTATTTCTCAAATTTTTGGCTTCCAGGGGATTGGAATATGCGGGTGATCAGGTGATTAAAAATATATAACGAATGTGATCGATTAAGAAGACAAGTCAATGTACCAGAAACCGGGCGTTGGCGTCGTCCCCGGTCCTGCAGTCTGCGGCGCTCATCACCATGCTGGACCGGCCGTTCCGCAGCTCCCCGACGCACATCCACCGCCGGCTACTGAAATGGTCGTTGGTCATCGGAATGAGCACAGCGGCCGCTGCCGGCGATAGTGCGGGAAGCCCCGTCTCCAGCGCCACGCTGGCCGCGCCCAGCATGCCGGGTTGGACCGGCTCGCTGCGCTCCGTCGGCACCGCCCTATCCAGACGCTCCAACGGGACGATCTGGGTGTGCGCCTCATCCGTACCGGGTGTCCTCCACTGGACAACGGCCGCTGCGTAGTCCGGGTCGCGGCGGCCGCCTCCCAAACGAGTCATAGCAGCCGGCAGCCAAATCCACGGACCGAAACCGGTTTCCCGCACCCGCACGCGCACGGGCGTGGCACCGGCGACTAGGGTAGAAATTGCAGTTTCAAACTTTTTTCAGATCCAACTACAAATAATAGTTTTAAAATAAATAAAAAATAAATAAAAAATTAAACAATAATCAAAGCATAATAATAAGAATAATAAATAACAATAAATAAAAAATAATAATTTTAAGATCAAACCGGGCTGCTAACATCTGGATGGGTTTAAAAATTTTATTTTGTACCGTGCTATTTAACAAATTTTCGTGGAGAAACTGATCAATTTACTGCATCGGCCAATTTAAAGAAACATAAAACTGATGCAGGAAAAATGACAAATCTGAAACTATTTTGCTTAATCATTTATTTAATGTTGTGTGCTTATAACAACAGAAAAAACTTGGGAAATCACTTTTCGAAAATAAAAAATCATTAACTTCGGAATAAAAATATATTAAGAAATAATGTTTAGAATTTTTTAATCGTGCCAGCGACGGCAGGCTGTTGCTTCGCCCCCTGATCGACCGGCAGAGGGCGGATGGGCCGGAATACCCTTCCGAAGGGGGCAAATTTGCGGCGCCTATCGCAGTAATCCAGGTCAACGTAAAGTCCGCCGCTGTCCTCGTCCACGACGCGGCCGCAACGCAGGTAACCGTCGTCGCTCGGCCAGTGTCAGGTCCAATCGTAATTTATCGCCAGAAGAAAATGAAACGGTCTGAATACTGTGTGTTTGTCATTTGTGCCAAAGATCTGTTGAGTCCAAACTGAGGGAAAATTATCAAGTTGTTGTGGGTTAGTGGCGTCAGTTTTTTTACAGATAAGCAGAAAAGCTGTGATTGGCGGTTGTGAACAAGTGATCGACCCATGATTACGCCACTAAGCTTTTTTGTCGTAGCACTAGCGGAAAACGTGTTGATAACTGGAGCATCCACTCCGATTTCCACAGGCCATCCGATACGACAGCACAGTGTGATAAGCTGATTGCTTCCAACGGTCGAACAACGGCAGGATGCGTAATCGCTGATACAGCTCGGGGGTTACCCGCTCCATGTAATAAGTAGTGGCCTGCACTGCTTCCCGTTGGGAACTGGCTAGCTTGCCGCGTAAAGTCGAAGATGCTGGTGACCACGTATCCGACCCATAGTCAAGATGTGGCTGCACGCATGGTAAAGACTTCTTCGCTGTGGCATGTCCAGACCATCCTTCGCTGCGTTTATCATTGCGATGCCGTAGTTCACCTTCCACAACACATAGTCGAACTGCCCTAATAATGAAAATTACAAAAGCAAAAAAAAATTGAAGTATTAGAACTCAGGAATCCCGTCTACAGTAGGACCTCACGAAGAGGGAGATTTTACTAGCAAACTTTAAATTGCAGTTGTACATCAGAGGGGAGTCAAGGGATCTCAAATTTCCCCGTCATACGTTAAGACGGAAAATCTACATAGATTGCGTTTACATTGCTCCTTCATTTGTGTTAAAATGCGGCCGACGGCGCATTACAGTCTTAAAAAATTGGAGGTTGGCCAATTGTACCTTGATGATTTATCTCCGGTTTAATTATTCATTCACTAATTGGTTAATTAGCAAGATCTGCGAGCGGTCAGAAAGTCCGAAATTTGCCATTTTCGGACATCTGTAGATTGTAATTAACTTAAGATACAAATTTGAGTTTTCCTGTTACTGCTGCTTTAAGGTACCTCGTTGCCAATTATGTAAAGAGATGTCATTTAACTATTCGCGATCACTTGGAAAAAATTCTGAACACAATGTTGCGCCCTGACGCCAATGCCCGTCAACGGGTTAACTTGGATTCAGATGGGGATTTGGATTATTCAAACTTGGAAATGGATTCCTCAAAGTAGGATCTGATCACTCAGACTTGGATTACTTAACTTGGATTACGTAGCTTAAATAACGTAACTGATTACATGACTTGGATTGCATAACTTGCACAAATTGGATTACATTTTCTTTCGTTTTGCTTTCTTATGTAGTTATGTTTCTTTTTCTTCTATTTTTCTAAAGTTGTTTTCTTGAGTTTCATTCTTATGTTTTACAAAACATAAGACCGACATAAAAATGAAGACATAAACAGAAAACGTAAGAAGGCATTGAAACGAAACTTGAAAAAGAAAAAATAAGAAAGCATCTGAAAATAAATGAAGACATGAGCGAATCTAATTCAACTTGTGCAATCCAAGTTACGTAATCCAATTTAAGTAATCCAGGTTTCAGTAATCCAAGTCCACGTTTGAGCAATCCAAATTCGAATCCGAATCCAAGTTACAGCGGGGACCCTGGAGGGGAGGTCGTGGTTTTTCCCATCTCCTCGTACCACTATTTGGCTGTTCTCACCACTTGGGCTATCCGCACTACGTTTCAACATAAATTCTAACACCACCTTTTAACAACTGCTACCACCGGCGCCAGCTCTTTTGGCTGTTCTCACCTCTTTATTGCATTTTCAAACAATGCGTTGTATGCGTCCAAACGACTTGGTTTCAAAGGTTTTCATAGCTTTGCCGTTAGCAGCGCTTTTTCTTTAGGATTGGGCCACCACCTACCGGAAAAGTACCGAACCGCATTTTCGCCGTGCTGCAAAGCTGTTGGCCAAATGTTTTCGTATGTTATTGAATTCTATTTTCACTGGTTTTCTAGTTGCTGATGATTTTGACCACGAAAGCAATGGAGAAAACGCCACAGTCGCACCATTTTTTTGCTGTTCACCATTCCATAAGGATCCAGTGATCGCCGTCACCCGTATATAAGGAGGTGGGAATAGACCAAATAAGCTGCAAAAAGGTCGTGCAAATAGCCAGTGGTGATGTAAAAAAGTTATGTTAAGTGAAATATGAGTAAAGCTACATAAGTATAAATGATTCAGTTCTGGTAAGTTGACCGCCTACCGCATCTCTTTGGTGTTTGACTTTGGTATAAAGTTTGTGCGGGTGCAGCCAGTTTCGAAGAGGAACAAAGGTGCTTGGAAAATAAATCCTTTATATGCTTACCCGCCTTCTCCTGGATTTCCTTCTTGCGAACCTTTAAGATCTCATCACCACGGGTTCGTCACCAACAGCCACACAAATACAGTTTTATGTGGCTCGCTTTTCGAGAACGATCGTCCAATTGCTTCAGGTATGCTGCAGTGAACTATGTCTCAGTGGGAGCGGTGGGAGCAACAAATTTAACTTCGGTTAACAATTTGTTAATATTATTTTTAAAATATGCAGTTCGAGTTTGCACCACACTCACACAGTAATGCACGGCCCACAGAGCAGTTACTTACAGCGCAACAGGATATTAAACTGTAACGGCGGATATAACATAAGATAGCCCAAAACAGGCTAAGGATTCACTTCAGCCGCTTTCATATCGGTAAGAAAACTAAAACTCAAGAAAACCCTAGAAAACATAAGAAACATTAAGAAAACATAGGACAATAAACTAAGCCCCGATGGCTTAAGGAAACATAACACATTTAAAAACTCTTAGAAAATCTGAAAACGTCATACGTCACATGATTAGAGTGGCCGCAATTACGCGTGGCCGAAATGCACGCCTCTAAAGATTGGCTGCCGATCACTTCGGCCGTTTTCGTTTCGGCCGCGGTCAATTCGGCCAAAGTTTTTCGGCCGCCATTCACTTCGGCCGTCGTTCACTTCGGCCGTCATTCACTTCGGCCACGGATCACTTCGGCCACACTACATTTCGGCTGATGCTCATTTTGGTCTGATTCGAACAAGCGAACGTTATATAAAAAATTGGTACCAAATGATGAATGGACATGCAATCGCGGAAAGTTAAAAAAAACTGAACGAAAAGAAACACAATTGATCATTCGTCTTAGAGGTTAGCGAATTATCGGAATACAAGGAAAAACTAAAGGAATAAGCACAAGACAGCGAAAAATATGAACCAATAAAAAAACCAAGGACGACCACATGAACCCTACCGTCACAAAGGCGAAGGCTAAGAAGGCTAGGAAACACTTAAAACCAAAAATACAAAGAAACCATAAAATACAAGAATGCCTGGAAAAGCTTAAAGAATCCAAAAAAACCAAGCAAACCTATGAAACGAGAGAAACCAAAAAAACCTAAGAAACCTAAGGAGCCTAGAAAACCTAAGAAACCTAAGAAGCCTAGAAAACCTAAGAAACCTAAGGAATCTAAGAAGCCTAAAAAACCTAAGAAACCTAAGAAGCCTAAAAAACCTAAGAAACCTAAGGAGCCTAGAAAACCTAAGAAACCTGAGAAATCTAAGAAGACAGAATACCTAAGAAACCAAAGAAACCTAACCAACCTAAGAAACCTAAGTAGCCTAAGAAGCCTAAGAAGCCTAAGAAGCCTAAGAAACCTAAAAAACCTAAGAAAAGCTACAAAAATCTGCGAAAATTGAATTGCTGCTGCCGAAAAATGTACTGCTGCCGAAATGAGCGGTGGCCGAAGTGAACGCCGGCCGAAGTGAGCTCGGCCAAAATGAACGTTGGCCGAAGTGATCATGTACGGCCGAAATGTAACGCGGACGAAGTGATCGGACGCGCTAAAGATTTACCCAATGATAGTTGTCTGACGTTAGCGGAAGCCATATTGGAATGCTGACGTATTACATTGCAGGCCTAAGGTTCGACACCAGCAAAAAACTGTGGTTCCTTGCTTAACTAAAACGGTTGAATTTGTTGCGCTGTATCCACTAAGATATTACATTTTCATTATGCCACCGTATCCAAAACGAACGGAAGAACGAGTGCAATTCCGTTCTGCACAAGTAGCCGTATTATTATAGAGATCCCAAATTGTTTCTATTTAAGCTGCGCTTTTTTTTGCACCTGGTGGCCGTGGAGCATCTTTATAGTTCGCGGATTACTACGAGCAAAAGCTTCTCTCGCCGGTCTGGACAAGGAATTATCATGGCTATGCAGATGAAGTACGTATGCGGCAATGCATGTCATGGATTCTCGTTATGATTCTGAATAATAATAACTACGCAATCGGCAATCGTCTGGAGTTAGAGCAGGCACAAGCAGCTTGCAGTTTCGTGTTTTTATTACCGATGTATCTGGCCGAACGAATTCAGCCATACCTGCGTAACTCGCTTGGGCGCGATTGTGATGGACATCTAAGAACTCCCTGACAGCGAACCCAACGAAGGTAGTTTCTTCAACTTTCTTTGAGGGTTGCTAGACATCTCTGTAAAAATAAAAAAATTCTTAATAATGTTTTGCAGAAAGAAGTTTCGGCCAATCCAATACAGGTACGAAATATTCAGATCTTATTAAAATGTCACCTTTACCATGGTGCTGCCGCCGCCTGGCAGAGGCGAAGAAAAACCATAAGCACGGATAATTTCAGTTTCTCTGCTTTGGTTTTTAAAACAAAGGGCGTGTGGGGTAAGAAGTGAAATGTAAGATGTCTACACTTGGTAAGATGCTTTTTGAGAGGACACAGGAGAAACGGTCGACTCAGTTTTTGAAGCGGAGATCGGTGTTGTTTTAATGCGAGGTAACGCTGCTTGTGTTCAGGCAACGTTTTGTATCGGTAAGAGACTGGATGAAGTGTGTTATGTGTTGAAATGGTGAAATGTGAAATTCTGCGTTTAACCTATACTAATGCGAATAACCCAATAAATTACATAAGCCTTTTGCGCAAAGCTTACAAACAGTCTTACTGTAGGGGTCGCTAGAATAAAAATATTAGTTTCTTATACTCTTATGTTTTCTTAGTTTCTTAGTCGTCGCCCTCGTGACGGTTGACGCGTAAGGTCAACGGTGTGTTCGTCGACTTGGTGTTGGTTTACAAAATGTCGATGAGTTGTAATCTGGCTTCATTTTCACCAGGTTTTATGTATCTGCTCAGTGCGAGCGTTTTGTTATATCAGGTAATTTTCCCCGATTCACTACTCGTATCATCAGTCGTATGGTCGTTCAAGTGGAACAGTATGTTAAGTGAATGGGAGACGGTCGTGCAAGTGGGACACCCGAATTAACAAATTCCACAAACCAATTTCCTTCTGGTTTTTTTCTATACTCGAGTAAGCTCGAACCATTACTTTAAACGTGTTAAAACGCTTTTAGCAGAACCAAAGCCCATTAAACATTTCAGATTTCTCCACAGTGCCCATGACAGAAACCGCATTACCACGCTGTATCTCTAAAGACAGTCGCTGTCGTAGAAATTCATGTGAGCGGGCTTCTCCAGAATGAGCCCGTAATCTCTGTTCTAATTCTTTGATGATAACAATGGCCGATGGACCCCACGGGCCCATTGTCTCGAAACCGATAGGCTAGGTGCAAAAATAGAACGGCCGTCTAGATAAGAATATAAACTAGACTCTCTCTTCTGCTTGCACGGCGGCCGATCCTGCGCGAACCGATGTGGATTTAATGTGGGAAGCGGCGACAGTATCCACACAGGTGACATCCCATGCCTGGCATGCCAGACACATTCCTCTTTCTCTGCCATGCAAAAGTTGTGCATTCATCCGGACGACGTTCGCGAGTGTGGGAAGTGCCCCGGGGTTCAAGTTTTGCTGGGATTCCGGCCGAAACAAGAGCGCGACATATAATGCTGTTGAGCCCACCATGCCGAGGATGTCTGCCGGTGGAGAAAGGGCAAGATAGGCCGTGATGTCCGTAAGCGCCGACGGGCTTTAAACATTTCGTGCAACTGTGCGGTTCACAAATCTTGGCGCCGAGTCTGAGGCCAACTGAAATCTTTGTTGTGTCATCGTCGAGAAGATTGTCGATGTGAGCGGAAGGTAAGGCGTTGAGCCAAACACCGGCTTCCGGTTTCGACTGAGCGAGGAGGCGCGCCTTGTTGACTTCGTCGTTTCGGTACACATCCAGCAATGTAAGCGCGATGTGCCCTATACAAAGTACTTGAAATTTAAAAAAAAAACTCAACCCGTTTTCTTGCAATTGCATCGGTAAAAAAACAGCGACGAAACGCTTATGCCACGCCACCCGAGCCTCTGCACTACACCAGATATCTGCAGTAACCACCTCATTTGTGCGCCTGTGCGGTTTAATTTGCATTTAGTCCTCTTCAGTGCATTTCATTTCTTTTCTCAAACTTAATGTTTGTTTCTTGAGTTGCGGTGTGATATCTACTGAATAAACATTGATATGGAGAAACGTATCGTATCGGCTTGTTGCTGTCTACGACGTCCGCGGAGGAGATGCTGTCCGAAAAACCAAAGAAGAAGAAAGCGGCACCGAAGCCCAAACCAAAACGTTCCCGTTGATTATCGCTGGTCTTTCAGTGCTTTGAAATTTATTAACCTGTGCTTACTAACCTGTGATTTTTGTTAACAGATAACCGGTGATCCCAATAACCCGTGATTTTTTTTATTAATTTTAGCAAATTTTTTTGTTCTCGTTGATTCAGGCATTTTAGGAGTTGAATAAATGTTTTATTGATTAAAACGCACTGGCGCAGCCGCACAAATGAGGTGGTTACTGCAAATATCTGGTGTAGTGCAGTGGCTCGAGGGTGGCGTGGCTTAAGCGCTTCGTCACTGTTTTTATATCGATGGAATTGCAAGAAAACGGGTAAAGTTTTTGAAAAGTTTCAAGTACTTTGCATAGGACACACTGAGCTTACTCGAGTTAAGGAAAAAACGAGAAGGAAATTGGTTTGTGGAATTTGTTTTTTTCGGGTGTTCCACTTGAACGATCGTCTCCCATTCATTTAACATACTGTTCCACTTGAACGACCATATGAGATGAGTAGGCATGCATTTTGCTAAGGTCAACTGTCATGTTTCTTCGAAGGTTTAAACATGCAATGGAACTGAACTAACACTCAAGAAAAAAATTCGTCATTAAAAGTGTCGGAACGAGAGTCAGAGAATCGAGACCTAAAGCAATATTTGTTTGTTGATTGTAAGCTTAACTTCGACTGCGTAGTAATACCAAGCGGCTGCAAAAATAATTCAGTCTTACTAACCATAAATGCTAATTTTAATCTGGGCCTTGTTGATTTCAATTCAAACTGTTCTGCTGCCATTAATCAGGCGTCCGAGATAACGGCTTTTTGCTCTAAAGTAAATCAATTAGCTAACCAGAACAACTACATAAAAGTTAAATATCTGCAGAAAACAAGAGTATCTGTATTGCCAGTTACTAGGCAAAGTTTTCATGTGGATGTACAATACACATGTAGCCTTCCATGAGCGCAAACTTTGCGCTGCGCAAGTTCTTAGCCATTGAATCCTGAACAATGTTTATCAAAACAATTACTACTCTTAAGTAGCACGTTAATCTAGTCATCAATCTCATTCTGTCAACGTTTTTTAGGGCATCGTAACAATTTTCTGCCAGGATTTCGTCGATGTCGTCCCGCGCTATCTGTCATTTTGATGACTATTGCCTATTAAAGAATCACAAATCATATTTCAACGGTTCGCCTTTATCTGTCGACTGTCCCCATCCCATCCTATCTGCTAATTGCTACCGCACTAAAATTGCATCGATCTGCTTGTATCGGTAAGTGGATAGTTTGGTTAGCAGTTCGCGTTTACGTCTTGGAAACAATTTTTTACGCTCTCCGTTTGAGGACAGAAACTTGGTGCAAGTGATTGAAGGACGGTTCTTCGACCCAAGATAGGTAGAAGACAAACAAACCGACTCCTAGAGTAAATAGATGACAAAGTCACAAAATTTTGTGACGGCCCAAGTGGTCGCGGGACATTTCGTCGTGGGACATTTCGCCACACGTTTCTCGTCCCAGCGGCTAATTTGATTTGGGTTAACTCGTTTTGCAGCCGTTTTGTTGTGTGACATTTGGTAGCCCGACTTTTTGAGAGTCCAAAAGTTATCGACCGATTTATGGCAACGAACAATCATATAACTATCTGCCACAAAAGCGAGTTGTCCTTAGACGAAATGTCCGTAAAACCAAATGTCCCGCAACGACCTGTCACTAAGCCGACAAAATTGCTCTCTAACAAGTAACAACTGATGACAAATTCAACCATGACTTTCCTGGGCATACACACCAGACGCCGACGACGGCCTTATCGAATTTTTTATACACGAACAAGTAGGCGCATAGGGTGATACGACTATAATCATTTTTAATGGCTCCGGACATAATACTTCAGTACCGAAATCGCGACACCACCCTTCATCACCATCAGACCCGCGATACCACTTTTTAATTAATACTTTTTATTTTATTCAGTACAGACTACAGAGGTATTTTTATTTTGTTCAGCAGCAGGTAAAACCGTGAACATAAAACCAAGAAATTTCATAGATAGACAGTAAGACAAATCAGTACACCCATTCTCGTATGAAGATGTTGGACTTGGAGCCAAAGTCAGATCGCAGAATTTTGTCAGTATTCCTTGAGTATTCCAATCCGGGCAAACGTCGCAGTACGTTTGTCTCCGCGGGTAGGGATTTACACTTACAAATTTCGTACGAATCCCTTCGCTGTTCAGCTGGCTGATGATAAAAACGTATTTTTTTACCGTTTGAGAATTTGAGTGTGCTGTGTGCTTAATGTCTCCGATGATCAGGCGTAGGCTGAGGTTGCCTGCACGAGGTCGCAGATTACTCAAACCAGAAAGGGCGTTTACAGTAGCGAAAGCCTAACGCAAAGGAAAACCGTACTCAACAGCGATAATTCAGAGTAAACAGTAACAATCAACATGAGCAAAACATTTAGTCCAATTCAAATTCACCCACTTAATGTCATCAGGAGATACACTGGAGCAGTTGATGTACACGTACAACTCCTAAAGGAGCAGGATCTCGTTTCACGGACTGGCCATAAGGGAGTCAAAACTTGGTTAGCTTTGAAATTTCCGACCATCCGAAAAGTTGGTTCCAACGGCCTGCACAGCGTGAAGATGGACATGCAGCGCTACCATCTGAAGCGTCCTACCTGCAATAAAATTAGAGAAAGCAGTAAGTGAAACTTTTGACTGTCGATATTGCCCGGAGTGGAAGTAGAATGTTTTGTTTTGAAGTGACTTTCCATCTTCCCAGAGCTCGAAGACATATTCCGCTTTAGAAACAGTTGTACTGTATGTGGATAGCTGCTACAGCTCGTCCCGTGATTTGGCATGCTGAAGTGTATAGTGTCCAATTTTGCTCGAATATTTAAGGCTTGCTACTGCGTATATGCAGTATAAAATCTTAGAAATGGGGGTCGGCCTACTTTACCTTTGCCTGTCCTTTGCCTTTCCCGCCCTTTGCCTTTTCAGTACGCCCTTTCCTACTTTGCCTTCGCCGGCGAGATTACCTTCACCGTCCCGGGTGACCTTTGAAAAACACCGTTTCGAAGCTCGTCCAGTAAATTAACCTTTAAACGCATGTACGAACACATAATACTGTAACTGCAAGTCTTTGCCGCTGTATGGTCTGCGTAAAGAACGCGCAAACGTTTGAATAAAGGAACGATAATGCGAACTAACGCAATCGCAAAGTTACCGTAATACAGAGTTCAAAGCAGTGCTGTGACAGCGGAAGACGAAAAGGAACACGCTCAAATGTTTCGTAACGGACTTTTGTTTCAAAAAAAGCTGTCAACTGTTGAGGCAACATGTTCAAAGTTACTGCATGAGAAGTGGTTTCTACAGAAACTTCTACAGTTTCATACGAGTACCATAAAGAAACTAACTGCCTAACTACCGGTAAAACGATTTATACATTACCGTGTTTCGATGTTGTTTTATGTTTGATTGCGTTCGGACTGTTGTAAATTGTGGGGTGTCTGTAGCTTTTTTCGTGGGGATCTGAATAATACAATTGCCAATGAAAATGCGTTTTTAAATTTTATGCTTCGAACAGCACAAAGAATCTCTGTGCTGTGCTGATAGTCGCATCTTTTAAACAGTAGAGTGGCTAATTTTTAAAAGGTTACTAGTAATTGACGAGGCAGGCTTTTGAAACGGTGTTTTGCATAGGTCACCCGGGACGGTGAAGGCAATCTCGCCGGCAGAGGCAAAGGTATAGTAGAAAGGGGCATATTGAAAAGGCAAAGGGCGGGCAGAGGTAAAGTAGGCCGACCCAGAAATGGCGGTATGTCCTTCACACCCACCCCCCTCCGGCTCCCACCGCCAGGAAACCACACAGTTTATGGCCGAATTTCAGGGATTTAGAAATAGGTTGAAGTAGAAAGGGTCAGGCTATTTTGTAAACCCAGCATACTGAGATTCTGGAAAAAATGCGATTTTTAATGAAATTTTATGTCGAAAGGGTGTGCTGCCGCTGCGCGAAAAGTTATATGCTCCTAGCGGAGCCTGGTCTAGTTTGTATGAAAATTACTGTGTTTCGCACATACGTTTGCTCTGGATGAATATCAGTAAATTTGACAGTTAAAAAAAAAGGGTTCCAAGTAAATTACATGAAAGAATAAAATCAGCACAGGGACGAAGGGAGCAAATTTTTGACAAATTAGCACTTGGCTGTCTCACCCTCTGTAATAAGTTCTATCAGATAAGCATAAAAAGTCCATGGCAAAATCCTGATCGGATATCTGGAGTACCTGTCAGTTTAGTGATATAGATATTATGATAATATAATATATTTATGGGTGTGTGTGTGAGGCGTACGGGCCTGCGTGACGTGCTTTGGAGTACTTACTTACACTCACATACATGCTGTATTGCCTCTCTCTTTTGTACGTACAGTACGTGTGCTGCTGCAGCGGCACTCTCCGCTGAAGCGGGTATAAATTAAATATCGCGTGCTCAAACACGAGCCACACTTGCTCTCTCGTCTCTCTGTCGCAGTATGACTCAGCGTTTATACGCTGGATAGAATCTATAGAAGAAGAAGTATGTGTCATATCTGCGCGTGTTACTTCGATTTGAATTGCTTACAGAAATTAAAGTCAGGATCAGATAAAGCGATCCAACGTGTGAACCGTAAAATTTTTAGAAATGGAAAAAAAACTACTACCATAAGCGAGCTGCGCAGATAAACATTTTGAGCAAGTAAGCTGGCCTTGTAACGATTGTTCAGTAACATTACCAGTCTGATAACGTATAATGCGGTGCATTGCCTATAGGCTACAGTACAAAGTAAAATTTACTTCTAATTATTTCGTTTCCCCCACGCCCTGTTGACCATAGTGCATGAATTAATTTTTTTAACTGTTATTCATCTGCATACTCCGGTCATTCTAATCCATAATGCAGTACTATTACATATCATTAAGATCGCTATCTGCAGCTATTCCTTAATCGTTAGAATGCTCATCTAATTTTGATCCGGCCGCCCGTCGAATTAAAATAACTGTAAAGCTCTTCTGCTGCTGGTGTCCTTCAAAGCGAATTAACAGCTTATGCTTATTAAGATTCAGTATGTAATTACGGCTAATACTTTAGGTATCAATGCGAACATATGTATTTGGAAGAAAAACTGTAATAAGAGTAATCGTAATAAGCTGAAATAAGTGTTCCCAATTTCGTTGCCCCATGCTGTGCTATTCTGTGCAACCCATAAGATTTTTATTATAAGTTTAAAGCGCTCATTTAAAATTACTAAACAGCTCAACATAAAATCCCATACTCATTTCATGATAAAGGCCACACGAAAACGCGCGTAAGTTTCAAATCAATTTTCCTATAGAATAAATTTTCTTACAAAAGAAAACATCATAAGAAAACGCAAGAAAACATAAGAAACATAAGACACACGAGAAACATAAAAGCACAAGAAAACATAAGAGACAAAAGGAAATTTAAGAAAACATAATTATAAGGAAACGAATTTTAGCTGAACTTGTGTAAACTCTTTGAAGATAGACCAAGAAAATTAAAGGTAGTTCAATACTGTACTATTTTCGTTCCAGGAATAATGGGTAAAATATTACGGTCTTCGCTGCGACGCTGCCGTCCACGGCCAGTTACTCCATGTTGTGGTTTTCGAACTGGCTGTAACTTGTACTCCCTCCGGTTGCAACTTCGGGCACAACTTTTGGATCAGCGTCCGGTGCTGGGGCTCCAGCGGTTGCGTTGTGGCGCTAAAAAATAAGATGGTCAACATTACGGAAATGATAATCGTATTTTGCAATATGAACCTCAAAAGCGATTATTATTCCGTAATGTTCCCGGATTATCCACCTACACATCAGGAAAAATAAGTCCGCTCTTTCCCCCTTTTCGGTGGTAAGAAAAATTATACAAACGATTACGATTAACAGTACATAATATATATTTTGTACGAGCACTTCCATTTTAGTGGAAGTTACAGTACTCTCACAAACAAAAAGGTAACTGTCTCTTGGTAGCGCCCGTACCGCTACCAAATACTTTTCTGTTACTACTTCTATGTGAAGATTTGAAGTTTAATGAGCCTAGACTGGTCTCTCATACACAGATGCAGCAGCCTTTATAGCTAGCTTGCAAATAGTATTAGAACATTAGTATGACTAACGTGTAACGTCAGAACATAAAATAGCTAGCACCATATATGGAGCATGCAAGATGATGCAACATGCTAAAAAAACGTGGGTTGGATGATATCTAACACCCTATATTTACAGTTGTATATTTTATGTCTCTATATATACTTATACATGTAGCCTCAGCGGCCGAATAAACGGCCACAAGAACGAGCCTGTTTACTCTGCATTATTGTATATACGTAATCACTACGGATTGCGGTAATTTTGGTAAACTTGAGCATGCGCAACTTTTCAGTCATAAACTGTCAGTTGCATACAAAAAGCGTCAGCGGACGGTTTCTCAAATTGTTTGTTCTAAAATTTGCGCTTTAGCACTTCCGTTGCATTGGTAATGTCCGCAATCCTCAGCGGCCGTTTGGCTTACGAACATTGCGACACTTCGAAATAATAAATCAGAAAACAGCCACACCACACGAAAACCGCGTAAGTTTCAAATCAATTTTCCTATAGAATAAATTTTCTTACAAAAGAAAACATCATAAGAAAACATAAGAAAACATAAGAAACATAAGACAGACGAGAAACATAAAAGCACAAGAAAACATAAGAGACAAAAGGAAATGTAGGAAAACATAATTATAAGGAAACGAATTTTAGCTGTATTTGTATAAACTCTTTGAAGATAGTCCAAGAAAATTAAAGGTAGTTCAATACTGTACTATTTTCGTTCCAGGAATAATGGGTAAAATATTACGTTCTTCGCTGCGACGCTGCCGTCCACGGCCAGTTACTCCATGTTGTGGTTTTCGAACCGGCTGTAACTTGTACTCCCTCCGGTTGCAAATTCGGGCACAACTTTTGGATCAGCGTCCGGTGCTGGGGCTCCAGCGGTGGCGTTGTGGCGCTAAACAATAAGATGCTCAACGTTACGGAAATGATAATCGTATTTTGCAATACGAACCTCAAATTCGATTATGATTCCGTAACGTTCCCGGATTATCCACCTACACATCAGGAAAAATAAGTCCGCTCTTTCCCCTTTTCGAGTGGTAAGATAAATTATATACGATTACGATTAACAGTACATAATATATGTACTGTTAATCGTAATCGTTTGTACAATTTTTAGTAATAATATATATTTCGTAATACATAGTATATATTTTGTACGAGCACTTCCATTTTAGTGGACGTTACAGTACTCTCACAAACAAAAGGTAACTGTCTCTTGGTAGTCCCCGTACCGCTACCAAATACTTTACTGTTACTACTTCTATGTGGACAGTTTCTTAAAAGGCTGAAAATTTCCGTTTCGCTGCTGAAATCTTGACGATTTACGAACTCTAATGTGGAGATTTGAAGTTTAATGAGCCTAGACTGGTCTCTTATACACAGATGCAGCAGCCTTTATAGCTAGCTTGCAAATAATATTAGAACATCAGTATGAGTAACGTGTAACGTCACAACATAAAATAGCTAGCACCATATACGGAGCATGCAAGATGATGCAACATGCTAAAAAAAAACGTAGGTTGGATGATATCTAACACCCTATATTTACAGTTGTATATTTTATGTCTCTATATATACTTATACATGTAGCCTCAGCGGCCGAATAAACGGCCACAAGAACGAGCCTGTTTACTCTGCATTATTGTATATACGTAATCACTACGGATTGCGGTAATTTTGGTAAACTTGAGCATGCGCAACTTTTCAGTCATAAACTGTCAGTTGCATACAAAAAGCGTCAGCGGACGGTTTCTCAAATTGTTTGTTCTAAAATTTGCGCTTTAGCACTTCCGTTGCATTGGTAATGTCCGCAATCCTCAGCGGCCGTTTGGCTTACGTTAATGTCTGCACTTTCTATGTAATTCTTTATGATAGAGTAAGGTACTGGCGTGCTGTATGCTACGACTAATCTTCATCGTATACCACATATTGCTAACTGCAGAGCAGTCACGATTCGGCTGGTTGCTTATTGAAACGTTTATGCAGACTTTGTAATTGCTGCTTCGCAGGTTACGCCCGCGCCGCAGCTCGGCGACGCCTTCGGGGCAGTCGCTAAGCTATTCCGCTTAATAGTAGCCTGAGCCAAACCGCCAGATCATAAGCTTATGGTTTGCCTTATGTTGCATATTGAATTCCCCTATATTCCCTGCCGCGTCCCACATCAGTTACGGTCCATCCGGGCTGGTATTGTATATCCGGGATTATTGTTTACTCGGATATCGGCACTAACTTTCTGAAAAACGGGAATAATTCCCTTTCCGGTTGTCGAATGATGTCCATGTTCCGTGATGTTCGAATTCCCCCTCAGCACTGTAATAGAACAACTTCCTGCCAAATTTTATTTCCCTGCCAATCGATTTACTTCCGCATATCGATGGCTAAATCCGCTTACTCGCTTACTGAGCAGTAAGCGCGGCAACCGTGTTCTCTCTGTTCTCTCTTTCACTTTCACGCATGGCTAAAGCCGCAAAACCGGTTCCGAGGTTAAGTAAATTTTGGCGCCCATTGTAATTGTCAACGCGCAGCTGCTTTATGAGGTGTGATGTGATTTGGTCAAGACACAGACTTGCACCTTTGGAGGAAACCGATCACCACACATAGCACAGTTGTTTACGAGAGGTAGGCTGTAGCCCGCTTGAGTTGAGTTTTAATGGTTTCTTCAGCTAATGAATACGTTTTTCTTATAACTGCAGATGAAACGTTTACTCTACGCTAAATCCTCTACAAGATGGTGGGTCACGCATTATTTTAGAACATAACCGTGAATTTTGGCGAATTATTTTATCGGCACGATTGCCGGTTAAGCTTGTCCTATATGAAGCGCTCTGCCTCACTGCCTGTTTGCATTATAAATACACTGCGCAGCACTCGTAAGCGCAGGTATGGCACCCATTTCTTGCTTCTCCGGATACAGATATCTTTACGTCCGGGCATCATTTAACCGCTGCATAAGAGTGGAGTATGTATTTTAGATTAAACTGCAAATTCGATGAATTACTTTTTTTATCTATTTGCAATTTTATTTGCAATAAGTACAGAGACCAGCATCGCTCACAAAAATACGTTCAAATGAAAAATTTATCCCAGTTGGCACGTGAAAGTGAAAGGGACCGTACATAACACACTCATGGCATGAATTATTTATACCTGAACGTTCTGTAATATTATTTTAGTGCTCGCAGTATGTAGTGAGCAGTGCTTATTCACTGCACATATCTGCGCGAAAGCAGAAGCGGATGTGGAGTGTTCTGCCGTAAATGGCCCATAATTAATTGCTTGTTTTACCGCGGTGTAAATTTTGCAGGTTTCCTAAATCAATTTATTTGAAATGTATTTGATGGAATTCCAAATTCAAAAAACCTAAGTTTTTGTAGGACGATACAAATAGGAGACTACTGTGGTACGAAGTACAGACTGTATATTAAAAATAATGTCACTTGCAAAGGCTAACCGTCAGATGTGGCTAAACAAATACAGTATTTAACAATGTAAATTCGTACATAACACTACAAAGTACAGTACATACTGTTACTATGAATTGTTGGCATTTAGCGTAATAATTATTATTTCAATTTTGGGACGACTGGATTCTTGGACATCCACTTTTTAAGCGGAGTAGTAGGTATAACTTAAAAAAAGCGCTTGCCGTCGCTCTTTTCATTGCGATTAAGTGGTGAATCATGAATTTGCATTGCTATAGCAAGTACACTATGTACTAATCTAATTGTTGTTTTATAAAAACAGTAAGCGATTACAGAATATGTTATCAAACAGTTCCTGTTGCGAATGCCGGTTGCAGCATAATGTATTCAGTATTCTACCATACATATCTGTGCGGGCTAGCCAGTGGCCACTGCTGCTTGTTCCTACGACGTAATAGGGGGGCGCTACAGTCATGCAGCAAAATTCACTGCAACGAAGCAGCTGCGCCTTGCTAATTCTGTATTTTTCAGTGTGTATGTATTTTTTTGCATTTGGGAACCGTTGCTCATGTATTCCGTCCGTTTGCGCGGGGTCTAATAGTCTTTTATACTAAAAGATTTATACTAAAAGGTGGTGTGGTTAGCGTGTCTGCAACGATGCACTTACTTTATCTTTAAAATCCACATATTATGTGGTAGCTATAATCTGGTAGATTTTTACAAAATTTGTTCGACTTGAGAAAACAAATCCGTTTGCAAGAAAAATCTGGAAAACCTTACTGTACAAATTCTACGGCGCACCGCGCACTGAAACAGTCAATCAGAAAAATCGGAAGCATCTCCGAATCCCGAAGACAGTTTGTGCTCAAATAACGGTAGCTGTCTCAGTGGCGGTGTGCTTGACTTTTATGTAACAACCCGTCCATGAGGTGGGATAGGTACTCCTTGCAAAACCGGTGTTTTGTGTGCGTGAACGAAGTTCTGTATCTGTACTTGCAGTCTCGTTCCCAGTACAATACGTACTCTGTACAATGTACATATGTATCTGTACATTTGCTGCGCATTATATTAGCATTAGAAAAAATTCTATTGTCAGAGGCGTACGACTGCGCCTGGTGCGTACGGTCCACACTGGACGACGTACTTGCACTCATGCTTGCCGAATATCGCCTCTCTCGCTGTACGTACGTGTGCTGCTGCACTGCACTCATATCCGCTGAAGCGGATATACGCAGCGCATACACTGAGCCACACTTGCTCTCTCGTTCCTCTTTCGCAGTATGACTCAGCGTTCATACGCTCGCGTTGGATTGAGTCCAGTCTGCGCATCATCCCACAGCTGATGGCACACAGCACGTGCTTGCCGCCAGTTGCTTCTTTCACGCCTTGACGGACGCTCAAGAACCCACTTAGCATTCACTTGCTTAGCCATCAGTGCTTTGGTCTTGCATTCTTCCCTGCTATTACGCAGCATTTGTTCCCTTTATTTGTACAATAAAGCATCACTCGTGATCTCCTCGTGCTTGTCTGTTACACTATTTACAAAAACGTTGTTTATTGACATTTTTCGTATCAGTTAAAAGTTTTTTTTTATTTATCGTCTAGAACTGTTTTGGTCTATCACTCGCAGCCGGAGCCGAGCTGCGGCGCGAGCGGAGCTCGCAACGTAAGCTAGAATTTTGCAGAATAGAATTCTGTAATTATGCATGTTAAAGCTAATTTCCAGTGTCCGACGTGGTCGACAATTAATTCATTAACCAAAATACGGGTATTTAGCTACAATGTATTCAATTTGCGTTACAGTATCGTAAAACTGATGTGGTAATAAATCATAAATAACTGCATTAAAATTAGTACACTTTAGTGACTGTAGGTACGCCAAGTAACATTTACGTTTTTCGGTGACTGAGAGTCTGGGACGATTGCCATCCCGATAAAACTGACAGTGAAATGCAACATTATCAAAAATATGAAATAAAATACATAACAAAAATATAATATAACACATTTAAAGCGCAAGTGTTTTTTTGGTAAAATTATCCTGGATGTTGTAATCTGCGGAAACCAGGGATCGGTGCGGTTTCCGATAGTGCAGATTAAAGTTGACATCCGGTATGCGGAATAATAATATTATTATGGTCATATTGCTACATTAGCCTAAAATTACATAGACAACAAATACTAATAAGAATAACTAGCTTATTGTCCTTTACTACGAGGTAGGTTTAGCCGTTTACCTATGTAATATGTTTACCCTTCACATAAAGTACATGTGGGATATATACCTGTTATAATTTGAACAGTACAATATTTAATTCAAATGAAAATGTTACATTTATCCTGAGAATTGCATAAATATGCATATTCCAGAATTCGTACGACCTACTGAGTAGTCACCTAGAATTCCAGACCATTTTGAAATCTAACAGTTATAACTTACAACTGCAGTATTTAATTTATTTGTAGTGCATTTTTTTTCCCGCGCAGTCCGTGCGGGGTTTACTAGTTCACTCAATAATCGCGGAAAAATACAATTTTCCTGCTTTGTGTCAGATATTTAATACGAAATACACCAAATACGAAAAATACGATATATCAGCAAAAAAACTGATTGTGCCTGGCTAGTAGGCCATTATAATGATAATTATGAGAAGAATGCTCTGATTAGAAATTGTTGCGCGTTTTATTCTGACCGCAAATTCTTTGAACGCATAGCAAACTAACTATGCGCTTTAAAATTTGGGGCGCATAGAATGATGGAAATGAGTCAAGTGACCGTAAATAAATCGATTTAATCAGCTCTTAATTGTAAATAAATAAACTGTAAATTCATTAATTAATAAATTCAATAACTGCAGATAAATAAATCGTATCAAGCGTCACCGATAAACGATAACAGTATGTCAGTATCATTTCCATGAAACTTACCGGAAAATTCCTACCATTATCCAAACTGAAGATATCGTATTCGTCAGAATGGTGGGATGATCAAAGAAATGAATGGTGCCAGGAATCCATCCAAAAAAAACAAACTGTGGAGTCTTCAAGTTACGTGACGAGTACGTGTCAGATAATAGCCAGTTTTTTTTTGCGGTCCTCGTAATAAACCTGCTGGGGATAATATCATGATTTTAAAACTTATTCTGGGCTTCGTTTTGAAGAGTTATTAAGGGTCCAGACATCCGAGTGATCAAAATTCACAGTTTTGTCGGTGCTTATGCATTGTAGAGAGTTCTTCGAAAATCCGAATAAGCGTTGGTATCCACGATAGTCATGTAGACAACTGCTGGCATCACGGAAGTGTCGCATACAGAAAATGATCGGTTGTGGTTTGGTTCGGTTCCAGGTTGTTCATAGCGCCCGTGCGTCCTCACACACGCTGCGGCACATTCTACGTAACTTGTGTCATGCACGCACGCAAATCTCATTGGGCTGCTACAGTTGGAGACTGCCAGATTTTATACAAAAGCGGGTTACGGTTTAGCCGGGGTATATTAGGTACCCGAGCCGCAGACCGGCCGTCCCAATTTATTTTTAAGGATCTCATCTACAGGAGATTTCATTTTGCGCACTGTAAAGAACGTGCGCTGTGATACATTCAACCTACTGCAGCGCCCTCTGGCCGCGGATCAGGAGCTGCCAAATGAACACAAATACGCGTGGCGCTTATCAATAACGAAAATTGACCGGTCTTCTAGCTTGCCAATTAAGCTAAGTCCGAAGAAACGTAGAAACTGATGAGGTGCAGTTACGTACTGCCGAACGAAAGCACGTATAAAAATAATATTATGCGCTTTCGTTCGACAATATCTGTACGTGCATTGGAACACGAAACAGTAGAATACGAGACGCCCTCGCGCGTCTATGATAGTGCAAAAGGCACTAGTTCTCGACAAATATAACAAGCCCCCAACGACCGATTCTCACAGCATCGTCGAAAAATTTCTTTGAATAGTACGTACAGAGTACATCCATGTGGACTGTGTACATCAGTGCACATCTATATTAAAAAAAAGCAAAATTAGTAAGAGAATCCGGCCTTCGGGTGTACTGCAAAATGACTCATGGCACGAAATTTGGATACATGTACGAAAACTTTAACATTTGTACGATGCGTGTCTCGTGAATCAGCCTTTGCTAACTATTTTTCCAATATATTGCTAAAAGAGCTGCGAACTACTGTACTCAGTATTCTTGTTTATAGTTTGATCTGAGAGACTGTGTGTTCTGGAGAATTGTTGTTGTTGTGAGCGCCTGCTGTCTCGAATTGTGCATCTTGCCTTGAATATGTGCGGACGTTAAACCATTAAACCTAATACAAAAAGTTAGCGGATCAGCCGCGTGTTGACAAGCGCCCAACGTACCATATGCCGTGAATACCGACTCGCCCATGCCGATGGCACGACCCCGCTGGTAGACGCGGAATTTGACGCTCTCGCAGGTCTTGATGGTCCCGCAGGTTGCCGTTGGCCCGCTCCACCAGGACGCCGAGCGGCTCTACGCTACGACATCGTTGCAGGGATTCCTCAGTGTTATACGCAGTGGCGAACCGATTACCGGATATCTCTCACATTGCTCGCACACTCGCACACTGTCAAACATGAGCATACCTGCTCACGAGCGCGAGGTCACACAGTAGCATTAATAAAGCATTTCCAGATTAAAATTTATTATTGTATTTCTATGTAACAGATACACGAAATTGTGCTACTATACCGTACGTCTTAAATCATGGCACACATGTCGTTCCACTGTGATCTGTCTGCATAGTGCATACAACGATATACAACACTCGTACGTACATGTCAGTACTTGGCAGAAATTGTGCATCGTGTCCATACCCCGGCACCGTGCACAGTTAGCGTAACGTGCAGCACATCAACTTCCGGTTGCACTTACTGGGGATCCGCCGGTCAGGACCACATAGTGCGACGGATCTGGGATATCGGGACAAACCAGGCCGTATCCACATCGTACTAACGCGGTGCAAGAATTATATTTTGTGCTGCTGCAGTATAGTATCTGTAGGACAACGACATGACAGAACTATGTAACATTGTGCTTACCGACATTAAAATTTATTATGCTTTACGTGCACATTGATTAATGAGTGTTAAATGATGCGCAAATTTACAGCTTTCCTGGTTCGAGGCCACTCTAAGAAAAAGTAAAAATTCAGGAAGATTTTTTATTTGTAAATTATTTCCTTTTCTGATGAATCAGGCTGACGATTACAGTATTTTCATAATGTTTTGGTGTGTATCGTTAGGTGTGTCTTGAAAATTCGATATCACTCATAAATATTGAGATATGTTTTCGCCAGAAAATTGTGTTTTGCATGCACATCACATTTGTGGTTTGTTAGATGGGTAACTTACCACGAGGCCGGTATGGAAACCAGGTAAAACCAGCCCTTGTTTTTGACAATTCCTTAAGCGAAATCTAGGAAGTTATCCTTTTTAGCGCTGGAATCCAGTGATTCGAGCAATAAAAATTAGTGATAAAAATTACCAGTAAAAAGAAAAAAAACTGGATTCAACTGAAAAATTACATACACTACGGCAAATGGCGGCGTTTCAGCGTCTTTTGAATTTGACGGAACCAAATTCAGCCATGGGAACGATTCATAACATCGTTCAGCCCCAGGAGCGCTGTTGCACTCTTTTATTATTTCCCCACGTTTTCCCGGATATCAGGTTTCCGGGCCCGTTTACCCAGGTTATAAGTACAGGTACCCTTGTGTATCAGATGTTACTGTGCAGTGAGTGTACTTTATTTCAATAGCACGATAACAATATTATCAAGGTCTAATTATGCTCGAACAAAACAATATTCTCAACGGTACCGCTTACTGAAACAGCATTACCACGTTGGATTGCTAAAGAAATGTTAGAAATGTTCTGTTTCGACAATCCGTTGGTTTGTTGCGAAATCCTCTTCCCAGTTTCTCTAATGAATCTTTTTTTGGCCGATGTACCCCAAGCAGCTACCGTGACTTATATTCTCCATGCAGTATAATTTCTAACAGGGTTAGTATCTACGGTACAAATACGTGCATATCTCTATACCGTCGCAGTGTACTCCGCATGTTATCAATTTAATTTGGCATTTCTGCCGAAAAGAAGACAAAGTACTAATGACAGAAAATTCCAACAGAAGCAGTCAAACATGACTGACTGCGGGATATTTGCGATAGCCTTCGATGTGGAGATACTGTTTGAATTTTAACCGTCACTCTGAAGTGATCCCATCCAAAACTGTGAAGTTGTCTTCAGCGGAAATAAGAAAGTACCTGCAAGACTGTCCTATGAAGGACTCTATGAACGCGGTTTCTCGTGTTGGCTGCAGCACCTACAATGTTGACGTTTCCGCTACAAATATTGTCTGAATCATTTATGCAGTATCATTAACGTTTTGTTGTGTAAAAAGCCGGTGGTCAACTGACTGCAGTAGTGCCATTAGCGAACTGTACTCTCACGGTCGTTCAAATGGACACCTATAGTAAGTGAATGGGCGATGGTCGTTCAAAGTGGCCACCATTTATTGCAAATTCCACAAACCGATTTCCTTCCGGCTTTTTTCTTTACCTGATTCAGCATAGCGTACTCTACAAATACTACTTGAAATTTTTCAAAAATCCTAAACCGTTTTCTTGAATCATTTTAGCCACGCCACTCGAGCCACTGCACTACACCATGATTAATGGAGTCACCGCCAAACGTGTGCGGTTGCGCAGTCGCTGTGTAAGGGACATACGTGCACATTGAAAAGGAAGAAACCTAGCGAACAATTTCCAAAAAGGAATACACTAATAAAGTTGAGCTTAAACGAGTCTGCAATACTCTGCATTATTTTGCGCCGCCGCACATGATTGCCGCTAACTGCAGTAATCATGGTGTAGTGCAGTGGCTCGGGTGGCGTGGCTAAAGTGCTTCGTCACTAGTTTTTTAACGACGCATTTGCAAGAAAACGGTTTAGGATTTTTGAAAAATTTCAAGTAGTATTTGTAGAGTACGCTATGCTGAATCAGGTAAAGAAAAAAACCGGAAGGGAAATCGGTTTGTGGAATTCGTAATAAATGGTGGCCACTTTGAACGACCATCGCCCATTCACTTACTATAGGTGGCCATTTGAACGACCGTACGAGTAGTGCATACGAATTAAAAGTCACATAACGTTTGTAGTGCCATTAGCCATATTGCGATATGGACTGGAGTGGCATTAGCGCTTTATTTTGGACTGCAGTGGCATTAGCCCAAGCCTAAAACATAAGCCAAACCGTTCTTAATAAAAAAATAACATATGAACATTAAATGAAATATTTCAAAGAGCAGTGCAGTAAATACACTAACGCCGCGATTCCAGCAGACCGGGATGATTTTATACAAATATCAACTGGAGAATAAACCAGCACAAAAAATTCCGAATCAGCCGGCGAATAACATGATGAAAGCACTTATGACGCAGAGTAATAGCTATTCACAGAATCCAGGATGGTTGACGCGACGCGATTATGCAATCGTACAACCTTCGCCGCTGTCCGTTTGCAGTGTGTAATTCTCCAAGTGGGAATCCTGTTGCGGGCCGACCAATTCTGGCCGATCCATGCCGTCCGTGTAGATCCGGTACAGACAGCCGAAGCGCTCATCGTCCCGCTCGGTGGACGGCGTGCTGGTAATGTAGGTGTCGTTCCACGTGTGCATGGCGTCGAAGCCATACACCGACTCGCCGCCATGAGCGATGCGCATCACCAGCGTCTCCGCGCAGACGATGCGGGCTTCCGCTGCCCGCACCCACTGATCCGCACGCCGGCGACACGCTGCCTGCGTTTCAAAGACGCCCTTGGCGAAGAACCCCGGCGGCTTCGTCATCTCCGGGATGAAGAGTCGGGAGGCCGGCTGGATGGTCGAACGGGACACGGGACCGCGGTCCGCTCGCTGGATGGCGTAGGCTACCCGCAGAAACCTGCAAAGCGTTACCGTGCTTAATGAGAGGACCCGGTACATGGTGCTAAAGTCGTATACGAGCGTCCTTCTCGCATATATCTGTACATGCTTTCGGCACCCCCCTGCCATTAACCAAAGCTGCCGAGCAAATCTCTGTAACCAACCGAAGATAATTGAGCCTCTGTTTGTGCTCATGGTACGCCATATCTTGGGTGTCGATGCCTTTGTTGTAGCTCCAGCGGAACATGACGGTCTGGACGTTAACCAGGCGATAGTTGGGCGGCACCGTCCCCAACCACTGCTGGACACACCGTAGCACCACAGGAAACGGCTCCATCCGAGGATTGGAGAAGAAGCCTTCTTTCTCCAGCATCTGTGGCACAAAATCCTGGAATCCAACCTGCACATCGCCGCCGGGACCTCGGATGTAAAAGATGCGGATGAGATAAAGGAAGCGCTGACTGGCAAAACCCCGCTCGGTCCAGATGGTGCGATCCGGGTCCAACGCTGCGGAAAAGAGTGGAGATGTCACTGGTGTACTTCATTTTCACGGTCTCTATATATTTCGACGTTTTTGGTATTCGGAGCATCTTCTCAACATAGATGCACGTACCGGGCACCACAGACACGGTATTTTCCACGTTGTTCAACACGACAAAAACTTTTCGAAAAGACTTCATGGGATAGTTAGAGCTTATACAAGTTTATGAACGAAAACCATACAAAAACATTACTAAAAGGTTTTGGAACAACGCGACAAATACCGTGACTCGGGTGTCAGGTACGCGGTATTGTAAAAGCGCCCGAAATGCGGTAAAGTCGAGGTATGCAATAATAACTCCGCAGCTCTGTCCGACGCCAGTGCCGGCGATTTACACGCAATGGATGCGGTGTTCCTGCTTCACGCTGTTTGTTAAAGAAAATGGCCCGGTACATGGTGTCAAAGATGGGATACATACACTAAAACTTTTGCTTTCGCGCACTACGAACCACTTTTTTGCAATGCTTTATATCGTTTTAAAGCTAAATAATATGTATGCACTGTTCTGAAAAACGTTTGTGTGCGCAGCATTGGGTTGCCGAGATATGATGAACTAAAACGTGCAATAAGTTTAATTGCATTGCTGTGTACCAACGTCTGGTTATTACTGTCCTTGAAACTTTCCTTTAAAAGACACATCGCCATATAATCGAACGTGAACGAGTTCCAAGTTCATAGCACTTTCCCATAATTTTTAAATGAATTTTAAAATTTTTGAAATTCACTTTTGAATTATGGGGTAGTATGAACCTGAAATTGGTTCAAGTTTGACTTTATGGCCATGCTTTACAGCAAAGTTTCAATAACCACGCTTTTGGTACACAACAATGCATTTAAACTTTTCGCTCATTTCAGTTCGTTATGTGTCGGCGACCGGATGTTGCGCACGATAAACAGTTTTCAGACCAATATATACAAATTAATTAGCTTTAGAATGACATAAAGTATTGCAAAAAAATGATTCGGAATACACGAAAGGGAAAGTTTGTGTATATGTATCCCATTTTTAACGCCTTGTACCGAGCCATTCTACTTAACGATGTCAGTTTATGACGTCAATGAGCAGCGACCCGAGCGGCCGAGCTCCGATATTTTATATGTCGGTGTTCTTGACTGACCTTTACTGCCCCACTTAATCGGCAGGGTTTCCATCGTGATGATCGTCCCTTTGATGGGGGTGCGATTGATGCGCTGCAGCACGCCGTCCAGTCGCTGAATCGTCCCGTCGTGCAGGATGTCGGGAAGGAAGTTCAGATAGCCGAGCTGTTGCGGCTCCGTCGGATTATCACGCATGACAGGCCGCTGCTGCGTCCACAGACGCAGACCACGGATGTACCGGTTGGTCGCTTCCCCTGCAACTATAGGGCATTAGTGCAGGCCAATTGGTAAAACAGAATTCTGGGAGGGATTTTCAGCTTATCCATCCGTGTAACCGTTGTGCTTCGACGTCGAAGCGCAACCATTACCCAAACTAACTCACATGCACAGATCAACAAAAGTCTTGCGTGTTGGGACCAAAAGTACATACAGCCACCCAGATTCAGCTCCTAAACTCAGAATCGACTTTTTTGACGTAATACCACGTTCACCACATTACAGCAACAATAAAGAGGTTTCCAGTTCCACTTTTCAAAATCTTTCTTGGCACAGAAGCGTACACGAATTACGATTGGACGATAATTTTTTCGCTGAGTCATGGATAGTTTTTAAACGTTCTCCGTTGGCCGATGCGAATCGGCTTCCCAAATGCCAAATGCAACTGGCCTCTACCATTATGACGTTTGTCGAGTCAGGCTGTGTTTACAGCTTGAGGATAACTATCTTGGTTTTGATTTTGAAATACGTGAAGCCGTACTTCCGGTTTTATTTTGGTAACCGTTTTCAGCTTCTATTGTACTGTGATCGTGTGAGTGAAATACGGAATAATTTGAGAATACTGAAGGATATATGGACGATTTCGTACCATTTCAAAACTTCGACCCCTTATTTTTCAATATGTACTTCTATTCCTAGAAATCTCACAAATTCCACCGGTATTCCTGTGTGTTCTCTCTGTATCCAGGTTTATCCGCTCCGTATCAAGAACACGGCTCTCTTTTGCAGCGTCTGTATTCCCGCGTATTCCACCGGTATTCTTTAGTGTTCTACATTGTACCTGTGTTCTGACTAAAAAAAACATGGAGGATTACGAAAGAATTCAGGCACAGCACGCAAGAATACCGGTGCAGCACGCAAGAATACCGGTGGAAAACGCGGGAAATATCTGCTTATCCCGGTCACAATAATAGACTTTAACAAGTTAATGATATATCTGTAGTTGCTGCGGCGCATCAGCCGTATCTTATTTTCCGAGATACTCGGACATTATTGTACGAGTACGTCCATACATTACCCTGCAGGAATACGTTGAGATACTACAAAATTATCAGGATACTTTCGAAAAACATACAGTGGAATACTGAAGATTCAACTTAGCATGCGTTTTGAAGAATTTACCGTGTACGAACCGTGCCAAAAGTGTCAAACTACGCGAATAGCTGAACTAACATACCAGTACAATACTGATGACCCTGTTGCACAGCATCTGTCTAACTTGTCAATAAATCTCGCAGCACTAACGGCACTGCAGTGCCGCTTGTTACAAGGTCAACGGTTGTGTGCTATAGCTACAACCGGCAATGCTAGGATGCCCTCACCGGAAGTGAAAGGCGCGATGGTTTTTACTTGCTTGAAAACAGCGTTCGGCGTGACCGGACCCGGTACCGCACAGGCGGTATATTGATTAGTTTCTCCTGCTAATAACTACCCGTAAAGACGTTTAAGTGGGCCACTATGATAAATGAATGGCAGACCTAAAGTGGACATGCATCGATTACTGTTTCCCCGAGCCGTATGACTGTCGGCTTTTTTGTTTTGGTGGATTCAGGAAAATTTGTGCTTTCAGGAGCAATTAAAATTTTTCAAATCGGTCTGCCCGTTTTTAAGTTATTTGCGTTGTAAAAAAACCGATGACGAAAGCACTTGGTACCCATTACTCAGAAGGCTGCTGTTGCTGTATTTATCACGAGGACGTCCGTCGGCCTGTTATTTCCAAATTCAGTTTTTTAACTCAAAATCTGGCCATCTAATGTGTTTGTACGGGGATTGTGCTTATCACATGTAGCCGCTATGTATAATTGCCATAGGAATGTCTGTTTCTTTTTGGCCCTGCAAAAAAGCTGAATGCATCCCAGCCGACAGCTTTCTTACGGTTGTGAATCTGTTATTATTAATCAATTATTATTAATATGATAACAAAAAATCCGGGGAAAGAAAGATATGATAGTCTTTCTATCTGGATTTCACTTTATCAGCTTGTTTAGCTTGTGTAGTGCATATGTATTTATCGATTAACGATGTGTATCGGATCTCACCCACAAAGCAACTAACTGCACAAGCCGGAAACGATATCGCACGTACACCAGTGATCGCTAAACTAGGCACACATTAAACTGCATACACAATGTCATATAGATATTGGTATTTATTACATTAGGAAAGAGGTGTTCGCACTAAAGTTGGGTTTGAGAGATTCCGGCAAATGTTTCTTTACGCTAAAAATTACTTTCTAAATTAGAATTACAAACTAGCGCGGTACAGTGATCGGCTGCGTCTTGACACGTACAAGCCTGTCGACAAACGGAGCCTTCATACCGTGAATACAGCGAACATTAGAAATTTACGGGCAACGCTTAAATCCGTGCTACAGCGCGTCACGCCACACTGTTTAAACACGTCCCGATATTTTGGTTAGGATAATTATTGCCTGGCACTCTGGCAGGATGTAGCTTGAAAACAGTCGATGCAGTAAGGGACAATCTAACTGCGATGAACGTAGCTGTGCAGTATGGCCATCATTCAAGCGCCGATTTCGCGCTGATATCGCTCTACCTGTACCTTTACATGCTCCCTTTGTCGACAAGCTAGTACACAACGTACCGTATGCCGTGAATACCGACTGCATCGTGTCGATGTCCTGGCCGCGCTGGTAGACGCGGAACGCCACGCTCTCGCAGGTGTTGACACGACAGCGCGGATGGTCGCGCAGGTAGCGGTTGGCGCGCTCCACCAGCACGCCAAAAGGCTCGTACTCGGCGTGGTGGGAGGGACCGTTCTCCCGCGTCATCCGCGGCAGGAAATCCACAGCCTGCAGACTGGGGGACGGCCGGGCGACGGCCGGAAGGGGAACGGCCGGAGTGGGTCCCGTCGCCACCCCGTAGTCCGGCGGGGCGTCCACGTATTCTGGGGGTGCGCGCTGGTGATCGTGCAGCGGTTCCATTAGTTCCCTGCACTGTTTACCCGCTGGACGCGTTCAATACGGCGGATTCGGATAACGCTTGTACGGGTAATGACTGAAGACAGCTGGTAGTGCCGTTAGTTTACACCACGAATTCTGCGTCTGTAGAGGAAATAAATCACGCTTCATGAATTCCGCTTTAGGATGCATCTGTTGATAAATATCACTAACATACAGGGAATGCCACGTTGATGCACGCAGCTGGAAAAGAGGAATACAGTGGAGATGGTACTGGCTTAACGATCTGATGCTGGCTACACTAGTAAGCCGCAGAACATATCCGTGCAGCGTTATCGGCGTGGTAAATCTACGACACGCCTATTTCCGGTGCTACATCACGGCAAGAGCAATTAAGCTGTTCACTAGCACATATGGAAGCGGTGCTCTTAAAGCATCTCAACTGGAACTGCTTATTCAGCGCTTCCAGGGAACAACTGACTATTCCAGCTGGAAAGGAATGTAGAATAATGTTATGTACTCATTTCGTACACCTACCGTATTTCTGGATTGCTAAAACTTCTGGAACTGCTACACTTTTTATTGCAGTCGTATACTCATACATCCACAGAACATCGACGAATATGAAATTCAGCATCATGACTATATTTTGTAGAGGATCGCCGATTTTCCCGCACCGGAACCGCACCGTTAACATTTGGCGGCGTTCAGCGGCAGCGTTGAATAGGGATGATTTTGCTGGCGTACCGTCCGCTGCGTTACCTGTGCCGTGGCACAATGGTCGATCCGCCGCCTACCGCATCCCCACACGGGGACCATGCATACGCTTACCAAACCCATCGAGCGGACGATTTCTGGCAACGCAACCGTTGGAAACTTGCACGAATTCTGTTGTTGTGCCCGAGGTCGTCCGTCGTGTTGCAGCCTATCGTACATACGGACGACTTTGCATTAAGTTTTCCACACACAAGGTGTTTATTGGGATTTACAGTGTCCCTTCGTATCCTGTCCTATGTGTTGGTCATGTATCATGAAAATTTTCACCCCTTTTTGCTCACTGCTGTCCCATTGTCCTTCTGCAGTATTTCCTTAGGTATCCCATTCTACCATTTTTTTCCAATTTTAAATAAATTTTTAAAATTTTTGAAATTCATTTTAAAATTTGAAAAAAACGGTAGAAAGCTGGTTCGGTACCAAAACTATCTTCATGGTAATGTGCGTTTTCGTGCAAAATTTGAAGAGCATCGGTTTATAAATAGACTTTTGGTACACCTCCGCGCGCTTAAACTTTTGGAATTTTATTTCACTAATATCTCCCGAACCGGACGTTGCGCGCAAAAAACGGTTTTTTTGCCTATTTATACGAATCCTTTGGCAACAAGATGTCATAAAGCAATGCAAAAAAGTGTTTAGGAGTCCGCGACAGCGAAAGTTGCCGTGGATGTATCCAAATTTGGTGCTATGTACCGGGCCAAATCCCTTAAACGCGTATCACTTTTCAAGGCAATAATATCCACTGGATCTTTACCCTTATTCTTGCTGTCCACAGCTTGGCTTGTTATATGACAGTCCAGTATTCACGCAATGTACCTCCACGTATCATTCGTATCCGTTATCCGTCGTGCATGCCGGATGCGCTCCGTACCCTTCCTAGGTCACTGAGAATTCCGATATTTTAAGTGGCATACCAGCGAAATACATCCAGCGTACTGTACTTGGCGTATGGACACATGAAGCGTACTCGTCGAAACACTCGGATCTTGGGAATTGGACGCTTCTCGCATGCATGCATGCCTGCATCCTGTCGCATCCTCTTCTCGAGTTCGCTGACCAATGCTCACCGAAATCGGGAATTGGTCACCGAACTCGGGAAGATGACATGACAGGCAGCATGCGAGATACCGGCGATCGAGACTCTGCGCCAGCGGTTCAGCATCAAAATCCAACGCGGAAATGCGGCTGCTTCTGTCATGGGAGCACCACCAGTGTCGGCTGATTTAGGTGAAATTTTCTGTATAATTAGACCGTCTATTTCTGCTACCGGCTGAGGCTGTATAATTGGTACGAGTACTTCTATGTCTTATACTTTGATAGAAAATGGGTTACTTTTGAACCGCCAGTCAACTTAAATATGATAAATTTACGACATCCATCCATATATATATATATATATATATATATATATATATATATATATATATATATATAAGATGAATAAGATACGTCTACATGCTATATATACAATACATACGTATGGCATTACTACGGTATATTTCACAAAACACATAGATACATAAGTACTTAGCATGCATACACATACATACACTATACTCGTATATATATTTATTTACAACATATGTATGTATACTACGTATGCATGTGCGGCAGTTACTACGAAAGGAGATTTTACAGGATACACAGATATTTTAAAGGTGCATCTACGATATAGCGTTGGAACCTAACAGCACTCACTCTTATTACTATTTTCCAACCTTATTTGATTGAATATTCTGCGTAGCCTGCACTTGTTTTGGTATTACATATCTATATTAGTTAGTTCGTCATTGTTCCCACGAAAAACGTACGAATACACGATGTGGGCTGCAGAAAAAAAGATGGGTTTTCAAAAATAGGGATGATACCTGTAGGATGCGTAGATAATGCCGTGGTATACTGATCATACTGCAGATAGGAGTTATTATTTTAAGCATTCTCTTGTACAATTATGTACGAACCGTGGCATGGGTGATAAGACAGCATGAAATCTTCCAGAAACTCGATCTTCGCCATACAGTTTTGTTGCGCGTACCGTGGCTGTTCTCTGCCTTGTCATACAATCGAGCTCATCCAGTTCTTATTTCGTTCACATCCAAATTATCCAGCAAGAAGGCGCTCCGTGGGAATATTTGTGCAGAATCTTGGAACCAATCAAGCCAAGCCATCAATCAAGCCATAACCTTTTAGCTGATAGTACAAAACAACAACAAAATGAGAAGTACATCGTCCAAAGCCACAGCAACGGGAAACAGCATGTAGTTGCTATTCATCATCTGGTATCACGACTTCCACAATATCCCGAGAATCTCGCGAAATGCAAATATACCATTAACGGTGTCGATTATATGTAGGCGAATGGTCACGGATGAAATTCGTTTCCGTTTGGAAGTGTGAAAAATACGTGGATCCACGAATAGCATACGGACACCAGTAGACGTTGCATTCAAATGCTGGATAATCCGGAGCATTAGAAGCGGTAATCACTACTGCAGAGACTGGAGAACTTTCAGATTTCGAGAATAATATCAGGAGACGAAAACACTGTTCAACGCTCGACACGAATCATGGGCAATTGCACACCACGCGAGGTCGATAGCGAAGTAAATTACGGTCGATACGCGATAGCCTCATTTTGGTTCGCCGTTGCAACGAACGAAAATTATAGCACAGGCAGAGTGTGGTATACAGAGAAGGCCTGAATGCACACACAGCACTGCGAAGGTATAGAAGTAGTTCTTTAACGCCGGTGGACGATCGCCTTCCGAGTAACCTGTATTCCCGCGGAAATCACCTTCATGAAAATAATTCCTCTTTCACGAGAATCTCATAAGCTAAGAATTTCAGATGAAGAAAATCCAGGGACTTCCGGCGCTTGCAGAAGCGTCAACCGCTCGGTATGGCAGTATCATGAGTGAACCTTGAGTAACACTCATTGAACTGCAGATTTTATCTCGCAACATTTTGAGAATAACGCTTCTTCTTCCTTTTAGATGTTCATCACAAATACTGACATTCTCTTTCTCGTCACTATTTCTATATGATCTTCGTATGGGATATCTAGCATGCTCCCGTATTATACGGGTGGCTTTCCACCCAGTCGGAAGGTGTACTGCTTAAATAAACTCCAAGTTGTCCAACCGATCATTTATGTATATTGTAGAGCGTGCTGTTTTCCCGTTATGTACTTCTGTTTCAAATTGTAAGCTCACTCACGTACCTATTAGACAAACGGGTTTTCTTGTCAGCCAACATGGTGCAGGTACAATGTACGACAAAAAGAGGTTGAACCGATCAGTCGGTCCGCGGTTCAAATAACCTCGCAACGACACGCCACCACTAAAACTTGGACGCTTACTCACTACTTTCAGACACTCGCGCTCCGTGAATATCAAAGTGCAGCTATACTAGTTGCATATCAAAAAGTGCAGAAAAAAATTTTAAACTTTTGATACTAAACCTGTGGCTGTTTATGGCGAACAGCACAAATTCTAGCCATTTTGCTTTCCCATAGACTTAAGCATTGATTGCAAGCCAAACGGTTATGCGCACAGATCCTGTGCTGTGCCTACGAGAAAGCAAAATGGCTAGAATTTGTGCTGTTCGCCATAAACAGCCACAGGTTTAGTATCAAAAGTTTAAAATGTTTTTCTACACCTTTGATATGCAACTAGTATAGCTGCACTTGATATTCACGGAGCGCTATAGTGAGTAAGCGTCCAAGTTTTAGTGGTGGCGTGTCGTTGCGAGGTTATTTTGAACCGCGGACCGACTGATCGGTTCAACCTCTTTTTGTCGTACATTGTATGTAAAAACTGCAATATGTACTATGTCGTCTGCATAATAATTGCGCGCCACTTAAAAAAAATTCTGGAGACGTGCAAGATTGAATAAGCATCGCAGTCTTTTGAGATGGAAGATTGGCTTCCCTAATCAAACGCTTACTAAGTCTACTTCTAATGCTACAATCACGTCTTGCGAAGGAGCGGATGAATAGTTGCACCTGCAGAGTGCAAATTACGTACAGGCTCTCCGACTTCTCGGAATACTGAATAACTACACGACAAATATTAATTCGTCTGCAGCTGTGATAACGAGTAATCCGATTACTCGTTATCACAGCTGCAGACGAATTAATTATTTATGATATACTACCCTAGACTAAACAGTCAACCTAGATCTCAACCTTAATGTCCAGACTGTGCGGTAATAATAAAATTAGTCCCTGATGCCAAAATTAGCTGAAAATAACGGCGCAAACGACCCTATTAATCCGAGTATAAAAGTTTTAAAACGGCAAGGCAGCGCAAGAATAGTCTTATTCGTATTTTAACGTTTCTTGACCAGTACGGTGTTTTATCCGCCAATAGAAATCTAGAGGTACTGACTTGTACTCTACTGAGAGTATCTTTATTAGCGCAAGCCTGTCAGATCGCGAATTTTGTAACATAAACAGATTTAATTACAACAACACGTTGTTTATTTCAGTCGAGGCTTATGTACTGTATGTTTTGCGGTTATTACTAACGTGAACAACCTATAAAAAAATAAGCGATTCGCTCTGATAAGATATCGCGACATGTCATGGGTCCCTATGGAATGAGCAGCCAGTGATTAGTGAACCGCTGCGGTTAACTTAATCTGCAAACTACACAATACGAACTACATAAGCAAAAGATCCAAACAAACTACATAACCAAATACAGGCATAAAAACAATGAAGATCCTTCCAAATATCACATCCCGCAATCAGGAAGGGAATTCGTTCCAGATCAACCAATCCAGAATAAAATTCCCTTGACATTCTGAGCACTCCACCATCCACGATCTGTATTCCATGAGCAGTAACAGAGAAATGCTAATAAAGCGGCCGATACCGAAAACATAACTGATCCCATGGTCAACACGATTCCATCTGATGCAAACACAATCATTAATAACCGTCGAACGCTTCAAGGAAATTCGTAGTACGTCGATGGTCCATCAAATGCATAAGCTTGGCTACTGTCGCCGTCTACACACGAACAAGTGGCAACGGGATACGCTCCCGTAAAATGCAGCCAACGGCCCTCCATTACATAGCCGTCGATCATGGCAAAATTGCCGCTGTACGCGAATTCGCCTGGTGATGGACGTTGATAGTAATTCCAGTGATTACTGCCGAAAGTGTCCTTCGGAAAAACATAACGCTGCTCTTCTCCGGAACATAAATAAGTTGTATCAGCAAAAGGACTGCGTGCTATGATAGCAGCGGCAGAAAATTCCTCACGGCCGGTCAATAATTTGGCCTTCTCGAGCAGCGATTCAGCGTTTTGGCTCATTGCTTCGCTTTTCATGGTGTACGCTACATGATCATCAACGTCGGTTTCCCGGTCGTCCATCGCGATTTGCAGATACTCCTCCAGACGCTCCAACTGCGCTTCGGTCAGGTTGCCGATGACCTTGCGGTACATGTCCATCTCGTGCATTTCGTCCAGCTCTTCCACTTTAATTACCACCGGACTTTCCGGCGCATTGGACGCGCTGCTGGTCACTGAGGAATTGGAAGAATCGAAGCCGGAATCGGGCGCCGACGAAACTGTACTGTCCCGGTCGCTCTCGGCTTCCGCTGCGTGTTGAGTCTCCCGGCAGTGACGTCGCACACTGGATTTCGTTGTGAACTGGCGCTCGCATTTTTCGAAGGGACAGGCGAACGGTTTGAAGCCCCGGTGGGCGTTGAGGTGCTGTTGGAGGGTGGCGGAACGGGTGAACAGTTTCGGGCACTTGTGGCATTTGAAGGGTTTGGCCTCGGTGTGTCGATGCTCATGCCTTTCTCTCGAACCTGTTGAATAGTTTCGGTTAAACTTCATGACTTTTTTCACGAACCGAATTATCGTGTATTACTGTATCTATGAATTTAGTGACTAGAAAATCTCTTGTAAACTCATCGTCAACTACTCGTAATGGTGTTCAAGTGGAACACTATGTCGAGTAAATGGGCGACCTACCATCATGTAGCTCACATACCGTGAATTTTGTATTCGTCAATTTTTCTTACAAACCAGTAACTAAAAATCGCTTCAGCTGGTTTGAAAATTCTCAAGAGCCCTGAAAACACTGCGATGTGCTTTACATGCTAAAAAAAAGGTTCGGAAGGAAATGGTTGCCCAATGGACGGTATATCGCCCTTTTATTTAGTCTAGCGGCCCACTTAAACTTCGTTGACTTATTAGAGGTATTGTGTAATCGCAGCAGCTGTCCCAACCAAAATAAAGCACGCTTAACAAGTCAGTTTCTTACCGAACTGGCGCAAGTGCTTAATGAAATATGGACAGAGTGAATTATTCCCATAAATTACATAAATACCGATAATTGCCGATAAATGCTTAAATAGCCGATAGGAAGCCATTTTCTTTCCGTGATTGATTTCCGAAATGTCTGTACAGTATCTAAGGTATCATAGCGTGTGTGCTGGTCGGTTCATTAAGTACAACATAAATTAGACTAATTTATCGCCGGTCCAAGGTTGTGGTGCCTCGTTAGCTTGGCGTTTCCATTGACAACGAGCTCCTACAGCTGCAGGCAGTAGACATTAAACTGCATATTTAGAGATCGTCGTGCTAATCCTGCTTAAGGTACAAACAAATTACAAGAACACTGTTTTTTCGTGCTGAAGAAAAACGACCAAAATCCACCCGGAACGCATAAATCAGTCTTATTTGGATGCATTATGTGGTAATAAAAAATGCTAAATGATTATCGCTGCCGGATAATGGAAATGCCGACAAATTTTACTGCGAAATAATGATGCTTGCGTTAATTGGTAATTTCAGCATATTTATGACAATCTCGCTATTGATGACCTTAAAGATCGTTGAAGAAAATAGTAGTCTGTGAACGCAGGGTATTCATTCTCATTAGATCAATAAAACAAATATTATTAAGTTAGGTATTACCTTGCAGTCATAGTTCGTGACTGCAAAATTACTAGTTAAGATTTGGACATGAAACTAGTTTGCAATAAACAGGCTGTCATAAAAATTTTTATTTGCGAGAAAGCAAACATAAGAAAACTTAAGAAACCTAAGAAACCTGAAGAAAACCTAAGAAAACATACCTTTGGAACTGAAACCTTTCCCGCATCTTGAGCAGTTGTGACCTCTTGGGGCCTCGGAGTGTATCCTCTGGTGGGTACGCAGATGAGCTAACTGAGTGAAACGTTTCTGGCAGATGTCGCACGCCCAGTCACGCCGCCCGGCGTGGAAGTCGAGATGCGCTTTGAGGATATTGGTCTGACTAAATCGTTTGGGGCATACGTGGCACCTACAAGGAACGCGGCTTGATACTGAAGATGTTTTGAGCACAATTCCTTCGCGCTTCTTTATAGCATGGTACGAGACCGTTCGACGTACGCGTACGGCTTCTCGCCGGTGTGCTGACGCAGATGGATTTTCAAGCTTTTTCTGCTGGCATACGACTTCCCGCAAATGTTACAGTTGACTCTGGCTTCCTTCTTGGTGGCTTGGGATTCCTGTGTCACCTGGAAGAATAATTATTCCTTCAGCTACGATGAACTACGTATGTAAAGAATGCAGCATAGGAGGCACACATTGCGTATACTAATCTATATGGAGAATGAAGTGTACTGCGATTCCCATACTGATCGTCGGGACGTAAGTAATATATTACTCTAACGAATTTCACCTAACTTAAAAGCCGAAGCAAAGCCAAAACATGAACTACACATAGAGTGGTTGTAGTGTTGCAATCTGCGCACACTGATATCTACATTTACACACTGCGTCGAAAGGGTCGCACTGTCGAGTTAAAGAAGTTCAGAAATTATTTTCAAATATGTTAAAAATTTAATTCGATGTATGTTTAAAATTTTTAAAGTATTTTTTATATATAGTTATTTTTGTTTTAATTCCATTCTGCGTTTGTTCAACACCAGTCTCTTACTATTGAATAATATCGATTTCATATTATTTTTCTGTTTATTAATTTTATTTTTGGAGTGGAGTTCAGTTTCTTTCAGATACGATAAAAAATAACGGCTATCAAAACGCAAGCTAAGATAACGTTCGCACGACGGCCGCTTGTAATGGATGGCAAAATCTTCAATTACTGCCAAGTACTGTGCATATTATGCACAGCACAGTCTTATCGGTTCGAAATGTCTTTAAGTAATTACCATAATATCAAATCGCATCAATAAAAGCTACGTACCTTGGTCTTTACTGAAACCGGCGTTGTCGCGTTCATGATTTGCTGACCAGACAGGAGCAATGGCATGTATCATTCTCCAGGCATATCACCAAAAATAAAATAGTTAAAGCAGAAATCGGCATACGCATATGCCGCATATATACAGTTTGTGCGGTATTTATCGATAACCAGGGATACTGCCTCGGTGTATTTCCGGTGCAAATGAGTGGCTCCAAGTGCAGCGTACAACTGAAGGCGTTTATTATGACGGGCAGCCTGGTGGAGCGGTGCACTCAGTGCGCCGCAGATACTGAACGTGGCAGTCGTCAGCGGCGTGCCCGATGTATCCGTCGGCCGATTGCAAAAGGATTCGGCATCTCACGGTTCACGGGAGGACAACAAAAACACTTGTACGAACAATACCGGCGCGGCCAATCATCCGCCAATATAAATACAACAATCACACCGCGCTGAATACCGTCTCGTTACCGTACAATACGCGCATACAGTGTATTGATGGCTTAAACCGAGCGTCCGCTCGGGGCGACGCCGATTTCACGCTTGGACATTAACGTATATATATGTATGTACGTATGTATGTATAAATATAATTATATTAATATATGTATATCCAATATTAACGTGTATCCATCGTTAACGTAGGATAAACGCATGGACATTAACGTATATATATGTATGTACGTATGTATAAATATATATTATTAACATATGTATATCCAATATTAACGTGTATCCATCGTTAGCGTTGGATAAACGCCGTGTCCGAAGAAAACACACGGTGGAGCTGATGGTAAGGAAAGCTGAGTGAATCAGGACATTAGTTATACTCAAGCGACAGCTTGTACAAGTACAATAGGGAAGATCGAGACCGCTTTGCTGCAACGTATCTTTAATACAGGAAGGGTAAACGGGGCAAAAGTTTCACCATTTTTGAGTACCGTATATCGGCGCCGGTGTACAATATTAATGAGGGTACTGGACCGATTGATTCCCTGAACTTAAGTGGGCTTTGTGAGGGAAATTAACGTAACATGTGTGTCTGGCGAGTCCCTGCCGTAATAGAACGCAACGCAATATTCCCGCCAACCGCAAAGTTATCCGATCAAGATTAGCAGGATTTAGGATGCGGCAGATACAAGCAGTGCTATGACAACGGACGCTGAAGATCTCGATTCTGACGTCGACAGATCCGCAGTGTAAAATTATAGTAGTACGGACTGCAGAGTGCAGTTATACGGAGTCGTGCGAACCATAAACATACGCCGGTTGCTGGTGATATGTACGATGGGATTTGCTTAACAGTTATGGTTACGTACTTGCCGAAATTTCATCTAATTAGAAATTGATGGGCACCGTCAGTTGAACACGACAGAAATGATAGCACTCCACCCGTCAAACACTCTACGCCTGTGCACAAACACGCCACTCGCGGACAGTTGTGAAATTGTTTTGATGGAAGACCGCGAATAACAGTTATCAGTCTGACAATTAGCGTCATAACAATGCGGCTTTGTGTCAGCAAGCAAGAAGCCCTGCCGGTTAAATACCTCTTTATTGCTGGAAACCTGTGAGAACTTTCCTTTTATGTTCATCGTGACCCGTCACAATGTACAAGGAAATAACTCGCTACAAGGTAGTTGCTTCGTATACATGCACGAAAGCTTTCGCTTTCGCACATTGCGAAACACTTTTGTAGCCTAGCTACTTGCAAATATACATTGGCTGAAATATGCATTGGTTGAAAGCGAAAGTTTTCGTGTATGTACAAGCGCGGATCCATAATCTCTGTCGTACAGGTATCGTTCTGTGTTGCACACTAATGTTATAACATACAGGAGTGTCTTGTGTGCTATGAGTGTCTTGTGCACAGTCCCTTCCCACGTTAATTGGGACAAATTCTTCATTTGATTATATTTGTTGAGCGAAGCTCGCCTTGTACATATTGAGAAATAAAAACTAATTACATACAGGAACTTCGGTGTCCAGGCGAGAGAGCTGAGATCCGGTGGTGTCGAAAAAGGTGGTGTCGAGTATGCCGGAAGTTGGTGTCAGTACTGGAGACTCTCGGCAACCGCATTACTACTGCGTTGTATCTGTACATAACCAAGCATTCGGCGGCTTTGCGTGATTGGCACCTAAATTGCGTACCTTCCTTTGCATCTGTATAAACGAACATTAAACATAACTCGTAACTCATCAAAAGATTTATTACTTCTTGTCAACCAAGCGTGTGTCAAATTGTAAAACCCGTGAGGAAGTGACCGGGTTCCCAGAACTTGATGATTTCGATAACCTGACTGAAAATCGATGCACTGAATTTACACGTTATCTGGAGCTGCGTAGGATACGATAGTCGGTTCTCAATATCAAATAAGGCTTAGTTAATACTTGATGCTGACTAAACTCATGGCCAGTATCGCGTTCCGATGTTGCTGGGGATTAGTCAGATCTGGGTTTATCGTTCAACGTTTCAAGCTGCATTTAAGTCATATGAGGTGATAAAAATGTAATGTACCGAACTACACACATTATCTCCGATAAAAATTAAAGCAAAAAAGATCCCAAAACATGTACTTCTATGCTAATACCGACTACCCAAATACTGAAATTTAAATATCGCTGTGGCCCGTGCCGAAACGTACAAGTCAATGACCTACCCAGTATCCGTTACCAAGCGCCCCGCAGTTTCGATAATGAGGTTCCTTAACGATTTGTAAAGCGGTCAACGGTTAACGATGTGTCCGTGTTCTATTAGGAGTCGCAGTCTCCACAGATTTAAAGCGTTCGTTCTCTAACGGCTGAAATTAGGATGGAGAAACGGGATCATCCCGGTCTCCGTAGGATGTGTTCCTGGACGCCTGTGTGGTGTCCTGTCAAAGTAAGTTATCCCTGCTTCAACGGCCGCACAGTCTAGTCGACCACTGTACGAAATCTGTGCAAAAGATGGCGTACATTAGTCGGCCAATTAATCCGGCTTCCATCCGATGAAGTTTATGACGCTGGTAGCTAATCAGTTCCCGTGCATGTTTGATATTATCCACCGGGAATTAGTCCTCGTCGATCTGCTCTCTTGTTCGTGAGTTAACGTAATTTGTAATTGCTTTCCTAACATTTTCTGCGTTGCAACGACATCCTCTGTACCTTAGGACTTCCGGCTAATCAAGGATGCCGCCGCACGCATGAAAATGTTCAACGCGCCATTTGGTAGTATTAGCATATGCTAAGTAGCGGGTGCGTCTGCACGACGCACGGCCGAAACTGTTATACGGCACGTACACACGATAGAGATCGGTACATGCCGAACAGTCTTGTTTTTTCGACCTTCACGAATCGCAGCCCCGAACGTTCCCGGTGATTCCAAGTGTGCTGCACTAATGCGTTTTATGCTTATGAGCGATGCTAGCTTATATATCCATTTTTTGCTTTGTATAGGATTGCTTATGTACCAATCTTCACGATCCAGAATGCCACTCGATCGTTGATGCTGCTAAAATATAACTGTACGATTTGTACTTACAGTATCTGCTTGAAAAGAAGGAAAAAATATTTATTGTCGTCGTGTTTCGGCTTCACGCTCTGGGCAGCACGGCCATGACTATTCTGTCCAAATTCTGAGACCGGATGATTGTCTAGCGTAACGCCGTTGTTAGAAGGCGCTTACTGGAACCCTTACATAAAAAACTAATGCACACAGAAGTAAAATATAAAGTCTCGTTCTGTGCGACTTTGTTAAGGAAAGTGACGCGGCACATGACACCGAATTCGTGTACCCGCACGAAAATGTTCCCTTTCGCGCTCTCGTAAACACTTTTTCCGTTATTTTATGGCACTGTGCAGCCAGATGATTTGCAAATACTGACGTGAAAACCGTTAATGCGAGCAGCATCCGGCTGGACAATTATGGCTGATCCAAATTCCAAATAGTTTAAATTCATTTTTCTGTTGGTGCATCAATACTCTTATTAAGGACCGATATTTCTTGACATTTAGCATGGAAATGTACATCAGCAAAAAACGTTCTTACACTGATCCCCCGCTCCCACAATTTTTCAAATTTAAAATTTATTAAAAATTTTTGAAACCCATTTTGGATTTGAAAAACATAACAAATACAGATATACAGAAACATAAAATAACATAACATAAAATATACGTATACATATACATATACACGTATACGTATACATATACTACATATATCTATACACGTACATAACATATATATTATAACATATACATAACATAACATATACGTATAGATATAAAACATAACATATGTACTTACGTGTATTTTACGGCGCCACGAAATTTTCTACTTTTTTGGAAAGTACACGACGAATACAGCAAGGATACGTGAAGATGCGTTATTAGGATGCTGCTGTTACGAACTTTTTGGATAATATGCTTACTGCATTCAAGTAGAACACATGTAAGTTAAGAGACGGTAGAGTGCACCATGGTATACGGTGGGTACTTCAGTTTTCAAAGGTAAGGAGCATACAAACAGCATTATTTTAGTGTTCTGTACGGATTGGGAATATTGTTAATATGGCCGTTCTTTGTGCATCACGTATTCCACAGAATCCCGCCAGTTTTCTTTGGATTCCGAAGCTTCTTATGTTTTCTTATGCTTACAAATATAAAAAAAATATACTGCGAATGCAAGTCCAGAAACATGTTCTGGAAAATTAAACGCGTACGTACTCGTCCATATCTGAAATCATTTGGCTGCAGAACGTCATAAAGCAATGGAATAAAGAGTTGAGGACTGCGCAAAAGCCAGCAAATCAAATGACATGCGCCTTTTCGAAGAAAAGAAGCAAAACTTGTAGTACAACGCAAAGAAGTATTTTGATTAGTGTGATTGCAAATCTTTATCTGCATGTACCGGAACACGTTCCTTAACGCAAAAATTAAATATTTCCGAAACTGAACAATGTATGTTTTTAGGTTTTTCGGCAATTGGAAGCACATGAGTATAAACGCTCACTATATTTACGTTTCGTTAGTTCAAAATCTTAGTAAAACGCTCCGAAATGCAAGGTTTGTGACGACACCGGTAAAACGCATAAAATATACAATTGTAAATATAGAGACAGTCACCTTTTTTTCGTTTGTGAGAGTGCTTATCATTGACACTAAAATGGAAGTACCCGTATAACATACATTATGTACTACTAATCGTAATCCTTTTTCTAATTCTCCTTACCACTAAAAAGGAGGAAAGATCGGATTTGCTTTTCCAAATTTTTGCGTGGGTAATTCGGGAACGCTACGGGATCATCATCACATTTGAAGTTCGTACTGCAAAATACGATTATGATTTCCGCAACGTTGACCATCTTATTGTTTAGCGCCACAACGCCACCGCTAGAGCCCCAGCAACGGCTGTCACACCGGACGCTGGATATCCATTCCACAAAAAGATGCCCCCAAGTTCCAACCGTACCTTCTGGAGGCAGTGGGAGTTACAACAAGTTGGAAAACCACGTAGGAATCAACGTGCAGAATTAGCCGTGGACGACAGCGCAGACCGTAGAAGAAAAGCCAAAGTGCGGCCGGACGTAGTATTAGCCGATTATTCCTGGAAGAAAATAGTACAGTATTAAATACCTTGAATTTTCTTGGACTATCTTCAAAGAGTTTATACAAGTACAGCACAAACTTGTTTCTTATATGTTTTCTTATATTTTCTTTTGTCTCTTACGTTTTCGTGTGCTTCTGATGTTTCTTGTGTGTTTTCTTATGATATTTTCTTTTATAAAAAATTTATTTTATAGAAAAATTGATTTGAAACTTACGCGGTTTTCGTGTGGTGTGGCTGTTTTCTAATTTATTATTTCGAAGTGTCGCAATGTTCGTAAGCCAAACGGCCGCTGCGGATTGCGGACATTACCAATGCAACGGAAGTGCTAAAGCGCAAATTTTAGAACAAACAATTTGAGAAACCGTCCGCTGACGCTTTTTGTATGCAACTGACAGTTTATGACTGAAAAGTTGCGCATGCTCAAGTTTACCAAAATTACCGCAATCCGTAGTGATTACGTATATACAATAATGCAGAGTAAACAGGCTCGTTCTTGTGGCCGTTTATTCGGCCGCTGAGGCTACATGTATAAGTATATATAGAGACATAAAATATACAACTGTAAATATAGGGTGTTAGATATCATCCAACCTACGTTTTTTTTTAGCATGTTGCATCATCTTGCATGCTCCGTATATGGTGCTAGCTATTTTATGTTGTGACGTTACACGTTACTCATACTGATGTTCTAATATTATTTGCAAGCTAGCTATAAAGGCTGCTGCATCTGTGTATAAGAGACCAGTCTAGGCTCATTAAACTTCAAATCTCCACATTAGAGTTCGTAAATCGTCAAGATTTCAGCAGCGAAACGGAAATTTTCAGCCTTTTTAAGAAACTGTCCACATAGAAGTAGTAACAGTAAAGTATTTGGTAGCGGTACGGGGACTACCAAGAGACAGTTACCTTTTTGTTTGTGAGAGTACTGTAACGTCCACTAAAATGGAAGTGCTCGTACAAAATATATACTATGTATTACGAAATATATATTATTACTAAAAATTGTACAAACGATTACGATTAACAGTACATATATTATGTACTGTTAATCGTAATCGTTTGTATAATTTTTCTTACCACCGAAAAGGGGGAAAGAGCGGACTTATTTTTCCTGATGTGTAGGTGGATAATCCGGGAACGTTACGGAATCATAATCGAATTTGAGGTTCGTATTGCAAAATACGATTATCATTTCCGTAACGTTGAGCATCTTATTGTTTAGCGCCACAACGCCACCGCTGGAGCCCCAGCACCGGACGCTGATCCAAAAGTTGTGCCCGAATTTGCAACCGGAGGGAGTACAAGTTACAGCCGGTTCGAAAACCACAACATGGAGTAACTGGCCGTGGACGGCAGCGTCGCAGCGAAGAACGTAATATTTTACCCATTATTCCTGGAACGAAAATAGTACAGTATTGAACTACCTTTAATTTTCTTGGACTATCTTCAAAGAGTTTACACAAGTTCAGCTAAAATTCGTTTCCTTATAATTATGTTTTCTTAAATTTCCTTTTGTCTCTTATGTTTTCTTGTGCTTTTATGTTTCTCGTGTGTCTTATGTTTCTTATGTTTTCTTGCGTTTTCTTATGATGTTTTCTTTTGTAAGAAAATTTATTCTATAGGAAAATTGATTTGAAACTTACGCGGTTTTCGTGTGGCCTTTATCATGAAATGAGTATGGGATTTTATGTTGAGCTGTTTAATTAATTTAAATGAGCGCTCTAAACTTATAAAAATCTTATGGGTTACACAGAATAGCACAGCATGGGGCAACGAAATTGGGAACACTTATTTCAGCTTATTACGATTACTCTAATTACAGTTTCTCTTCCAAATACATATGTTCGTATTGCTACCAAGAGTAGTTACCGTGATTACATACTTAATCTTAGATTTCCATGATCGCAAAGCGTTTTGAATTGTTACAATTGAAAATGTCTCCCACTGGCATCGCGCGATACCAGCCATAAATTGTTAATGACCATAACGATAAGTTGTTAATTCGCTTTGAAGACAGCAGAAGCAGAAGAGCATAACGGTTATTTTAATTCGACGAGCGGCCGGATTAAAACTGGATGAGCTGTCTAACGATTAAGGGACAGCTTCAAAGAGCGATTTTAATGATTGTACTGTTACTGTAATATGGATTAGAATGACCGGAGTAAACAGATGAATAACAGCTTAAAAAATTAATTCATATGCTATGGTCAACAGGGCGTGGCGAAATCTATCATTATTGGATAGGATCATGGGAATGCAGCGTAGGTGCCTGTTTTCTTGAAAAAAAGGTGATACAGCGCTATGCACTGCCACTGTAATTACCTTCCTCGCTTTCCCTTCCATGAACGCGGCATCCATCCGATTGGCTAAACACGGAATTAAGCGCTGCACTTCCAGCGGCGGTTATTCCCAGCCAGGATGCTCCTGCAACATTGAGCATTGCTGCAGAAGCAAGAGTACTGGGCGTCTTGCCGAACCAGCGATTGATGGGAGCCAGATCGTCTGATTTCTACACTGTTCCAAGATCCGGTTCTTCAGTTACATGCTGTCATCACGGTAGCAGGTATCCCATAAACCTGGTGTACTTTACGTACACAGCATGCGTATCTAACCTGGCCGAACACGCTCATTACCAAACTCCGCTACAACAGGCATATGATACAAGTTCATACAATACGCCTCAGATAACTGCAAGCTTATTGGTATGGCGAGATTCGGCTGTCGCGGGTGGTACTCCTAGGATCAGGACCTGCTGAGTACCCTACATGCCCGTTTTAACTGGCTAGTACCAGTGTATTTCTTCTACAGCTGAACAAATAGCAGCATCCTACCCGTGTTCCTTGAAGTTGACACTATAGAGGTTCAGCGGCCGTCGGGCGCTTTTATAATCGCCAATGTTGATGACGTAGGTTGGCAGGTGACGAGCTGGTGTCTGGTGGCATAACAGTCTCAGCAGGGCGCCATCCGAAGGAAACCGAGAAACGGCCGAAAAATGCACTGATGGGGGAATCTAACCCCGGCTACGTTGTAAGATCCGCGTAGGCTGCACCACTGCACCACGGCGCAAAGTGTTGAGGATCCTTGAAAGACTTTGACGCTGTCCATGAGCCGCTTCTCTCCTCACAACAGCATCGTGGTTTCGTGCGATGCCGTTACACTCGAACATTGCCGGAAGAATGGGCTCTCCCGTCTTTTCTGAAAGATAATTAGTAGAGTAGGAAAAATAGTTCCAGATGCGGAAGTCCAGACCTGTGTAGTTACGGAAAATTCACCCACAGTTAGAGTTATGTCACAAGTAGCGTGCCAGTACAATACGCTCAACTCTATGCTACGGATGCAAGAAACCGAGTTTCGAGTTATACGGCGGGTTACGCTACCATAAACCATACGAGTCGTACACGGAATATTTACGAGGGCTGCGTTAGAGTTAAGTTTTAGGAGAAGTGAGTTACACTTCGGAGTAATATTATAACTCAATAAATCACAACTAACGCGAAGCACTAGGTTTTCCACGAATGTGTCGTATAAACATGCATCACAATAATACTTCCAACTTCCAAGGTCTTCGTAATGCTTCCAATAGCTTCCAATAGAATAGAACAGAATGCTTCCAATAGAATACAGTATATCAGCAGTTATAAAAGATATCACTCCAAGTTACGTTCTTTTGGCAAGGAAATGAAACCGCCATAGCAGCAAATTGGAGTATCGCAGAAAGTATCTAGAAAACGGGAACGTAAAGAACGCGATATATTATGGCGCAGGATCTTCTTAGTAAAATGTGGAGAACTCGAATTGATTAACTTCAAGCACAGCCGAAAACAGAGTGCGCTATGCGCGGGGCGTGGCCACGCCGTTGCTGAACTGTGATTGGACATAGGGTCAAAGACGCTCAGGCAGATACGAGTCTGTATGCTTATAAACTGTTTCCAAAAATAGGTACAGTATATTAAAATAAGCGACCCGGTACCTAGCAATAAATTCATGTACATCCATAGGAAGTATCAGGATCGTTCGCTTTCGCGCGCTTCCAAACCATTTTTTTGATTAATTTCATTTGACATTGTTTTGCAATTTCCGAGAACGGTACACATGCAAAACAGCACGGCTAAAAATAACACAAATGAATGATTCATTAAAAACGATATCAAGCATTCCCACCTATCTGCATTTCCTGATTGCAGAACTGTAACGTGGGCGTCAGTCAAGGAAAATTTCGAATCAAATATCTGGACTCTAATGCACCCACGAGTCTAATGCGTCAGTTTAGACGTACCATAGTCTGGACATAATTAAATATAAATTTTGGCAAACAATACTCCCTCCAAAATTGTTTATAATTGCCAAGTAATAAATATTTACGATTCTTCCTTGCAGCAATCATGAAATTTTCAGAAGCCATACAAAATGCAGACCAGCATTAATCGGTCGCTTTTCAGTGCTCCGTTAAGTGTGAGGTTTAATCCGCGATAACCTTCATAACGGCCGAAAACTGTTCGTGCTCCGTAGTGGTAAAAAAGAGAGTTGACGCACGGTAGTAATGATGATTTACTGCACACAATCTATGCGCGGCCGATTAAGGGAAGTGGCCCGGTACATGGTACCAAATTCATGTACATGCACGAAATCTTTCACTTTCGCGCACTCCCAAACCGTTTTTTCTCTAGTTTTATGACATTCTGTAGTCAAATGATTTGTATACACAGGCCTGAAAACCGTTTGCGCGCGCAACATCCGGTTCGGGAGTTATGGCTGTAAGAAAATTCGCAATAGTTTAAATGCTTTCAGGTGTACCAAAAGTCTCATTATGGACCGATCTCCTTCAAATTTTGCATGTAAATGCACATGGCCATGAAGATCGTTTTTACACCGATCCACTGTTCTAGCATGTTTTTCAAAATGAATTTAAATTTTTGAAATTCATTTTAAAATTTGAAAACATGCTAGAACAGTGGATCGGTGTAAAACGTTCTTCGTGGTTATGTGCATTTACGTAAAATCTGAGATCGGTCCATAATGAGACTTTTATTACCTGAATGCATTTAAAACTTTAAAAGCCACAAATTCGTATACAAACACATCATTCGGCGAAATCACAGCTCTCCCAACTCTCAGTGGGAGTTCTCACTTCTCAGTACGTAGTCCTATTTTTCGTCCGCGACTATCGCATCTCGACAGCATGCCGCTCTTTCAGTTGAGCACCAACCTTTCCTAATCCGATTTCCCCGCGCATTTCCACGAAGATTTGGCAACGATGCTGGGACAACTGCTGCGAAAGAATCCCAACGTAAGCAAATTGTCAGGCACGCTTTTCCCAAGATACGCGTGTTCAGAGTGTGACCTTTTGCAGCACATCTCGGTGAGCATCAGCACCGATCAGTTCCTGACATGCGGCGGCACCACGGAAGCTTGCGCGTTCGGTAACTTTGTTGAGAAGAACAACGATGCTTTCGTAGAAGCTATGCGAATTCGTTTATGAGAAACTGTGAATCGATGACGCGCGGTGAGAAACGGCGCTAAAATATGACTAAAAGAGCGAACAAGATTTCCTATTTTTATATTGGAAAATATGTGGTGGGAGTAGCGTCGTCGTAAAACGACAAGCTTTCTTCCGTAAGCGTTGGAATAAAGTGATTGTTTTTTTGCAGGTTTACGCTGTTCCTCGGCGATTATCTAGCGTACGACGTGGGTTTCCGCGGATTTTCCTTTTTCTGCTCTTGGACACTTTGTAGTCAAAATAAAGCCTGTCATTGACTTTTCTGTTCCGCTCCCGAGATCCCGGGATCGAGGTTGCTTTCTGGCTGCGATGTAGAAGCAAGTACCGGCGACCGTATATACGAGTAAAGAAACTTTGTGAATTGTTGCACTAGCCGTTATTCTACAGTTTTGTTTGAATCCTTCTGCAATTCGTTTCACGCTATGACCTTTGCGGTTTTAAGGAAGTTTTACAAGTCTTTGTATAAAACACTTTGACAAGATGCGAGATATTTCTCCACAAAGGGTCGCTTAATTTAGAAAATTAGTGAATAAACTCCATTCAGCTCTCGCAGCTCCAGTTAATGGCAGCTCGCGCAGTTTTTTCACTCCAATTCTGATATCGCAGGTCGCACACCTAGCACTATATGTGGTAGGATAAACCAACCTGACTTATCGTAGCAAGCAGTAACTGGGAAATGACCCAGTACATGGTACCAAGTTTGAAATTCGTACACACGCTCGAAAAATTTCGCTTTCGCGTGCTCCGAAACACCCGAAAATGTTTTATGACATTCTGTAGCCAGATGATTTGCATACATGGACCCGAAAACCGTTTGTACGCGCAACATCCGGTTCGGGAGTTATGGCTGTAAGAAGATTCCAAAAAGCTGTAATGCATTCAGGTGTACTAAAACTCTCATCATGGACCAATCTTCTTTAACGTTTGCATGTAAACGCACTTATGCACGAAGATCGTTTTTACACTGAACCCCGGTTGTAGCTTTTTTGCGGATTTTGCAATGCATCTCACACTTTTTAAAATTTATTTTAAGAATGTGCGAAATTTAAAGGAAAACGGTCCATAATAAAACTTTTTGTACACGTGAATGCATGTAGAGTTTTTGAAATTTTCTTTCAGCCATAACTATCGAACCGAATGCCCTGTTTTCACGCCTATGTGTTTGTATACAAATCATTTGGTTACAGAATGTCATAAAACAAAGCAGAACAAGCTTAGTATTGCGCAAAAGTGAAAGTTGTCGTGCATGTACGCGAACGTGGTTAGAAATTGCTCAGAAATTCAAACCAGTACCAAAGTTTTGCTCAGACATGCAAATTAATACGAAATTTTAGCGGGCTACATTATCAGTGGCCACAGCAGCCACAACCCGCACAGTTTAATAATAATTCAAGACATTCTTTGCTACAGATAATCTCTTACGGTTTTATTATCTTGCTGAAGTGCTTGGTACAAACAATAACAAAAAAATATTTAAACAGAAAATATTGTGCTAATCTGCTAAGCGAATATTACCTAATCGCAGAAAAGTTCAAACAGCCAAGCCAGAGTCAATTGCGAACGTTAAAATTTACGGTGTTGTTGGGCTCAGGCTTCGCTACCCGTATCCAGTGGTGGGTTGAGGATCAGACGTGGGGCAGAACTAGCAACTCCCGCCTATTTGGCTTCGGTTTATGCCACATCGTCTCTGGTTTCACACACATCGTCGCCGGAGTCGGGGAAATGGCTGAACGCTCTACCTGTGCCCCCTCTTGGAATATTGATGTCGGATGAGAGCTTCTGTGTAGCGGTTGGATTACGAATAGGTCCGTCCTCATCTGTGCACTGACTGTCGCCTGCCTGTGGACGAATATGGCCACCCAGGTCTTTCTTGCGAGAGGAGCGCGGGACGCTTCATCCGGCATACGTCTTTGAACGACGCGATCCGGAGGAGCCGGGTCAACCGGTCAACTGTCAGGCGCGGTTTTGTCGACTTACGCTTGTTAAGAGTGTGACCTTTTGCAGCACATCTCAGTGTGCATCAGCACCGATCAATTCTTAACGTGCGGAGGCACCACGGAAGCCTGCGCGTTCGTTAAATTGGCATCCATGGGAGCTTTGTTGAAAAGCACAGCGATGCGTACGTCGAAGCGCTGTCCGATTTTGTCCATGAGAAACTGGGAATCGATAACTCGCGGTAAGAAAGGGAGGTTTTAAGATAACAATAGCCGCGAACAAGGATCCCGGCTACCTAACTGGTCCCGCAGCGTTACTGCCATTTTCTGTGGGGCTCCGCGGACGGCGATTTTTTGCCTAATTGCTGTCGAAAACCAAGTACCGATGACCGGATAGGATGCGCCTTTCGGAATTGATTGCACAGAAAATTGTGGCATAGTTTTTTTGAATCCGTCTGTGATTTGTTTGGCACTTGCCAGACTTGCACTAAACTTGCACTTGACTTGCTCTAAACTTTCTTGTTTAGAGATGTGTTCTGTTTATCAAACATTCCTATTTGATTTCAGAGCTGCAAATAATTATTCTTCAATAAAACAACATGAACCATCGCGTGTAGCTGCCTATAATAATGCAGTCCTGTATCGTATTGATATACGCGTGAATAGCCAAATGGCCCATCAAGAAATTGTTCTACGTATTATTCCGTGACCGGAAGCGGAAGTTTAACTAGACCCGCAACGCTACCACCGGCCGGCAGTTACGTAAATAGTAAACACCGCTATGCTGTCGTATGGCTGTATTTATTCCCAATTTCTCGATCTGGCAGATTGTCATTGGCTTTTTGACGAGAATCATTCTTCAATGCCAAAATAATTCTCCAGTTTTTCCACTTTTTGCCAATACCTCCCGTATCCCACCGTAACTCTGCAAGCCGAATGTATTCCCTGGGAAACATAAGAACATTATCCGGATCTGGAAAGACGCTCGACGGATAGAGTTAGGATACATTAAGATTGCAATATTGCATTATGATCAAGACAGGCGAAACCGCGAAAATGTGCTATTGATGAAAGTGTTATGACTGTATTGATATTATCGATGCAAAATAATCATGTCGGACGATGGAAGATTTTTTTTATCTTGAAGTTGATACTATTCTCGACATCTCCAAGTTGTTAATTTTTATGTGTGTTTTTTTCGGAGTTCCTTGCGTTCAATATCGGTATCTACCATAAACGTATCTGCATTCTGCAACGTTACGGGATATGGTGTGTAAGAACGTGCGTGACGAGCTTTTGTGGCGCGAGATCATAGAGACTCAGCTCATGAATAAATTACGGGCACCAGAGCTACAATGCCGGGAATTCTCCTGATGATAGCTGCGAAAAGCGGACGTTTTGTTCCAGAAGGAAATAACTACTCTGTGTATAAACTATATGAGTTGGCGATTTGTACTTCGCCGAGTACTTCGTGTGCAGTGCTTATTGGTCTTATTCGGATGGGTTCGTGCTAGTCACGAGTGTTGCTCATCCGTCCGAACCGGAATGTCCAAAGAGGCATCCCGTTCGGAGCGATTAGCAACGTCGTCCGTCCGAATCGTCCGAATGCCGTCGGATAGGAGAACACCGTGGAATGATGCTGTCCGGTGCGGGATGACCGACACAAGGTACCGTGTTCAAATACGACGAATGGCAAGGAATGGCAAATAACAAGGAATGACAAATAATTTATGGTATAAGCAATCACAAGTTTTCTTAACTGAAGTTGCATACTTCACGTATCCCTGCTGATGACCAATGTAAAAACAATGGTTCACCGCATCAGTATTCTGTATTTATATTTTTTGCCCCAGCCATGGTATATTCATAATTATCTTTACCATACTGCTTATGCAATGTTCGAATTTCGCATTATTAAACTGAGCAAGGAAGACAAACAAATATTAGAACTAATGTATTAGCAGATATAATATCTGCCAACTGATGTTGATCTTCTAAGGCATCTTGTCATAGATGGATTTCCATCCGGACAAAATTCCCTTTAGAAGGTCCAGACAGCAAAATAATCAAGCGTTGCTTCGGGATACGCTGAATCGACTCCGATTTGAAAAAGACAGTGACTCCCGGATTGTCGGCTGGTGTGCCGACAATGCGCGGGTTCAGGAAGCAAATTCCGTAACTATTATAAACTGTACAGTATTCCGTGGGCAATAATTGGGTCTCCGGATGGGTCGCCGTCTCCGTCGCGGAGTACCGCCGCGTGTTTATCCCATTACATGGCGGAATTATATCAAGTATGGGTACCCGGTACTGCCAATGCACTGGCAATGCTAATCATGATCACACCACGTAATCGGATAAACACACGCTGGCTTTTACCGTATCCGCGGCGCATTCCACCACCGCGTCCACATCCTGAGTGTATCCCAGCCACCTAACACCAGCTGCTAGCCCTGGTTTATGGAGAGCAGCGGCGCACGTACAGCGACAAAATCTTTTTCAGGATTTTCAACACTGTGCGCCGTGGTGCAGTGGTACTGCCTACGCGGATCTAACGACGTAGCCGGGCTTCGATTCCCCACATCGGTGCATTTTTCCGCCGTTTCTCGGTTTCCATCGACTTGCGCCCTGCTTAGTTAGTCATATAAGGATCTGTCTGTTTACACCGGATTGAACATTAAATACTTTTCTCGGGTAAACACGGATTGTACACGAATCGTACTTTCCTCTGATAAAGCCCGTTGTATTATCTGTCTATAAGGTCACGAAACGATCTTTCACCGCGTCTTGCCACAGCAGTGTATCATTTAAACATTGTAAATGACGCTTGCTGGTTATCCGTCTTAAGCTTACGATTTATGTAGCTATGGCAGCGATACAGTGAGGAACTACCCTCGGAATGTCGGTTTCTAGTGATCGGGGAAACGGGAACCAGGGCGCAGTGCCCGCTGATTTCCGTAGCCGTGATCGCATTTGCCGAGCGCCGGACGTCATCCCGCCAGAGAATTTGACGCTTCCCCGCGATCCTGGTTTGGATTATGGAAGTGCATGTGAATAATAGTTTGTAATTGCAATACGTATATAATTCTTATCACGGCGAATTTTTTATTTTGCTTTTTCGTTGTGAAGGATAACAAAATACTTGTAATATTATATGTGGTGCGGGTACGGCAGTATGAGGCTCCCGTCGAAAATTGATGTTAACCATAAGAATCTGCAGATTTCGATTGCATCTGTATGAATCTGCCAATCAATGCGGAAAATCTGCCATGATCTAACACGTTGCAAGCCGTTGCACACCGTAACCAGTGGGCACCCATCCATCCTTGAGGTTGTTTTTAATACCATATTTACATAAACTTTCATTTGTTCAAGTATAATCTTTTGATATCTCAGCATCTTGCAATTGTGGGAGTTTTAAAATAAACGTAATCGACAGAATCAGCACAGTTTAAAGTACAAAACTGATCGCAGATGCACTCCAACACAATCTGAGAAACCGGACAGGTGAGCATGCCCATTAGGCAGCCGGTGCTGCCTGCAACCTCCTCCTAACGCTGTCAAGCGTCAAGCCGAGAGAACCCCCTTCGTTCGCTGGAGGATCGCTGAGGAATGACGTGAACCTGTAAAAAGCATTCAGGTTATTTCGAAACGCACAGACAGAAAAAATTTAATGCAACAATCTTTTCAACTAATGCAAGCACCAATTCTTATTGCCCAATGCCATTAAGTTATAGCGTTGTTGCTTACCGCGAGTCATCGATTCGGACCTTCTCATGTTTGATTTCGGGTATAGCTTTGACGTAAGCATCGTTGTCCTTTCCAACAGTGTTCAGGGTGGACGCGAAGTTGTCGAACGCGCAGGCTTCCGTGGTGCCGCCACACGTCAGGAACTGATCGGTGCTGATGCGCACCGAGTTGTGCTGCAAAAGGTCACACTCTGAACATGCGTATCTTGCGAAAACCATGCTTGACAACTTGCTTACGTTGGGATTCTTTTGCAGCAGCTGTCCCAGCATCGTCGTCAAGTCTTTGTGGAAAGGTGCGGGAATATCGGAGTGGGAAAGGTTGGAGCTCATTTGAAAAATCGGCATGATGTCGGTAGACGACCGTTGCGAACGAAGAACGTAACTGTTGAGTGATTTCTCTTTGTTACGGAGAAGTGGTCGGTTTGTAGACTGATATGCTTTGTTTCACAAGTTCGTCGCTTATAAAGCTTTTTGTGAAGAGATAGTTTGCTAGCCTCGGATCGAAACGGCCAGACAAAATGCCGGGAGATACGAGTCACACGACTGACAGTACCCTAGAATCGTCCTTAACCGAACGAAACTTGGAAGGTAATTTTATTCTGGGAAGTCACGCTAAAAGTCGTTCGTGACTTACATGGGTACTTAATCAGCCGCACATTAGGTTTTTGTCAGTAAATCTTTACTAATATATATGAACAGTGGTTTTACCACTACAGAGAGTGAACAGTTCAGGTCGCTGAGAACCACTGCGTTATGGCGGATTAAAGCTGGCAGTCCGTGTATCAGTGATAAATGGCCGATTGGCGCTGGTTTCTACCTTTCGCGATGGTTTACGAGGAAATTATAAACGCTGCGAGGAAAATCTGATGGTGGATATCGTTGGCCCGGTAATTGAGTACCAATTCTAGAAGAATTACAGCATACAACGTTATTCTAGATACAGTAATAATATTATGCAAGCAGTAATAGTTAAAAGGTCCGTAAAAGGGAAAGGACGTTAGCAGTAAAGTTCATCTGTTCTGTTCATCTTTACAAAACGTTTTTAAAATGGAACTATTTTTAATGACCCTCTGAGTTTCAAAAATTAATAGACTTTTCCAATACGAACGAGCCGAGCGCGAATGCGCGAGGCTACGCTGTATTCGTACAGTCTTATTGTCAGGAAGCCGTCAAAGCGTAATTCCGTCAAACTTTCACGGGTTATTATGGATAGATCAACGCGTGGTCTGCTCAATTAACTCAAGCATTACTTGAAAGCAGTTTCATGTTTCGCAGTTGTTAAACTGTGATTTTAAACTGTGCCAAAAAACTCCATGTTCCAGAATATCGCCGTCTTACTTGAAAACACGAAGCTCCACGATTGCACGTATGTATCCATCGCGGAGCGCGTGTTTTCCTGCTCCAAAAAGAGCGTCCAAAACGAGTCATACGTTGAGTCATACAGTCATTTCGCCTAGTAGGCTGTCAAGCGTAACTCCCGTACTTTAACTCCCGTACTTTAAAGTAACTAAGTTAGTTTATATGATATACGATTACTATAATTATCATATTTTAGAAAGATTTTCAGTGCAGCAAATGAACCGAGAATATTAAACAAGACTGCCGGAACAGTCCATAAATTTGACTACACGTAGACCTTTTCAATACCTGTTGAGCGCGAATGCGCGAGACATACCTTGTATACTCGTACATTTTTATTATAAAATTAATTATTATAGGAGAAAGCTCGTATCACCACATAAGTCTCCGCACACCGGTTTTCACCATCACCATACTCCGCACACCACTGCTCGCACCACGTTTTGTCTCAGACGTTTTGTCGGTATTTTTTTGTGTCTACAGGAAGCACTGTAGTGTTTTACTCGTACTTTAAAAATGCGTTGCATCTGTGGAATGTTTCAGTTTTGTCAGTATAACGCAGGGCAAGTCTTTACTATACAGCATACATAATGCAGGTGAGCAAGCATAGATATGGCTGCTATACGGGAGGACGGAAACGTTAGTGCCAGAAAAGCGGATCACGGTTAGCTATTAACGCAAATGAAAGTTGTCTAAGCGGTTCAACATATGTGACTACATGTTCTGACCAGCTTGCCATGAGCCCTAGCATGACTAGACATATTATTGGAAGCTATCCATTCTGTTTCTCAACCTGCTTTTAATTTTGTTTTTTCTTCCGTTCTTACGTTCTTACGTCATTCTAACAAAAATTAGACCTGCGATTTGGCCGCACAGTGAATGGGTGTTTCTCGATTCTGGTAACCGGAAACTTAGCTGCTTCGTGACCTCGCATCCTTTTCCAATCTAAACAGTCGTTTGCTCCCTGGAAGCGATGTACAAGGAGTTCCAGTTGGGATGCTTTAAGAGCATCAGGAGATTTCCGTGGTTTTTGTGAAAAATAAAAAATAATAAAAGGTGGTGTGCGGAGCATAGTGCGGAGAGTAAATACTAGTATTCGAAAGAAAAAAAAACACAAAAATGTTAAAATGGAACAGAGAAGCAATGAAAATGACTTGAATACAAATTACAGACATACACTTTTATTCGGCAACAGCCTGTACAGAACTAACCGAGCCACCAATCTTATTGTTGATCGCTGTCAGTTAACGAGGCGACTGCCCTTCGACCAAGCACCTCTTCTGGCCAGAACCAGAACGAGCGGCATGCGGTACACGCGGCATGAAATCCTCTTTGCCACAACAAAATGGGCCTTTAGTTTTTTTGGATTTTGTAGTCGTAGGTTTGTAGCTTTCCTAAATAGCAAATCATCGCCGATATATTCGGCGCGTGGTCTACTAAGAATAAGAATTTTTGATTTGTGCGACACTGATCGCGAATGGTAGATATTGGCACTAACCGGCCATTTACCAGTGATTTGCTGACTGTAGTCCACCGTAATCGAAAAATACTGAAACACTGTAATGGAGAGATGATTTACCGCATGCATTCTTCTGAGCGTCCGATTAAGTGCTGTTGAATGACTATTACCTCACTTTCCCGAATAGTAACCTTCAAAGTTTGCCCGCTTACGGCGTTCTAGGGTACTGTCGGTCGTGTCACTGTCATTTTCCCGGAAGTTTGTCTGGGCCTTTCGATCTGAGCCGCTGCAACTCTCTGTTTCAGAAAGCTTTATACGCGTCGGATTTGTGTACCAACACATCAATGTCTTCAAACACAAAGTGAGTGTTCTCCGCAATATCTCTTCGTCTATGGAAACGATGCCGCTCTTTCAGCTGAGCACCAATCTTTCCAGATCCGATTTCCCCGCACACTTCCACGAAGACCTGACGAAGATGCTGGGACAACTGCTGCAAAAGTATCCCAACATAAGCAAATTGTCAGGCACGGTTTTCCCCAGATAGGCTGGTTCAGAGTGTGACGTTTTGCAGCACATCTCGGTGTGCATCTGCACAGATCAGTTACTGACGTGCGGAGCACCACGGAAGCCTGCGCGTTCGGCAACTAGGCGTCCACCGGAAACTGTGTGGGAAAGCACAACCATGCGTGTGTCGAAGCAATGTCCGCATTCATCTACGAGAAACCGGGAATTCATGGCTCGCGGTAAGGAAGAACGTATATATTTTTAACCACAATAACGAATACGATTCTGTTTTCGGTATAAGTAAAAGTATACATACGTACACATAAAAGTACCGTCTTCATAAAGTATATATGGAAAGTATACTAATATAAAAATTATATATAAAAGTATACATGAGTATACATAAACGTGCAGTATACTTTAAGTAAATACAAAAGTATACATATATAAAAAGTATATATGCAAGTATACGGGTATACATGGGCGTTGTGATGACTGAGCTGTTTTGGCAGGTTCACGCTGTTCCTCAGCGATTATCCAGCGAACGAAGTGGGTTTCCACGGCTTCACGATGGATAGCTTCAGGCAGAGATAGCAGACTGCACCCGCTGCCTACTTGTTCCCTCAGCGTTACTGCCATTCTACTGCTCACAGACTCTGTCCGGCTAAATTACATAGTTTCGTCTATCCGGTCGATCGAGTCCTGTGTAATCTCACTGGGTTTTGTGTTTCGCTTTGGGGTTCCGCAAACGGCGCTTTTGTGCCTGAATGCTGTCTATAACGACGTACCGGCGACCGGATAGAAAGCGCCATTCGGAATTGCTTGCACAAACAATTTTGATTCCTTCTATGATTTGTTTGGCACTTTAAACTTTCTTGTTTAGAGATTGTTCTATGTTTGTATCAAACATTCCTACCTGATTTCAGATCTGCACATAATTATTCTGCCGATAAAAGAACATTTGTCATCGCGTGAAGCTGCTTGAACTAGTATAATCACGCATCGTAATAATAATACGGTATACGCGGGAAAAGCTCGAATGTCCCATCAAGAACGTGTTCTTTTATTTCGTCACCGGAAGCGGAAGTTGAATAGACTCGCGCAACGCTGCCATCGGCCGGCAGTTACGTAAATAGTAAACGCCTCTGGTACGTTGTGGCTGCATTTGCTTTTTGACGAGAATCAGTTTTTATAAATAACTGTCGTGTCCACCGTTTCTCTTCATCTCGAATGTATTCCATTGGGAAACATAAGCACATTACCCGGATACTGGAAAGATGCTCGACGGATACAGTTAGGATACATTAAGATTGCGATATTGCAGTATGGTCGAGACAACAGGCTATCGATGAAGGTGTTATCCATGCAAAATATTCATGTCGGACGTTGGAAGATTTGTCTTATCTCGATACTGTTCTCGACATCTCCAAGTTGTTAATTTTTATGGTGGTTTTTTCGGAGTTCCTTGCGCTTATTATTGGTATCTCCCATAAACGTATCGGCATTCTGCAACTTTCGGGATCTGATGTTTAAGTACGCGCGTGACGAGCTTTTCTGGCGTGAGATCATGGTATCTCAGCTTAACGAGGGAATTACGGGCATCGAGAACCAAAATGCCAGGAAATTCTCTTAATGGTAGCGACGAAAAGCGGGCGCTGTGATCCCCAAGGAAATAACTACTCCTTGTACTCATACACCGTGACTTATTGCGCCGATGTGTCGTACATTGATCGCCGAGTACTTCATGTGCAGTGCTTATTGGTCTTGTGCGGATGGATTCGTGCTGATCACGTCCGTTGCTCATCCGTCCGAACCGGGATGTCGAACCTCGCATCCCGTTCCGAGCGATTAGCAAGGCTCTTCGTCTGAATGTCGTCAGCAAGGAGACCACGGTGGAGCAACGCTGTCCGCTGCGGGATGACGAACACGGGTGTAACGAGTTAATTAATAAATCGTCGACCTCGCGTGGCTTTCCGTTGGGAACGATTCATATCGGCCGTTGAACAATGTTCTGTTCTGTTCTCGTGAATATTATTTCTCGAAAACCAGAAAGAGACTGGAAAACTATGC